GTAATGGTCTTGGGTTCAATCTTCAGTACCATCAAAAAGAAAACAAAGGAGAAGGAGAAGGAGATGGAGGGGGAGCCAGGGAGGGAGAGGGAAAAGGAGAGGGAAGGGGAAAGGGAAAGGAGTGGGGAAGAGAGGAGAGCGGGTGGCCCACTGTGGTGATGCTTGCTCAAAATCCCAGTATTTGGGAGGCTGAGGCAGGAGGATCACTGTGAGTTTGGTGCCAGTTTGGGCTACATAGTGAATTCAAGGCTAGTTTGTACTACAAAACAAGATCCTGTCTCAAAAAGAAAAAATAAAATAAAAAAAAAACTTCTGAACCTCAAATCATAGTGCTATAACTCCAGATTATTAGCTAATGGTGGAAAATTCCTAGCTCTGCCTTTGTTTTTCCCTTATGACGCTTTTGTCATAAGGGAAAAACAAAGGCAGAGCTAGGAGTCAGATCCCTCTTAAGGGGAAGGTATAGTAGTAGAGACTGCACCCAGGGCCTTCACACTGTTACATCCCAGCCCATTATTATTACTATTTTTTAAACAGAATCTGCCTTTGTACTGTGGTCTAGGTTTGGATTCACTACAGTAATCCAGGATGACCTTGAATTCATTTTAATCCTCCTGCCTCAACCTCCTGAGTGCTGGAATTATAGATGTGCACTACCACACCCAGCTAGACTGTTTAAATTTTATTTTGAGATAGTGTTTCACTTAAGTGCCCAAACTAGGTTTGAGTTTATAATCCTCCTCCTTCAGCCTTCCAGAGTGAAAATAATAGAATAATGCCAATTTCCTGGGGTTTGCTGAGAGTATTAAAAGAGATAATAATGTAAAATGTTCAGTGCCAATCCTGCCTCACCATATATCCTTAGTAAATTATATAGATATTTACATAAGGGCCAACATGGTGGTACACAACTGTAATTCCAGCACTCTGGAAGGCAAAGGCAGGAGAATCAAAAGTTTGAGTCCAGCTAGGGCAACTTAGTGAGACTCTGTCTTAAAAATATAAAAAAGGGGGGCTGGGGATTTAGCTCAGCAGCATAAGTGCCTGCCTTGTGAGTTCGATCCCTGGTACCGATAAAAACGAAAAAGACAAAAGTAAAAAATAAAAAAGGGGCTGCACATGTAGCTCAGTGTGAAGATCTGGGCTCAACTCACACTTTTAAAAAGTGATACTTGCATAAAATGATTTATTCACTCAACAGATGTTATTGTCAGGTAAACGCCTAATATAACAAAGGTGGCGAAACACAGCAGCTCCTGTTCTGCAGAGTTTATGAACTAGTGGGGCACACATAGTCATGGCATTGCTCCATGAGTGAAGAATTACAAATTGCAACGGAGAAGGAAAAGTCCAAAGAACTAACACAGCACATAAACAGCAACCCCTCAGCTAGTCATTTTTTAACCCAGGTGAAGTGATTGCAGATATAATAGCACATTTTCTGTTTTCTCTTGGTGAGATAACGATCTTTTATATGTGTAATATATATTGGACATTTTGTAAAGACCTTTTTGTTTTGTATTTTGTTTTTTGAGACAGGGTCTTACTCTGTATCCCAAGCTAGGCTTGAACTCTCAGTGATCCTCTTGCCCCTTTTTATAGTTGAGGTTTTAACATGGTTGTTATTCTAGGTCCTAGGCAGAAACTACAATCCTCATTTTACAGAAGTGCAAACTAAGATACAGAGAGGTTATATAACTTCCTCAAGGTCACAACTTGATTGCATTGTTATCAATGCAAAGGTCAAAATCCAAAAGTTGGCTTGGGATGTAGCTCAGTGCTAGAGTACCTGCCACTATGCATGAGGTCCTAATTCCACTCTGGCAACCCAAGAGAAAAAAAAAAGAAAGAAGGAAAGAAAGGATACAACTTTTCAGAATATATAAAAAAGAAAAAGTATATTGAAAAACAATAAATGTGGAAGCAAAAAACTTTAAATTGTATTTTTATTTATGTATTTATGTGTAGTACTGGGAATTGAATCCAGGGCTTTGTGCATGGTAGGCAAGTGCTCTCCACTGAACAGCAACTACAATCTCAATACTCTTTTATTTATTTTTTTAATGTGTAAGAAAGTTTAATTATAAAGAGTGTGGAAACATATATTTGTAAGTTTTTTATTTTGTTCTTAGTACTGAGTATTGTACCATGGCTTTGTCCACACTAAGAACACGCTTACCACTGACTTAAAGAAAGAACACCCTTGAACCCACCACCAACCCAGGAACAGATTTACAGTAGCCCAGAGGCACCTTATGTACCTCTTTCTAGACATAATCCCTATGGTAAAATTTGTGTTTATTCTTTTGCCTTTTAAAAGTTTTTTTATCATTCATGTGTTTATAACAATGTACTATTGTTTTGCTCCATGTTTAACTTTATAAAAATCACATCTCAGATTATGTATTTTCCTACAACTTGTTTTTACTCCTTTTTTTTGTTTGTTTATTTTTATTTTTTTTTTTATCTCTTTGAGACAGGGTCTCCTTATGTAGTTCAGGCTGGCCTTCAGCTCACTTTGTAGCCCAGGCTGGTCTCGAACTTGCAACGATCCTCCAGCCTCAGCCTCCTGAGTGCTGGGATTTACAGGCATGAGCCACCACACCCAGCATTGTTTTTACTCCTAACATTGTTTTGGAGATTATCTACATAGATGATACTTATTGTAATTAATCTTCACAAATAATATTTCATTATGTGATTATACCACAATCTAGCATTCCCCTGTTAGCAGACATTTGGGTTGTAATGTATTTTGCTCTTATAGGCTTCTTCTGGACGATAAATGGAATTTGAGAGTGTGGGAGAACTTGGGATGTAGCCTAGGATACAAAAATTCCTGGGTTTAGTACAGAGCTAAAAAACAAACAAACAAAAAAGAAAAAAAAAAAAAAACTCTATGAGGCTGTGGCAGCAGGACCTCAAATTTCAACCCAGCATAGTAACTCAATGATTTATCCTTCTCAAAATCTCAAAGTAAAGGGAGAGAGAGGGAGAAAGGGAGAGAAAGAGAGAGAGAGAGAGAGAGAGAGAGCCAGAATGTTGCTCAATCTGGTATTGCAAAACAACAACATAAACAACTTCCCAAAATAAATTTTGTAAATTTAAAGTTCAGTCCTGTATCTATATTAGTAATAATACCATGTAATAATAGGATTCTGTCGTTTATTTCTGGTTTACTATCAGCCAGGAATTATATTAAGTACTATATGCAAATTTTTTCCATTTAATTCTCATAACATACCTATCTGGTATTATAATAATACTTAAGTGAAGAACTATTTTACAAGTAATGAAACTGAGGTTCAAAGAGGTTAGACAATTTGCCCAATATTATTATTTTGTTTGGTTTGGTTTTCTGTATCAGGGCACAACCTTGTGCTTGCCAGGCAGGCGCAGTTGCCCAACATTATTTGGGTAGCCAATTGCACTCAGTTTAACATTCAAGTTCCTTCCAATTCATTCTTGTCTCAATATCATATTTTTTTCAATATGATATTTTGCAGTAATAAAAGCCAAATGTAAGATCTGTAAGTATATCCCACATAAATTTTTTTTTTTTGTCTTTTTTCCTTTTTATCGGTACCAGGGATGGAACTCACGACTGCCTACTTGCAAGGCAGGCACTTATGCCGCTGAGCTAAATCCCCAGCCCCCCTACCACATAATTTTTAACGCATTTTAAATTGTGATAAAACACATAGAACATGAAACTTACCATCCTAACCTTTTTTTTTTTTTTTTTTTTTTTTGGTATCAGGAATTGAACTCACAACCTCATGCTTGTCAAGCAGGACTTATGCGTGCTGAGCCTAAACCTCCGGCCTATCCTACATACTCCACATCTACAGTTGCAGAGGTGTGGAGTTCACACATGATCAAGTACATTTTTTAAGGCCAAATTCTTTTCCAAAGTAGTGCTTGCTTTGGTAGCATATATACAAACTTTTTTCAAAATAGTTGCACCAATTTACCCTCCTATAAGCAGTTTTTTTAAAAAATCTATGTAATGCAGTCAAATGTTTAAATTCCAAATGTTCCAACTATACTGGTCTGATGTTTGCTTTTCTTGACAAGTATCACAGGCAGTATAACCTGGTGGTCTTTGGAGCAGACTTCCTGGGTTCATTCCTGGCTCCACTATAAGGTAGTTGAGACTTGGAAAAGGTAATTTAATCTTTCTGTACCTCATAATCCTTATCTGTAAAATGAGGGAAAAACTAGAACTCATAAAATATTTATGTAAAAATTAAGTTAATATATATAAAAAGTACTGACTGTGCCTATTAGAAGTATATCTATTATTTATTCAATTACATAAATATTTTGTCTTGCAGTTATGACAGTTTGCTATGTAAAAGTATCATAACTACCATAGCTGATTAGTATTTAAATCGTTTCCAGTATGTTGAGATTACAAGCAGCACAGCAATAAATAAGGAATCCTCTCTAGAAATTTGTGTCCTAAATTTCATTGAAACTCACGTTAACATTTCAATGCGAACTTGCTCGCTTAATGATAGTAATTTAATTTCTCGGGTTTTTTCCCCTTGATATTTCCTTTAAGTTATTTCCTGCCTTGGAATTATCTTCTTCACTGTCAAGTGACCCTAGGGCTATTTCGCCTTCACGAAGTTTGCCAAGTGACTCGTCATTTTTAGCTGTAAGAGTCTGGATTTCGGTAAAAGGACTCAACAGGGGAACAGTTGCACCAGCCTCTTCAAAGAAGTTGCAAGGTGAGTCAACTACCGCATAGCAAATCCTGCAACCTGGCTGGAACCCGGTTTGCAAATTGGTGGCTGGTTTGTGATAGGTCCTTTGGAGTAAAGGAAGCCCGCCTCCCGCAGGCGGAATCATCATTGGGTAGTGGGGCCGTCAATCACCACGTGAATAAATAAGGGAGGTTGGTAGCTTCTAGCGCAGAGGCAGAGAAGGCGGTTTGAGGCAGGTGTTCAGTGGTCCTCAGCGTGTCGTGGAGGCTCTCTTCGGGTAATATCTGGCTGTTACTTCAGATTAACTTGAGTAGAAAATCAAAGGACCCCTGCTCTCCTCCTGTACTCTCCCCGCCGGGCCCGCACGATGGCGGAAGCCGCTGCGGGCGCCAGCGGAGAGGCTATGGCGGCAATGGTGGCAGCGGAAGGCTCCGCAGGCCCGCCGGGCTTGACTCTGGGCCGGAGCTTTGCGGGCTACCGGCCTTTCGAGCCCCAGGTGTTGGGTCTCAGCCCGAGCTGGCGGCTGACGGGCTTCTCCGGCATGAAAGGCTGAGGTTGCAAAGTCCCCCAGGAGACGCTGCTCAAACTCCTGGCGGGACTGACGGGGCCGCACGTGCGGCCCCGACTGGGCTCCAGCCTGGTCGGAAGCCAAGAAGAGGCGGCCCAGGAAACTGGCCTGCCCCCCGGGGCGGGCCCCGGCCGGGCCTCCCCAACCCTGAGCATTGGGATGGACTCCTGCGTCATCCCCCTGAGACATGGGGGCCTTTCGCTGGTGCAGACCACCGACTTCTTCTACCCCTTGGTGGAAGATCCCTACATGATGGGGCGCATAGCTTGTGCCAACGTGCTAAGTGACCTCTACGCCATGGGCATCACTGAATGTGACAACATGTTAATGTTACTCAGTGTCAGCCAGAATATGAATGAGGAGGAGCGAGAAAAGGTAACGCCACTCATGATCAAAGGCTTCCGGGATGCTGCTGAGGAGGGAGGAACTGCAGTCACTGGTGGACAAACTGTGGTGAACCCTTGGATTATCATCGGTGGAGTTGCCACTGTGGTATGTCAGCCAAATGAATTCATAATGCCTGACAGTGCGGTTGTAGGAGATGTACTTGTGTTAACCAAACCCTTAGGGACTCAGGTTGCGGTCAATGCCCACCAGTGGCTGGATAATCCTGAGAGGTGGGATAAAATAAACATGGTGGTCTCCAGAGAAGAAGTGGAGCTGGCCTATCAGGAGGCTATGTTCAACATGGCTACACTAAACAGAACTGCTGCTGGGTTGATGCACACATTCAATGCTCATGCGGCTACAGATATCACGGGCTTTGGCATTTTAGGACATTCTCAAAACCTTGCAAGACAACAAAGAAATGAGGTGTCATTTGTCATTCATAATCTGCCAATCATTGCCAAGATGGCTGCTATCAGCAAGGCCAGTGGGCGGTTTGGACTCCTTCAAGGAACCTCAGCTGAAACCTCTGGGGGATTACTGATTTGTCTGCCAAGAGAACAGGCTGCCCGCTTTTGTTCTGAAATCAAATCTTCCAAGTACGGTGAGGGTCACCAAGCTTGGATTGTCGGCATTGTGGAAAAGGGAAACCGAACAGCCCGTATCATTGACAAGCCTCGAGTTATAGAGGTCCTACCTCGTGGGGCCGCAGCTCCTGCTCTTGCTCCTGATAATTCCAACGCCTCTTGTGAGCATAGCTTGTGAACTGGAACAGCAGCAGTTGTGGGGAACTTGGCACCTTTGTGCACAATTTTGGACAATTCTCAAGAGTTGATTTTAAGCAGTTTACTAAGAAGGCTGCCTGCATAGTAGTTCAGCTACTCTTTCTAAAGGATTTAAATGAGCCCATCCAAAGCTGCCTGTATGTACAAGGCCAGAAGTAACATTTTGAACTTGAGAGGACATGTGTTCATCTTTTGGGTGAATGAGAAACAGGAAAATCTTTCCTATTTCCAAAGCAAGATGAGGCTATTCCAGTTTGAGGAATTTTCCTTTGCACTGGATTGATTAATATCTGCACAGGGAGTGAGATTAAAATTGCATAAGAAGTAAATTGAAAAATAATTAGAAGCAAATAAGTTTGGACCAATACTGTTTATAAATTTGAATTGTTAAGAGAGATCTTACTATGTAATGCCAAATTCTGGTTTAGGTTTTTCTGAGGAATTGGCCCTTTCCTGCTCTGGACAAGAATTGAGCAGCTTGTCCAATGACTGGGAAAAGAGGACCTGCAGCCATCTGACTTGGTCTCTGTTAATGATGTCTCTCCTTGTAAATTCCATTAAGGATTGGGAGAGGTGGAACAAGCCCCAGAGCCCAGGCCTTGGTGGTTATTAAAATGTGTTGAAAGATTCCTGCTGATTTAATTAAAGAGTGATTTCTAGTTAAATAAAAGACTATTGGAAAGCTTTTATGGCTAATGTTTGATTCCTTTTTTTTTTTTTTTTTTTCTTTTTGAGAAAGGATCTCACTGTCCAGTTCAGGCTGGCCTTGAACTCACTTTATAGCCAAGGCTGGTCTCTTAACTCATAGTAGTCCTCCTGCCTCAGCTTCCTGAGTGCAGGAATTACAAGCAAGTGCCACCATGACTGGCCGCTTTTTTTTTTTTCAACAGTAACAAAGTTGTATTAGAGGTAGGAGAAAAAACAGCCCCTGCAAGAGCTAGGGATTTAGCTCCTGCCTGGCAAGTGTGAGGTCTTCAATTTGATCCCTTGTACAAAAAAAAAAAAAAAAAAAGCCTCTGCAGAGCAAGTTTGGGCCAAGTAAAAAATAGGAAAAGAAAAAGAAGTACATCCTACAGTTTGGTGGTAGGCCACTGTACAAGAGAGAGAACATAGTGGTCTGTTTGGGTCTTTGAAATGTTGACTTAATTACAGTCTTCACTCTGCCCCCACCATCTGTCCTGGAGACTAAACTTCGTGATACTATATTACATCACAGCCTTTTGTGCTGTTTTATGGGGTTGGCAATAGAACCAAGGGCCTTATGCATAATAGGCAAGCGTGCTACCATTGAACTATACCTGTAGCCCTTCCCAGTTTTTTTGTTTTGTTTTTTTGAGACAAGCTTTCACAAATTTGCTCAAGCTGTCCTCAGATTTGCAGTCTTCTGCCTCAGCCTTCCAAAGCACTAGGATTGCAAGTGTGCACCACCAGGCCTGGCTTCTTTTATGGACTTCTTATAATAAACTGTTGATATATTTAGAGTCTGGCAAAGTGGAGAAGACTTTTCTCTGATACTGGACCAAGGGATATTTAGTATCTAGGTGTAGGTTTATACTTTCCCTCACACATGATGGAAAAGAACTCAGAACAGGCAGGACAATCAGGAACACTATATAACAGCAAAGGACAGGGAGTCTAACTGAACATAAACAGGGAGAACAGACTGTCCTGGACTCTTCTCTGTTGCTAAAAATCCTGGCTAGAAGCCAGGCACAGCACATTGCTATCATCCCAGCATTTAGGGAGTTTGAAGCAGGCTGACCATAGGTCTGAACCTAGCCTAAACAATTTAACAATTTAGTAAGAGCTTGTCTCAAAAGACAAAAAAAAAACTTTAAAAAAAATGTTCAAGTTGCTGTTAAACTCAGTGGTCCTCTTGAGTGGTGAGATTATAGGTATGGACCACCATTCCTGGATCAAAATTTTTAAAAAGGTTTAGAGTTACAGTTTGGCCCTGGGTTCGGTTTCCAGTGCTGAGAAAAAAAAATGATTAAAAATTCTGGCTGGGGCTTCAATTTCCAGTAATATCTTCTATTTCCAGAAAAATGTTTATACAAACACCCCGCCTAGCAAGGTGAAGTATTAGTTAACACTAAAGAAAATGAACATTCATTCCCAGAAACAAAAATACATAAATATAAACATTGTTTGGGGTACTGCCAGTGCAAATCACTACTGTGACACCTCCCAGTTGAGAAGTCACTTAGCACTTTAAAAGTTTTTGTTTTTTGGTACTGAAGGTTAAACCCAGGGCACTTTACCATGAAGCTTCATCCCAGCCCTTTTTACTTCTTTATTTACATTATGCAACAGGGTCAGTTGCCAAGGTGAAACCTCAACTTGCAGTCCTCCTGCCTCCATCTCCAGAATGCTGGGATGATGGTATGCACCACAGTGCCCAGTTTACGTTAAGCATTTTATGCTTCATTCTTAAACATGAGCAATCAAGGGTCACCCAACATTTGCAGTGAGCTTTCAACTTAAAAAAGTCAAAGCAAAAAGACATTTAGAGAAGAGACAGTACAGAAAGTAGAAGAGGAAAGAAGTTTCCACAAAATGCTAATTAGAGAACAATACGGTTAGAATATAGAAACTAAAATGTTTACTAGGATGATAAAGACATTTTTCAGAAGAGAGAATAAGGAAACAAAGATATACACTGTAAAAGATAATGTATGAAAACCAAGTGAGCCAGAGGCCAGGCATTAAAGCAAGTAGAAGGAGCTGGAGATAAAACTCAGTGGTATGCTTGGTATACACACAGAAGCAAGTGGAGGAAAAAATAATCAAAAAATACAGATTCTCTAAGACAATAGTTACAAGTCACATACCTCTTGAATTTTCAGCATAGAAAATTATGTCTAATTTTATTAAATTTCAAGATGTCAGGGATTAAGAAACCCTAATAACAGCAATAGTGGATGTTTACATAGCATATACTCTATGCCATGTACTAAGTGCTTTATATGTGTTAACTCAATCTTCCAACAAGCCCATTGTACAAATGAGGAAGCTGAGGTTCAGGGAGATTTAAGAAATTTGTCAAAGGTCATCTGGACACAGTGGCACATGAGTCAGGAGACTTGAGACTGAAGGATCTCAGGTTTGAACTTGATCTGGGTAATTGAGTGATATCTTGCTTGAAATTTTATTTTGTTTATTTTTATTATTGTCAGGAATTGAACTCAGAACCTTGTACTTGTCAGGTAACTATATTCCTCAAATTTTTTTTAAAGCTGGAAATGTAACTCAGTATGAAGGTCCTAGGTTTAATCTTCATTACAACATATAATATTTGATATATATGACATATGTGTATATATATATGTATATATATATATATATTTTTTTTTTAAATCCAAGATCACACAGACAGACTCCAGCATCCATGCTTCTAATTGGCATTATAATATACTAAGGTTTGGGGATCAAAGTGATATCAGATTTCTCTCAAACTGAAAGCAAAAACAATGAAATAATGCCTTCACTATTTCTGGCACAAATGATTGTCAAAGCATATGGCAAACCACATTTTTCAAACAAGTAGAATAAAAATATCTTTAGACATACAAGATATTGAAATGCTTTCATCCCACGTACTTTCTCAGGAAACTACTGGAAGAAGGGCTGGGGATGTAGCTGGGGGCCACGTGCTTGCCTAGCATGCTTGAGGCCCTAGGTTGGATCTCTAGCAGGCACAACAAAACAAACAAAAATTAGTATAAAATGTTCTCCCCACCACAAAAATATGTTCTCCAAAATGAGAACCAAACAGGGAAAGAGATAAACCTGAGACCCAGATAATAGGACCTAGCCTAGGAGACAGATGAGGCAAAGGTAATTATATGGCAGGCTCCGAGTACAACCAGCACATACTGGATCTTGAAGCTTTCCAGGAAAGAAGCAGTGGAGTAGATAGAGTACTTGGTGCATTCAATTGTGTGAAAAATGCTGGGCATGGTGGTGCATGCTTATAATCCCAGCCCTTAGCAGGCTGAGGCAAGAGAATCAAAATCTCAAGGCCAAACTGGACAACTTAGTGAGAACCTGTCTCAAAAAACTCACTATCCCTTGATTGATATGTTTTGAAACTTGATTTTACGTTTTTCTTTTTTCCCCTTTGAAGTAAAATGGATTTGAAAAAGAAATTAACTACCAAAAATGTGAAGAATAATAGTATAAAAAGAATTAGTGACAATCATACAGAAACCTAGCAAATGAAAACAATAACAAGAAATGAAGCAACTCAACCAAAAGCTACCTGTAGAACATGCAAAATGTAATCAAACTCTAGCATTCAACAATGAATATTCATATAATACTAATATAAATGCTACTTACCATGAATAACAAAAAAGGTAAATAAATGTAATAAGCTTTCCTCCTGCTTAAAACTCTTACATAGCTTTCTACAAAATCCCTGACTGTTCCCACCACTAGTACAGATTTTCACCTTTGCCGCATGGTACTCTTTCTACCTGACTAAACTCTAGCCCCAAAGGATTCCCGTAGGGCTTCCAGTTATCCCTTATACTTGCAGTTCCTCTGTCTAGAAACTCATCCCAGACTAACTAGCTGGTTTATTCTCAGTCCTGTCTCAGCTCAAATAAAACCTCTTCAAAAAGGCCCTCTCAATAGATGTGGCAACACGCATCTATAATCCCTTTACTTGGGAGGCTGAGACAGGAGGATCAAGAAACCAAGGCCCACCTGGGTTATATAGGGAGACTCAAAAACCACAACAAAGGGGTGGGGATTTAGCTCAGCAGGTATAAACACCTGTCTTTCCAAGTGCATGGTTGTGAGTTTGATCCCCGGTACCGATTAAAAAAACACCCACAGCAAAACAAAAAAGGCCTTTCTGACCTCCCAGCCGACATCTAGCTCCTCTCCAACTCACTATCTTATTTATTTGCTTCATAGCTCTTAACCTAATCTGCAATAAATCTTGAGAACATATTAACTTTAACATTGTCCTGGATATGTGAACTCCAAGATGGAGCGATGTTCAAAATCCCTAGCACCTAGAACAATACCTGACTCACGGTTAGTACTTGGAATGTACTTTTGAATGAATGCATGCTTGGTGAGTAAATTAATGAGTAAAGTAGACTCGTCGGGGGTTAGTACCTTTTTTCCACAGTTTTCTGGCTCTCGGTGGCCCCTAGTGGTGAACACTGGACAAAGTCTAAGTTTTGTAGAACATGTTGGAGCTTTGGGTCTGGCTGCACATTTCAGTGCCCCCATCCCTGGTTCATTTCCTGGGCTGGGGTGGGCAGTAGGAAAGGGAAGGAAAATGATCGGATGTTCCCCTGGCCTGGGTCCTCTTAGCTATGCTAGGAAGGGTTCAAGGTTGAGAGCAAGGGAGACACCTATACCTTGAGGGAGGGGCAACAAAATGGAGTGGTAGGTAGTGAGTGCCTTGGACATTAGAATCATAGGGAATTGTAAGTAGAGAAGGTGATGGAGGAAAAGGAAGAGGAGGAAACGAAAAAAGACTGACGGCAGTGCAGTTTAGCCTAAAATAAAGAGAAAGGAAGATGACCTCAAAGTGACCTTAGCACATATGAGCTGCCTCCTGGCTCTCTCCAGCGAATAAGACTTCCTGTCTATTAAGGTGCATTTGGAGAGTGCTCTGAGCCTCCATCTTTTTGGGTGATCTTGCACAAATGTCCTTGCCTCTCTGCCTCAGTTTCTTTGTCTGTACAATAGGTGTGGTCACACCCACCTAAGGTGGGGAAGTCACAATGAGGATCCCATGAGATATTAATGTTTATCTAATTCATCCAGTGCTAGGTCTCTGAGGAAAAAGATGCCTGATACTTTTTTATTGTCCAAGAGACTCTGATCTAGTGGGGAGGTCTAGGACAAGGACACCTACCATCTGAGAATTATTGTGAAAAACGGTAAGAACTAGAGTGGATGAAGAGTTAAAAGACTGTATAATTTCCTTCTGGGAGGAAACCTAGGAAGGCTTTCCAGAGGAGGCACAGAGAAGGGGACAGGCATTTGGGATGGAGGGAATGGCACAACAAAGACAGAGAAGGGGTGCTGGGGAGCAGCTGGTTGGGTTTCCCTATGTGTATAAAGGGGTAAGGCTGGAAAACTAGGGGGAGACTTCTGAGGGTCTTGGGGCTCCCTGGCCTCAGTGAGGCTGGCTAGAGATTCCTAAAAGCCTCTATCTTGGGTTCTCCTGAAATTTTTACCAAGAAGAAATATTCTAAATTATAGCAGCACCTTGTCCTCCCATCTCCCAATTCAAAAGCAGTGAAGCCTACCAACCCACTTCTGTATGAGCAGTACTGTGCCCCCATGCCCAGCTCCCCTTGACTTTACTCATCTTAACTACTACTTTCTGCGTCTGAAGTGGTAGCACATGCCTGTAATCCCAGCATTGAAGGATTAAGGCAGGAGAATAGCCATGAGTTTAAGGCTAACCTGGGCTACATAGTGAAGTCAAGGCCAACCTGGGACAAACCTTATCACAAACAAATTTTTAAAAAGCAAACATACTTTTTCCAAGATAAGTAATAAAAATCGCAACTATTTATTCCTTGGTACTGGGGATTGAATCTAGGGCCTTCACAAATGAGCTCTAACCCCAGTTCTTTTTTTTTTTTTTTCTTTTCGTTTCTTGCCAGGGATTTAGCTCAGTGGCATACAAAGCACAAGGTTGTAAGGAGGATCACTGTGAGTCTGAGGCCTAGAGGTGAGCTGAAGCCCAGGCTGAATTACATAGGGAGATCTTGTCTCAAACAACAAAACAAAAACAAACAAACAAAGGATGGAGAAGGGGAAAAGGACATTAAGTAGGCTAACCAAGAGTTCTTACTGCTTTTTCCTGGACCATGCAATCTAAATTGAATGTAGAACCTTGTGTAGCTAAGCAGGCAGTTTTACCATTGAGTTACATCACCAGCTCTTTCACAGTTGTGATTTTTGTTGTTGTTGTTGTTTTTTATCTTTTTGAGACAGGGTCTCGCTATCCAGTTCAGGCTGGCCTTGAACTCACTCTGTAGTCCAGGCTGATCTCAAACTTGCAACAGTCCTCCTGTCTCAGCCTCCCAGTAGCCTCCCTCCCAGCAGCTGGGATTACAGGCATGTGCCACCATGCCCAGCTCCTTTCACAGTATTTTAAATACAGTGTTTGTTTGGTTTTGAGATAGGATCTTGCTAAATTTTCCAGGCTGGACTTGAACTTGTGATTTTCCTTCCTTAGTCTACAAAGTAGTTGGAATTACAAAACACAACACAGAATGTGGCAGTGTTTTAAATACAGTAATATTTAATTTTCTTTTACTAGTCTATGTGATACATGACACATTTATCTCAGGTAATTGGTATAAATACATATCACATTTAATTTTACCTAAAGTATTCATCCCCATCTCAGGCATTATTGCAGAAGTGCTAATATCAGAATCTGAAGTCAAACTGCCTGAATTTGAAACTTGATTTAACGGCTTTACGGTTAAGGTATTTTCTTGGTTTCCTTATCTGTAAAGTGGAAATGAGCTACTAATAATATTATTAGGATGACCTAATAATATTACTTACCTCATTGTAAAGACTAAGCACTTAAAAATATTTAAATCAGCAGCCCTAATCCAGTTCACTCCTGAGATCCATCTGTATACTGAAGATACTCTTTGTACCCTTATATAGTAACACATTCCCTTTTCTTGTATAAATCAGTCCAAACTTGTTTCTCTGGCTTACATTCAATTCTAAATACTAACAATATCCATTGTATAAGTACCCCATGATGTACAAATTCTATTACAAACAAAACTGTGATGAATTTTGTAGTATGTGTCTCTTTTTATTTATATATTCATGTCTCCAAGGATATACACTATGCCTAGAAGTGCCATAAGTTTGGGATTTATTTTTGATGTTGGCAACTCAACCTGCTCCCACCCACAGCCTTCATATTAAGCGCCAGCTCTATCCTGAGCTATACCCTTAGTCCCATATTGGGATCTTAATTTCTAAAATCAAAGAGCATGGCATATAGCCCAGTGGCACAGACCCTGCCTAGCAAGCACAAGGTCCTGAGTTTGACTTCCAGTACCAAAAATAAAAAATATAAATATCTATCCTCTCTTCCATTTTCTTATTCTTTTGCTTCCACCAAACTGCAAGGCTCTTTAAACTCCTGCAGAACAAGGACAGTTACCCTAATTAGAGGTACAATGATAAATTATTCTAAAATTGTTCTTGAGTTTCACAAAGACCTCTGCTCTTCCCAGGTCAGTAATTCAGTGGTTCTTAGATATGAAAGCAACCACTTCATGATTCACCACTCACGAATTCTCTAAGGTAAGCAAGCCTGGGATTCCCAGGTGTGCTTTGGGGCTGTGAGAGTGAGCCATAGGGGTGGAGAGAGGGGCAGGCGGAGAACAGCCTGTAACAGGTTACATAGGTTACAAGTGTTCTATCTCACAGTTCCGGAGGATGGCAGCTTGGGAGGATGATGTACTGGTTTGGTTCTTCAGGACAACATTGTGATCAACAGTTTCCAACCACAGGAAACAGCTGGGTTAGGACGCTAAAGTGGGGATCAGGGTTTTGAGGCCTAGTCCTCTTTGATCATGATCCATTCTTTTCTCCCACCGTTCCCAAACAATCTGGGGGTTGTCCAGTGGGTTCTCAATGTCCCTAAATCCTGAGAGACTTAATATCTAGCATAAGGCTGGGGTAAAATGATCGCAAGAGTCCTGCCTGAGTAACTTGGCGAGACCTTGTCTCAAGATAAAATATAAAAAGGACTGGGGCAGTATCCCAATGTGAAGGCCTTGTGTTCACTCCCCAGTACCGCTCCTCCCCACTCTCACCCTCAGCCCGCTCTAGGCGCAGGGCACTCTACTTATAGGACTTATGGCAGACTCTCCTCTCCACCAGTCATTTCACTTTGATGTCATCTGCCGCCCAAACGGGAAGAGATGTGCCAGCGTTTTCCTCACCGTTTCAGTCTCTTTCGGGAGTTAAATTGATACCTCTCCCTTTAAGAAGTTTGGTCTAGGAAGAACTCAAAGGGCAAGACGTACAACCACGCTTGAAGCTTCCACAGTTTGGTCCAGCTCGGGTAAGGGGCGGGTGTAGCAAAATTCACTTAGGTGATTGGTTTTTCCTTTCCTTGCGGTGATTTCCCGGGTCCCGCCCCCGGAGGCAATGGAGGACGCCCGTGATTGGTCAGATGCTTCAGAGGCGGGCTCCGAGCGCAGCGCGGGGTTGCCGGCCGGCGCAGCTGAAATTCGCTCGGCGGCATGTCCGGCGACTGTGGGGACACGCGTGGCGACGCGAGGAGAAAGGACTGTACAGCTGCTGCCGGCTCGTTCAGGTTCAGCCCAGAGCCCACACTCGAGGACATGTAAGTAATTCTTGTCCAGCCTGAGGTGTGTGTAGGGGAGAAAGGCTTGGACCCTTTTCTGTCTCGTTGGGGAGGGTCCCTCCTTGTGCTTGGTCCCGGCCCTCCTGACTAACCCTGGCGAACCTTCCAGGTCTCCTTATCAGCACAATGGGCGCGACAGCTCACAATGGAAAACGGGGAAGTCGGGGGATGCCCCACTAACAATGTTAGGACCACCCTTCAGCCCAGCCCGGGTTAGATGCTCGAGTCCAATACCACCTCTGCCTTAGAGGAATGTGATACAACGGGACTGAAAAAGTACTGCAGGGTGGGAGACATTATTTCTTGCTGGAGAAAGTCAAGAAAGGCTTCTTAGTACTAGTGCAGGATATGCAGGACTTGGACATGCAGGAGGTGGAAGAATAATGTTAGACATTAGTCTGCAGAGCCTGCTCACAGTCAGGTAGGGAAGCCAGATCTAATAAAGAAGTGATTTGCCTAAGGCCACCCAAGGATTCAGTTGCAGCATCCTTTGGTTCCACGCCCCCTTTCCTTATCACCATGGGCCCTGTCTGAGCCCTGCATCATCTCTTGATTTGGGCTTCCACAGTTTGTTTCTATTCCAGCCGACGCCTCCATGCAGAATTTGCTGCCGAACGGGACTGGGAACAATTCCACCAGCCACGGAATCTCCTTCTGGCCTTGGTGGGGGAAGTGGGAGAGCTGGCAGAACTCTTGTGAGTAGAGGAAAGGTATTGTGGGAGAGGGGAGCATTATTTGGTCCTAAGACATTGCTGGATTCAGTTTCCCTCCTCAGTGCCCTGCTGTGTGCTTGGTGCTGAGGAGACACACAGGTTCTAGCCCTCTAATGAGACATCCAGTCTCATGGTAGAGCACATGAAGACAAGGCAGAGCCAGGTCAATGAAGGAGTGATCTATAATCCCAGCATTCTGGAGGAAGATCAAAAGTTTGAGCACAGCCTGGCTACACAAACTGAATCCAAAAAAAGAAATAAAGTGAGAGAGAAAAAAAGAGTTAGCTATAGCTCAGTTCCTGGGGCTAAAAAGCTATTCTAGGGAAGACCTGTTTTAGCAGTCCAGACGGGGAACTACAGTTCCAAAGCCGAGGCAAGAAAGCATAACTTAAATTTAGGAACAATCAAACATTCCTTCAGCATTAGTTTCCCAAGAATTTTGTATGTTTTGTTCACTAGTGTATTCCAAGTACCCTGTACATCACAGATTATAGATACCTAGATATCTGTGGAGGAGAAGGATGGGAAATGACCTCAGAAAGACAAGATTGGGACTAGAGATAGAGTTTGGACAGATGGGGGCACAGGGGACCTGAGGAGGAGGAGGCTGGTGTAGACTGTGCAATAGATGGTAGGGCCTAGACCAGAGCAGAAACTATGGGGATGAAGGGAGGGCACAGAGATGCCTGTGAGGACAGGCTGGACAGCCACAGGTTAGTTAACATTAGCTGTGTGCTAAGTCCTCTAGAATCAAGAAATAAGGCATTGGACGGGGCATATGTGGTTTACAGTAAAAGAAGACAGGTGAAAGAGAAATAAGGAAACATTTTAAAAGATCTGGAATTGTAATAGATTTTATGAGGAAAATAACACAAAGGAATGAGAAAGAGAAAACAAAAGGAAAGCTTCCTGAGGATGTGAGATCTGGCAAGATCAGATGGCTGGTTGGAGAACAGAGTAACAAGGGAACAGCTGGCCAGGGGAAGACCCTAGAAGTAAGTGGGGAAAAACATTCAAAGCAGAGGGAGCAGGAAGTGCAAAGGCCCTGTTATAGCTGGCCTATATGCAAGGCAAGGAAAGTCACAGTAGCTTTCGGCAGAGAATGAGTGACAGCAGTGACGACAAATGGAAGATGAGTTAGCAGGGACACGAACTGAGAGGTGTCCACACAGTCTAGGTCAGAGGTTTAGGCTGCAGTGGCAGTGGCTGGGGCTGGAGATAAGTAGAAATGGGCCACAAAGCTTTGTCAACAGGTGACATGTTCTCTTGGCCACTGCTTAGCTCAGGTAGAGATTGAGGTCTAGCTGTCAGGTCTTTTCCTTGCCTGGCCTCTTCCTAAGGCCCACATGGCATGGGTTGTGCTTGGAAGAACTTCCTGGGAGGTGGCATTCATTGCTGTGAGGACTGAAGTGCTCCCTAAGAGAGGTGAATCCTGCTGTCCTAGCTCATAATTCTGTGCCTTCTGTTCTCCCAGTCAGTGGAAGTCTGATGCAGAGCCCGGCCCCCAAGCATGGCCCCCGAAGGAACGGGCAGCCCTTCAAGAGGAGCTTAGTGATGTACTCATCTACTTGGTGGCATTAGCAGCCCGCTGCCATGTGGATCTGCCCCAAGCAGTGCTCTCCAAAATGGACACCAACCGGCAGCATTACCCCATCCATCTGTCCCGTGGCTCTGCTCGAAAGTACACAGAATTGCCCTGGGGAACCATCTCTGAAGAACAGGCTTCAGGGCCTGCAGACCTTGCCTGTGAAGCCACCAGCCAGGGCTCAACCCAGAACATGGGACTACCACCTGCAGCTCCGCGTGGCAGCTGAAGACCAGAGGGCAGCTCTGCTGTGGAACTTGTTCTAGTCCTTTTCTAATTGGTCATGGGCCTGCGGGCCCCACTTCCTGATGACGGAGGCCTGAGAGCCTCCAGAAGATAGTTTTTCCCCCAATAAAACAGTTACAGACAGCAACTCCTGGGTTCTTCCTTGGTGGCCAGGGAGGCATTGTGGCAAGAGGTGCTTACAGGAATCCTTGTACTTCACTATTGGACCTCCTACCTGCAGGGAGAGAGCCAGTTCCTAGCAAATTCCCGATGGATCTCATCCAAATCTCTTACCCTTCTGGACCTGTAAAGGAGATTAGAGGCTGTCAAAGAGTCCAGACTGAGGCTGGGGTATATTTCAGCAGTACAGGGCTTGCCCAGCATGCATGAAGGTCTGGATAATAAAGAAACAAAACCAAAAGAAACAAATTCCAGATTTCTAGACTCAGACTGTCTGGGTTCAGATACTTATAAACTAGATGAGATAGTCATCAAATTATTTCATTGCCTTCATTTTCTTTACTTTCATCTTCTTGTAAAATGAAAACAGTAGTACCTACCTGGTGGAATGGTAAGGATTAAGTTATTAGAGTGTTTACAGTAGTACCTGCCAGTAATTGCTATGATTATGTTACTGTCAGTTTGCCTTTTCAAATTAGAGCTTTGAGACCTGGGAGTAAAAAGTCAGGGTCACAACTCAAGGCCAGGTCTGATTTAGAACAGAACAGGACTTGCTCTCCTCTTGGGCCCCTTGGTAAAAAAGAAAACAACCACTCCCTTGCCTAGGTCAATTTCTTACTGTAATTAAAAAGTGTTGAGGGCTGAGGAGATAGTTCAGTGGCACAGTACCTGCCTGGCAAGTGTGAGCTTGGGAGTTTGGTTCCTAGTAAACAGTGTTAAGGTGGACTGTGGTGGAGCACACCTATAATCCCAGCACTTGGGACCATGAGGCAGGAAGACTGCTTCTGACTTTTCACAACAGAACAGGGCTGCCTACACTCACCCACTCTGTGTCCTCATGTGTACCCCTGACCCCCTGCTGGATGTGCTCTTCCATGTCCCACCTGATTCACAGCATGCAGTGGACACCAGCACCTGAACACTCCCTCTTCAGTAAGCTGCTCTGGATTTTCTGGACAAGACCCTTCCAGTCTTCCAGATTTCTCCTGGGTTCCCCTTCCTGGATATGGTGTCAGACTCCTGACCTGGTGTCTATTATGTCCAACCTGTACCCTGACTCCGATTTTCATGCTCAGCACATCCAGGTTGGGGTGTAGCCACACCCAGCCCAACTTCTCCCCATCCTGACTCCCTTTACAGTGATGGTGGCCTGTAGTTATTCCAGTTAGTGAGGTCAGGCTCATTTCTTCAGCCCCAGACGCCCCTAGTTCCTTAATGTCAAATCTGGCTTTCCCTCTAATCTTCCAGGGTTCTTTGCTGCTTTAGATCCTCTCATCTGGCTTCCAGGGTCCCTCATGGCCTACGTCCTGCCAAACCTTTTGTCTTCACACTGTTCCAGGGAATGTCTGCAAGCTAAGGAGACCAGCATGAAGTTTTAGGGGCTGTCCTTACTTTCTCCATCCCAACTTTGTTTTGACCTTCAAGACCCAGCTTAAAAACAACATGGTTTGGGAGGCTGAGTCAGGAGGATCACTGTGAGTTCCAGACCAGCCTGGGCTACAAAGTGAATTCAAGGCCACCCTGAATTGCATAACAAGACCTTGTCTCAAAAAGGCAAGAAGACAAACCAGCCAAAAAAAAAAAAAAGACATAGTACACTTGTAATTCCAGCTACTAAGGAAGCTGAGGCAAGTTCAAGGCCCAGACTGAATAATTTAGGGAAACTATCTCAAAATAAGAGCCAGACTTGTAGCTCAGTTGTAGAGCACTTGTGTAACATGCACAAGGCCTGTTTAGTCCCCAGTGCCACCAAAAAACAAAAACAACTTTCTGACAAAGGCACTTTTCTAAATTCTTACTCTTGGCGATTCCTCCTGTCCAACTTCCATTGTAGTTTCAGTTGACAGTGGATTACAATTGCCTGGGTTTGTGTTTTGTTTTGTTGGTACCAGGGATTGAAACTCACAACCAGGGGAGGTGCTTACACCGCTGAGCTAAATCCCAAGCCCAGCCCACAACTACCTGTTTACTTGTCTCTTCTCTGCTATTCACTAGTTGTTTGTTTCTTTGTCATCTACAAAAAAAGAGTTAAGGTCCAGGTGTAGTGTGGTATGCCTGCAATTCCAGCTACTCAGAAGGCTGAAGCAGGAGGAAAGCAAACTCTAGCCTGGCAATTTGTGTGTCTGTCAGGAAACTAAAAAACAAACAAACAGGACGAAAAGGGGGTAGGTAATACACCGTATGTACATAACGAAGTACTTGAAGTACTTAAATCATTAACACAACTTCTCCTTCATCATAGCGGATGGGTGAATACAGTACTATTCGGTCATGGACATGTTGAAGCTACCAAAACACAGCCCAAGGCCCATTCACAGGGCCGAAGAGCACCCCAGCCTCCTTCCTCTCCCCACCCACCTCACTCAAAGGCACGGTGGCGTGAGGATAATACTTTATTCACTAACACGGGCCAAAGAATATAGCGAGGGAGGTGGGCTAGGTTTCCAGGGATCCCAGGAGGCCACTCTTCCTGTCTCCCAGGCCTGGAGCAGCCATGCCCGACATCCCATTTCCCAGCCCAGGTGGGGGGGCAGGAGAGGCGCCATCGGGATAAGGCAACCAGGGTGCTTCCCGATGCACCCCTCTCCAGCCTCCTCAGCCTGACGCTCCCACCTCCACCGCGGCTCAGCTGCCCTCGCATTCGGGGCAGCGCTCGGTGGCCGTGGCGCCCGCGGGCAGCTTGAAGTCCCGGCCGCAGCCAGCGCAGATATACAAGCGGCGCCGCATATGCGCGCGGCGGTGGCGGATGAAGTGAGAGCTAAGACGGAAGCGGCGGCCGCACTCCGTACACGGATATGGCCGCTCGCCTGTGTGCGTGCGCGCGTGCTCCGCTAGATTGGAGCGGTGGCCGAAGCGCCGACCGCACACCGCGCAGCGGTGCGGCTTCTCGCCGGTGTGCACGCGCCGGTGCTTGGCCAGCGCCGAGCTCTGCGCGAAGCGCGTGCCACAGTCGGCGCACGCGTACGGCCGTTCGCCCGTGTGCGTGCGTCGGTGGCGCGCCAAGCACGAACTTCCGCCGAAGGCGCGGCCACAGTCCGGGCACGCGTACGGCTTCTCGCCCGTGTGCACGCGCAAGTGCTGCGCGTAGTTGGAGCTCTGCGCGAAGCGCCGGCCGCAGTGCGCGCACGCGTACGGCTTCTCGCCTGTGTGACGCCGTCGGTGCTGCCGCAGGTTCGAGGCGGCAGAGAAGCGTTTGTCGCACTCAGGGCACTCGTAGGGCCGCTCGCCCGTGTGAGTGCGGCCGTGCTTGGTCAGCGCCGACTTCTGGGAGAAGCGCCGGCCGCACTCGGTGCACGCGAAAGGCCGCTCGCCCGTGTGAGTGCGCGCGTGCTTGGACAGCGTGGAGCGGCGCGCGAAGGCGCGGCCGCAGTCGGGGCACGTGTGGGGGCGCGCCGGGTCGGCTGACGGCGCCGACTTCTCGCCGGGGACCTGCAGGGAGAAGGGCGACACGTCAGCCCTGCTCGAGAGGCCGGGGACCTAGTCTCAACGCGCGACAACCACTGAGCCTCAGTTTCCAATCCGTGAAATAGGAAAGGCAACATGCCTGTCTCAGGACGGTTGTGCCACTTATGTGGTATATAAAATTCAACTAAGGCACATATCTAAATGTCTGCTGGTATTCCAGCTATTTATATTCACCAAATACAGAACGCGTGCAAGGTTCAGCATTAACTAAAATATATTTTTAAAAATTCTGTCTTGCCAAGTGTGGTGGCGCACAGCTGTGATCCCAGTAGTTTGGGGGCTGAGGCAGGAGAATGCTGCAAATTCGAGGCCAACCTGAACTGCATAGTGAGATCCTGTCTCCAAAAGATTTTTAAAATAAATAAATAAAATGTCTTAAAGGGAAAAGGATAAGGATTGCTGATATTGGAGTAATGCTGCACAGGTAAACAGGAGCTTCAAGGCACCTTACTGATGGGTAACAGAGAGTGGGGAGCAGGTGGAGGGGATTGCTTAGCTTCAGGTGGGGCCACAATAAAGCACTTCGGTTTAAAATAATCCAGAAGGGGAGCCATGGGGGATATATCTAAGGGCTTTGGGCGGAAAGGGACTAGTTCACACATATTTAAAAGGCTCCCTCAGGCAACTGGGGTTGAGGACTCAATGAAGGAGAGAGAGCAGAAGCAGAAGCTCAGGATCCTATCATAGTCATCTAGAAAGAAAAGATGGCTTAGATTCAGAAAATGGAAAGAGTGGAGGTGGGGAGAAGTGGCCTGCTTCGGGTGAACGTATTTTACAGTCTGAGACAACAGACTTCATACTAAATTAGTGGATGTGAGGAAAGAGGATAAAAACGACTAAGACTTTTAGACGTAGCAACTGCAAAGCTGTTGTGCCATTTACAGAGACAAGGATAGTGGCAGGAGAATGTTGGAAAGTAAAGTCTGGGGCTGAATCCCCAGTTCTTGACACACCTGAAGCTTAGGACAGAGGCTTAGGATGCAGGTGTCAAACTGTCAACCTTCAGGTGACTTTAAAGCCTTAAAACTGGGGAAGAGCCGCAGGTTAGGGCAGAGAGCACCTAGGACAGCAAGCTGAAGAGGGGAACAGGACAGGAGGGTGACATCTTGGCTGCCGGACCAAGGTTAGGTCCAGGATCTTTAAAAACCTTTTCAGGGCTGGTGTTTAGCTCAGCAGCGTAAGTGCCTACTTGGCAAACGCAACCTCAAGGTCATGAGTTCCATCCCTGGCACACACAAAAAAATAAAAACCTTTTCAGAGCCAGCTGTGGTGGCATGCACCACCACGTGAGTGCTGACTCATGAGGCCGAGGCAAGAGGATCACAGATTCAACACCAGCCTTGGCAATTTTGTGAGACCATCTCAGAATAAAATTTAAAAGGATTACGGATGTAGCTCAATGGTACAATGCTTGCCTAGAATGCTTAGGACCCTAGGTTTAATCCTGAGTAACAGGGGAGAAAATTAATTCATAATCAAAGGAAGCACCTGCCACATATTAAGAACGAGACAGTGTTAACCTCCAACATTCAATCTCTCCTTATTCTCTTTTTTTTTCGTGCTGGGGATCAAACTCACAACCTCGCTCTTGCCAGGCAGGTGCTTATGCTGCTGAGCTAAATCCCTGGCCCTTATTCTCATTTTTTAAAATGAGAAAACAAAAGAGGGTAAATGGAGCCAGGAATAGTGGCACATTACTGCAGTCTCAGCACTTGAAGACTGAGGCAGGAGGATGATAGTACTACACTGCAAGCAAGACCCTGTCCCAAAAACAAAACACAAAAAGCATGATAAATGACACCTAGAGAGGAGTCTAGCCTTTTTTCTAAAGCTGCAGAAGAAACTCCTCAGCCTTTAAAATCCTTTGTCAAAGCCAGACATGGTGGCACACACCTGAAATCCCAGCACTTGGGGAGACCAAGGTAGGAAGATCACCACAAGTTTAAGGTCAGCCTGGGCTACATAGTGAGACTGTCTCAAAGAACAAAACAAAAAATCCTTTGTCAAGAGAATGGCTTTGAATTCAAAATGGAAAAACGGGACAATTTGGGAAATTAGAGACAGCCAGGGGAACTCTACTTTAAATTGTACGTATACACTTTTTGCCTGAACTGCCATCTTTCAGTAATTTGCCAAAATGACAAACACCAAAGGAAAGAGGAAGGGACCTCAGTATATGTCCTCTAGGCCTTTTAGAAAACATGGGGTTGTTCCTTTGGCCACATATATGCAAATCTACAAAAGAGTCATATTGTAACATCAAGGGAATGAGTACTGTGCAAAAAAGAACACCACACAAATGTCACATGGCAAGACTAGAAGGGTCTGCAGCGTCACTCAGCATGCTGCTGGCATTGCCGTGGACAAGCAAGCAAGTCAAGGCCAAGACACTTGCCATGAGGACCAATGTGCGTATCGAGCACATCAAACTCAGAGTTGGGACGGCTTGCTGAAACGGGTCAAGGAAAAGGACCAGAGAAAGAGGGACCCCAAAGAGAAGGCCACCTGGCTTCCCCCAGTGCCAGCCAGCCCCGCCCAGAGGCGACTCACTTCATGAAAGGAGAGGGGCTGGGGGGGTTCCCATGTACCCCGTGGAGCCTCAAAAACAAGATGGCACAGTGTTTTGGAAGGATGGTTTTCCTAACTGACAGGTGTGTAGTACCTTTATATAACAGAAACAGACATTTGGAGCAGATGCTCATTGTACCTACTTCATTGTGTCAGGCTTTTCTTCAGTGTTTCTCTTACTGAATGATGTGAGGTATTGTGCAGGTGTATACCCAAATGGCCAAATATTTATGAAATCTTTATATTGGCTTGGGGGTCCTCTAAATCACCATGGGGAAAAGATGTATCAAAATGAATAGAAGTCTGTGTACAGCATTTCAGTTAAATTGTTTAAAGCAAAAAAAAAAAAAAAAAATTGTGTGTATGGACATGGTACTGCATGGCTATAATCCCAGCACTCAGGAGACTGAGGCAGGAGGGATCACTACAAGTGTGGGGGGCAGCGTGGGCTACAAAGTGAGACACTGCCTCAAAAAAAAAAAAAAAAAAAAAAAAAGACTTAAGCTGGACTCCAAGTCCCTGGTTTTCTTCAAGAGGACTCAAGAAACTCCCCAAAGCAGTCAAGGTCATACTTTACAGTCTTTCCCTAGCTTTGACATCTTTTGGGTTTATGTCGACATGTTGGCCACTGTGAGAAGAATTTTTCTCATTACATCTACATTTTTCTAGTCCTTTTTCCTTGATAACCTTCTTCATGGGAACTTTGAAGCCAAAAATAGTGAGGCATACCTGTAGTTCCAGCACTCAGGAGGCTGAGGTAAGAATATTGCCAGTTCAAGGTCAGTCTGAGCCATACAGTGAACTTTGAGGTCAGTCTGGGCTACAAAGGGAGACTATCCCCAAAACAAAACAATTGTGATTTTTGGCTAGACTGAGGACTTCCTCGTACTAGCTTCACTGACTGATGAAAAAGGAGTTGTTCACATAAGAATCTTTATTGTCTCCAGCCCAGGAAGAGGAGCGGGTGGGTTCCCAAAGAAGAATCTTGGTGAGGGGCTCCATCTAACTCATCAAGACCTCAGACTAGTCACTCCCTTCCCTGCCTTAGTATGCCAAGGAAAGCCAGATAGGTTAGGTAAGATAGAAATTTCCCACCTTGGGGTGTATACACCACAGGATGCAAGAGCATTCTAGGTGGTGTGTGGGCAAATTTTTATTTTAGTCATTGTGTGTTCATTTTATGGACATAAGAAAAACAACAGATCACATGCAACCTACCGTAACATCAATATTACTGTTCACATGAAGGTAAATTTATTTAGCAAAACACTGTGAATTTAAGAAGAACATTAGTACATAATGTGAGGAAGATATATGAGAGACCTATGACTGCAACTTGGCAAATACTATACTGCACAATCATTAAAGGCTCTTTCTTTTCTCTTGCTTTCTTTTTTCTGTAGTATGTAAGTTGAACTCAGGGCTTTTCCACTGAGCTACTGCCCCAGCCTATTTTGAGTTAGGATCTCACTACGTCACTAAGTTGTCCACCCTGGGCTTCAATCTATAATCTTCTTTCTCAGCCTCACTTAGCACTAGAACTACAATCACACTTTGGTACTCACCTTTGAAACTTGAATTTGGTACTTGACACATTTCTATGAGAAAATTTTGTCAGTTTGTCATTTGTGACAGAACAAACTAGAGCTTGTCGGGGTCAACTGCCTTGTAACTTGTTACCCTTTGCAGGCAAGACAAGTTGTCTGGTATTCATCATTTTTGGTATGCACCTCCTAGAACAGTGGTGGTGGAACTAATTAATGACAAGTACCAAAGTTACCTTGGTACAATCATGTGCCACCACATCCAGCTCATTAAAGGCTCTTAGATGTCTTAAACTCTGTAACTTTTAGATTTAAAAATTAGAATATTTCTACTGTAGTAAGCATGTTCTGTGGAATAATATAATAATCCATGTATTAGAAATTAAGGATTTTGGGGGCTGGGGATTTAGCTCAGCGGCATAAGCGCCTGCCTTGTAAGCAGGCAGTCGTGAGTTCGATCCCTGGTACCGATAAAAACGAAAAAGACAAAAAAAAAAAAAAAAAGAAATTAAGGATTTTGTTTTATTTTCTTTTGTTTTTAAGACAGGGTCTTGTGGGGGCTGGGGATTTAGCTCAGTGGCATAAGCACCTGCCTTGCAAGCAGGCAGTTGTGAGTTCGATCCCCGGTACTGATCAAAAAAAAAGAAGTGCCCTACTACTGAGCTACATCCCCAGCCCCTTAAATCTTTAAGTTTCCTCCTCCAGCTGTTACTTTTCTGTTAATAATAAGACAATTAGTAATAACTAATTAATAAATAACTACCATTTCTCAAACTCAGAGCCTCAAATATTCATTTCAAATTATTTCCATACTGCTGGGGATACAGCTCAGCAGCACAGTGCCTGCCTGGCAAGCACAAGGTTGTGAGTTTGATTCCAGGTACCAAAAATAAATAAATAAATAAATAAATCCTATACCTTGGGCTAGGTACCTTAGCCCTCGTTTCTAAGTAACATGCAAAAGTTCAGTGCTCAGACAAGGCCATACAGCTAACAAGCGGCAAAACCAGGGTCTGGAGTAGAAATCTGGCATTGTTCAAAATACCTAGCCTACAAGGCAATTCTAATCTCACTGACTAAAGTGAGGTCATATACACTGCTTGTCTCCCTTCTCTGGACCCTTTTAGTACTTAGAATTGTCCTTCTATCTGGGACAAAGTATAAAACACAACTCCTATCCTCTAGTCCTTTGCTCTAGGCAGTGTGACCCACAGACTAGTTATACCAAGCACCACCAGGAACTTGTTAGAAATGCTAACTTTCAAACCCCACCCCAGATTTGCTAAATCAAAATCCTCATTTTAGGCTGGGTATGCAGCTTAGTAGTACAGCCTTTGCCTAGCACATGCAAGGCTCTGGGTTAAATCTGCAAAATGAAACAAACAAACAAAAATCTCCATTTTAACAAAATCTACAGGTGATTTATATACATGTTAAAAACTAAGCAACCTGCCCACAATCCTATAATCTTGGCTATTTTACAAGGATCAGAAGTTTGAGGTTAGCCTGAGCTAATGTGGTACCCTACATTAAAAAAAAAAAAAAAAAAAAAGGCTACCTGACCTAGAGGAGAAAGGAGCTACTCCTAGAAAAAAGGTTTTACAGACTATCCATAAGGGCAAAACCTGAGAAGTAGCAGGTCATGGTGGTGTATGCCTGTAATCCCAGCAATCAAGAGGGTGAGGCAGCAGGATCACTGTGAGTTCAAGGCTGACCTGAACTGCACTGTGAAGCTTTGTCTCAAAAAGACAAAAATAAAAAATTTAAATGTAAAAAATCCTGAGAGGTAAGAGGGAAAGGGTATGTCTGAAGCTGGGCGTAGAACTAGCATCAAGGAGTTAGTATCCACCAGGACGACACAAGGTCAGAGGGTGAAGAGCTTTGAAGGCCAATCCTAGGAACTAAGACTTCAAAGGAAAAAGAAAACCACTCCATGGTTAAGCCAGGGAGACAGGTATAGAAATGCACACAACCTTTCTGAGAAAACTCTTTCTACCCCTTAAAGATAGAGTAGGCTGGGCAAAGTGGCATGCATATGATTCCAACTACTTGCTAGGCTAAGGTAGGAGCGTCTGAAGTTTGAGGCCAACCTGGGCTACATAGTTCAAACCCAACATGGACTACACTGACTCAAAAACCCCAAACAAACAGTAAAACAAATAGCTGGTGGTACAGTTCAGTGGTAGAGTATCCCTGGGGTCAGTGTATAGAACAGAAGAAGATGAGAAGTGGGTTTTGATAGGCAGGGAGAGGATACGCCAGTCCTCAGTGAATGTAGCACAGTTAAGGTTTATACTGGCAAGTGACTTGTCAGGGGACTGACTGGGTGATAGCTAAGAATCACAGAGTATCACAATGGGAAGGAGGTAACAAATTTATAGAAAGAGAAATGAGGCTCAGGGAGCCCACACAGCAAATCACTGAGCTGTTTTTTTGTTTTGTTTTTTTTTTTGTCTTTTTGAGACAGGGTCTCACTATGCAGTTCAAGCTGGCCTAGAGCTCACTTTGTAGCACAGACTGGTCTTGAACTTGCAACGATCCTCCTGCCTCAGCCTCCCAAGTGCTGGGATTACAGGTGTGTGCCACCACACCCAGCTTCACTAGGCTGACTTGTAGACAGAGTGCTCAGTGTTCATAGCCCATGTGGAGTCCTCAATTCCACCCTCCTCCACATCCACTTACCCAAACGACACTTCTCAGGCTGGCATTCAAAGATTCATGTCATTATCCAATTTTATAAGATGAGGAAGCAGAGGCAGAGTTGGTAAACGGTCGAGCTCACATCTGAGCAGTTCCATGGTGATTTACATGCTGGCCCCACAATACCTCCGATGATTCACTCTGGGCCCTCCCTTCACCCCAGTCCCACCAATCCAGTTAAGGCTCCCACATTTTCCCTCTCAGTGTGGCCTCTACTCCAAGCAAGCTGCCAATCTCTGTTGACCTGATGTTCCCACAGCAACCAATGATTCTCTTTGAGGGACAATCTCATCACACTGGGCTCCTGATTTAAGGGTTCTAAGCTTTCATACTCTGGCCCCATCCATCTATCTAGTCTCATCTCTAATCTTTGCTTCTGTTCTTTCTTCTCCCATTTTTCAACCCCTACACAGGCCCTGCCTGAGGCAGTTTGTCCTCAGTGCTCTGTCCAGGCCTCCACGTTGGTTTCTCTGTTCATTTTCAGTCCTCAAAGGTCAGTCCCAAAATGGCCTTTCCTAAAAATGAGTTGGTAGAGGGCCGGAAATTTAGTGGCATAAGTGGATCAGTGGCATAAGTGCCTGCCTGGTAAGTGTGAGGTCGTGAGTTCAATCCCCAGTACCAAAAACAACAACAAAAATGAGTTGGCAAGGCTCCAGAAAGATGACTTAGTCCAAGGTCCTGAACTTTAGGGAGAAGATTAACTGTTTATATAATGTTTATTATGTGTCAGAATCAGTTATAACTCTACATATTATGTCAATCTTCATAAGTAAGAAAATGCTATCAAGGTTTCATTTTACAAATGAAGGAACTAAGGAATAACATGGTTAAGAAACTTGCCCATGATCACGCAGTTGGTACAGGATACAGTTTGATGTTCACCCTAAGCTCTGCAGTCTGTGTACTTACAGGCTAAAAGAGGAGGCCGAGCTAGGATGATGGGCCAAGCAAACAGAACTAGTTACAGATTTTAAACCAGAAGTGGCCGCCACTCCCCCGGACCCACCATGCCCACTAGGGGGCAGCAGAACATTCTTTCCCTGAGAACCGGACTCAAACATGGCAGAGCAGGCTCCAGCCAGAGGCAGGGGGCCGCCGGAGTCCTGTGTGGCTCAGGGAAGTGGAAACATATCTGGTAGCAGTTAGGGTCTGGAATGGTGGAACTGACTTACTGTGAGATCCTTAAAACATTCAGCGACTCTCAAGATAAACCCAGACTCCCAGTGTGGCCTGGCAACCAACCCGCTCTTCTACAGTTCAGGCCTTCACTGCTCAGTTCTTGCTTCCCTGAGCTCTGAAAGGCCAGGCCCTCCAGCTGGGCCACTCCACACTTCAGTCCTGATTCCTGCTGGTCTCAGATATCTTGTACTACTTTGAGACCTTGTGCCAATTACCAAATTGTCCTGGGCCAGCCTGGGATATTAGTTCAAAGCCAGTATGTACTACATTGTGACTTGAAAACCCCAAATAAGTAAATATATAGCTGGTGTTATAGTTCACCTGTAAAATGGAATAAATGCTCCCTACAACATAGAATGGAGGAGCTGAAAACAGTGCCTGACGTATATAAGAGCCAACTGTTTTTACTGTTGCCTAATCTGACTCCCCTACCTCTGAGTCTGCAGAGTCTGCCCCTCTGGGCTTCTTCACCCTGGTGTATCTGCCCATCACATGGTGCTGGGTCAGCCTTGTTGTGGTCACTCTAGCCCTGCCAGACACCAAGCTCCATGGGGATCTGCAGGTACAGTTTATAACTGATCTTAGCCAAAAGGCGAAGAAGTGATCTCCGGGTACAGTTTAATCCCACAGATCGCTTGGGGCCTGGTACACAATAGGTAAGATATCTGGAGGGTGGGAGCCGGGGCACCAGACAAGATAGGCCAACCTTGAGGTTGGCTGGGGGAGAAAGGGACAGGATTGCTGGCTGCCTCCCAGGGAGGCTGAGCCTGGACCAGGTTTGGAGGTCGTGGGCTCCAGGGGGAGTTATGTGTCACATACCTCCTTGGTGTCCATGGGGATCTTGAGTTTCACCACCTCATACTTCTCCTCACCCTCTTCCTCCTCACCCTTCACCAGTAGCACCATCTCCTCCTGCATCTCTTCCTCCTCCTCCTCCTCTGCCTGCTGCTCGCCCGGCATCTTGGTGTCCTGGGGCGGGGACCTGGGTTAGAGGCTCAGGACCCGCCTTCCCACCCTGGTCCCTGCCCAGGCCTAGCAGTGAGCCGTGGCTTCTCCCGCCCTGCCCTGGCCTCAGAGTCCGGACCTTCTACCTTCCACCCTTGCCCGGCCCTATGCTACGACACTGCCCAGGGACCAGTTCCGTGGACATCCGTGCACTCCACTCATACCGGTATTCAAGGCCCTCAGCCAGTTCGAATCTCCAGCCTCCGGGAGCCGACACCCTCCCCGCGCTGAGTCACTCCCTGGAGCAGGGGTCGGGTAAGGGCTGTAGGCGGGATGGGGCGGAGACCCCGGGGAGGGGCGCGCACTCACCAGGGGAAGACTCGGCGCTCGCGCGGCCACAGGCCTGAGCGCCAGGCTGCCGGGCGCTCTGCGAGGCCGCGGCTCGGGGGGCGGGGCAGGGGCAGTGCCCCGAGCGGTGCTCATTGGTCCTTAACCTGAGCCCCGCCTCTGGGGAGGGGCCCAAAGGACCCAGGTATGGGGGTCCGACCGCCCCTCGAGGTTGGCGAGCCGTGATGCTGCGCAGTCCTCTCCCAGGACTCCTAAAGCACCAGAAGCCGCGGCAATCTGGCGTTCAAGGCCCTCACAGCGCGTTTGACCTACCCTTGAGGCTTGCCTTCTTGGACGGTTCGGAGATCTCTGGCGCGGCCAAGCGCGTCTGCTCCGCCCAAAATAGGCCACTTGTACTCCCGCCCCGGCTCGGGCCTCTCGCTGGCGCCCCGCCTGGAGGGCGGACCCTGTTGCCTCTTAACCTCTTTTCTTCCCTCTTTTTTTCTTCTGCCGTCTTTATTCCTTTTTCCTTCCCTAATCTCTTGGCTTGAGGGCATAGCTTGTTCTTTGAATACGTCCTACACAAACCAAAAATCACTCCAACTACCGCTGTCATTTATCCTGTAGTGTGCCTAAGGTGTGCCATTTATACTAAGAGTTTACACACTTGCTTTCCTTTGAGCTGCACGATGAGAATCAAGGCCCATTTTACTGAGAACTGCCTAAATTAACCTGTAAAGATGTCATAACATTTTTAAAGAGTAAGAAAAAAGGGCTGGGGTTTTAGCTCAGCGGCATAAGCGCCTGCCTTGCAAGCAGGCAGTCGTGAGTTCGATCCCTGGTACTGATAAAAACGAAAAAGACAAGAAAAAAAAATGTCATAACATTCTTAACAACCTGTATGTCACCTAGGTGGAAAATTAGTAGCCCAGGGCTAAATGCAGTTTATGGGAATATCTTATTTGGCCTTTAGGATTTGTACTTTTAAAAAAAAAAAAGTTTCATAATACATCTGTGTGCTGGGCATAGTGTACACTGCTGTAATCCTAACAGTTGGCAGGCTGAGGTAAAAGGATTGCCACAAATTTAAGGCCAGCCTGAATTATCGATTGAGACCCTGTCTCAAAACAAAACAAAATACATCATGTATGAGCCTTTGATCTTAGTCCCCAGCACCACCACCACCACACACACACACAAAAATTTCTAAAGAAGCAGGTTATGGTGGTACATGTCCATGATCCCAGGAAGCTGATTTCAAGGCCAGCCTAAACTACATAGTGAGCGTCTGTTTCAAAAACAAAACAAAAAATCACAAGGAAAATCTTTTACAAGTTTTAATTTTCAACATGAGAAAACTGGGACATAGGCTGAGGATCATGCCTAGCGTGTGAGGCCCTGAGTTTGATTCCTAGCACTGCAAAGAACAAAAAAGAAGAGAAATAGAGAAGGGAGGAAAAAAGGGAAAGAAGAAAGAAACTCAGTGGTGCACACCCAGAATCCCAGCCCTTGGAAGGCTGAGACAAGTTCACTGCCAGCTTGTACTACTTGTCTCAAAACTGAAAGAAAAAAGAAAAATTGCAATATTGCATATAGAAATTTGTATTTCCCATTTTCTTAAATAAACAGATACCTAATTTTCCCATTTTATGACTGACAACTAATGTGGGGAATGATGGCACATGCCTATAATCCCAGCAATTAAGAGGCTGAGGCAGGAGTTTGTGAGTTTGGAGCCTGGGCTACAAGTGAAGTCAAGGCCAGCCTGTATTGCATAGTGAAGCCCTGTCTGAAAAAAAAAATTAAAAATAAAATAAATGACAATTTAGAAAGAAAGAGAAACAACAAGCAATAAGTATTTAATCTGTGTATGTCTCTTCACAACAGCTCTATAAGGATCAATAAAAATAATGTTTGATAAATGAGAAAACTCAGGCTTAGAAAGGTAAAGTAATTACTCAAAGTGTCACAGCTCGCAAGCAGCAGATGCCAAGCTTTTGCTCTTCTATTATACTATTTCTCAGGAATGAAGTTCTACCAGGAAACTGGCAGCAGAGCCAGGATTCAAATCTAACCCTCTGCAGGGGAAGGCATGATTTGGATGCTAGGATTACATCTACTAGAATTTTGGCTCTCCCTCAGTGTTGGGAAAATAGGGCAAGTCCTGGGCATTTATACACAGCATCCCCAAAAAGCTGCTTTGATTGTGTTTGTTCTTTACCCAAGCATTTATGGAGGTTTCTATGACTGACATCATCACTATTGAAGATTCAGTAGTGAGAAACACAGAAATATCTTGGCATCTTAGGCATTTATAAGGGTATAGAAAAGGTAATGTGGGACTGGGGATTTAGCTCAGCGGCATAAGCGCCTGCCTTGCAAGCAAGCAGTCGTGAGTTCGATTCCTGGTACCGATAAAAAAGACAAAAAAAAAAAAAAAAAAAAAGAAAAGAAAAGAAAATGTGATGTGCAGGTGAAATCTCCAGGCATGGAGACTGAGGCAGAAGGATCATGAGTTTGAGGCTAGCCTAGGCTACATAGTAGGTCGGGATACAGGTTAGGATACAGGAAGACCCTGTGGAAAGAAAAGAGGGAAGGAAGGAATGAGAAGAAGGAGGAGAAAAATAAATAGACAAAGCAAAAGAAGGAAGGGGCCAAGGTAGAGGGAAGAAAGGAGGGAGGGAGGAAGGAAAGAAAGAAGGAAGGAGGCAGGTTTGTGACGATCTAAATGAGCTAACAAGGGGAACTCTAGTAGAGGGAATTCCAGTGAATGTATGCAGGGGCCGAATTATGGTGAGAAGTCATCTTTAGCAAAAGCAAAACTTGTTCTCCTAGTTTCAGCTTATTTGTTGAGAAGACTCACTGGGGACCTTCCTCTGGGGGCATGAAATGTCCCCAGTGGAAGGAGCTTCCTGCTACTTAGAACAGGTGCTTGTTGAGAGAAGACAAAGGGCTCTGTTAACTTGTTCCACAAACATACACAGTACAGGTACCCTACTTGCACTCCCATCTAGTTATTTTTCTTGACAATCTCATAATCTAGTAAAAAGAATGTGATAAAATATAATATACTGAATTAGGGACATGGCACACTGGTAGAGGAGGTACACAGTGCATGCAAGGATATGGGTATGATCCTATTATGGTTTGAGAACTGGTGTTATGGTTTGAGAACTTAACGCCAGCTGGATTACATCAGCATGCATTGAGTGAAGATGCTCCACCTAAGGAGGGTTGCCAGGATAAATAGGTGGAGAAGGAAGGTGTAGAGGGTTGAGGCGTTAAGGTGACATTGTGGGTTCTCCTATGAGTTGCTGTCTGAGCTGTTGGTTCTCCTGGGGAAGCTCTGGTCTTCACATTGAGCATTGCTTCCTGGCTCCGGAGGGCAAGACATGTGCTGCTTGGTCTCCAGGGTGAACTCGTCACGCTGCTTCCTGGCACGTACCCAACTGTGCTTGTCATCGGAGGAGCTCGGGACCTCCGTGTCATTGAGGACGGTTGTGGTGCCTTCAGGATAGCCCTGGTCTTTGTTGTGAGTGTGGCTTCTCGGCTCCAGCATAGAACCCTCATCCCACTAGCACAGCTCCTTCATCCTGCTGGCATAGACTTTCTGGCTTCCACCGCTGACCCTTGGGTCTTCCTGGCACGGATCCATAAAAGAGACTGACGTGAGTCCTACTTGTGGGCTCTGGACCTCCAGTTGGACTCGTGGGAAGCATTGTCCTGAGCTCTGGATTTTTATCTGGACTCATGTGGAAGATTGCTTTGGGGTTTAGGCTCTTGACTAAATAATCCATGTCTTTGGTGTTGTGGATAGATTCCCTGCATTTTCTTGTGTTAACTTCCGGTGACCATTATAAAAATATTATAAACTCCATGTCCTAATCCTAGTTGTTCTCTGTGTACAACCCCTGACTACAACAGATCCTTAACACTATATCTATATATATAATATTATATATGAAAAGGACAAACGGTACAATGATGCACACTGTGATCTCAGGAAGCTGCAGTAGGAGGATCACGAATTCAAGGTCATCTGGGGAACCTAGTGATAAAAGTCTGGGGATGTAGCTCAGTGGGAGCACACCCTTGGGTTTAATCCCAGTACAGGGAAGTGGAGGGGTCCAATAGGTCTTCCAGCTGAAGAATCTTGGAGTGAGTGTGAAACTCCATTGAGATGAGTAGGCACTGGATCCATATTGGGTGTCAGCCTCACTGAGGAGATAAGGTGGAAAGGGTCTTGAAAGAGGAGCAGGAGTTTGCCAGATTAACCAAGTTTATGAGATTGTAAACTCTTGTGGCAAGCACATCATATTTCAAGAACACCTTCACAAAAGCATCTAGTGAGGCATATGAGTGCCAGGCCCCTGCTGGGACTGGGAGTAAAAAACTGAATTTGGAAAAGTTGCCATCTTCCTCCTCATTGTTCTGCCTCTCACTACTTGCCTCACTGAATTTTACCTTGCTTATTCCTTGAAAGTTTGGCGCATGTTCTTTATTTTGCCTACAAGATTTCATGTCATATCTCAGCCTCAGCCTCTCCTTTTTTTGGAGGTAGGGAGGGGTAAATGAAGATTGTGCCCAAGGCCTTGCACTGAGCTACATCCCCAGTCCTTTCATATTTTTTAGTTTGAGACAAATTGCTCAATCGCTAGATTGCCCAGGTTGGAACTTTTAGGCCTCTTGCTTCAGCTTCCCTAAATGCTGGGGTTGCAGATAAGTGCCATCTATCATTTACTCACTGATTGATTGGCTCATTGAACCCTGTTCCCCTCTGTTACCCAGGCTGATCTTGAATTCCTGGGATTCCTGAGCTTCAGCAATCTTCCTCTCCTAACCTCCCCAGGGACTACAGACTACTGCCAGAGACAGTTTAGAAAGGAAGAAGCTGACAAGTGTCGTGGTGCACGCTCATAATTCCAGCACTGCAGAGGCTGCGACAGGAGGATTACCACAAGTTCCAGGCCAACCTGGCCAACAGAGACCAGAGTGGATTACATGGTAAGGCAGTCTCAAAAAAAAAAAAAAACAGGGTGAAAGCTGCCTTAGAATCAAGGACTTAATATTTGTGTGTGTGTGTGTGTGTGTGTGTGTGTGTGTGTAATTCATGAAACACAGACCTATAAAAACCACCGAAGTAGAAGGCTTACATGCCAACTAATGAGTTACTCTTTGTGGAGAGCACACGGGGAGATTGGAAGGGTTTTTTTGCCTTTGGTGGAGGGGGCATGGCCAAAATCCACTGCAGTCCACTGAAGGCCAAATTGTCAGGAAAACTCTCAAGGAGGATCTTCCAAAAGCCCCTGCAGCTTTGCTGAAGCCAAAGTGTGTCCTCGCACTTTTGGGTGGAAGCTGGCAAAAGAGGCCCAGGCCTGCTGCAGTTTGGAGGTTTCCAATAGTACTTCAGCCTGGCAGGGGTGGGAGGATTTTGAGGCGGCACCCTAAAGAAAATGTTCATTGGTTTCTAGGGAAGCCAGTCAGGTGGTTGAGCCCTCCCGTGAACCCCTATCCAAGAACATTACTGCAACCACTGGGACCCCAAGACTGCTGAAGTTGAAAGCAATGAGTGAACACACGTAGTGTTTTTTGTCCCTGGCCAATTAGATGAGGTCTTACCCCTTCCTATTGGCAGTCTCATAACAAACTGGGCCACGAGTCCTGCTCCCAGACAGAACAGGCACTGGGGAATGCGGGTGGCCTCCCTCTGGGCTGGAGGGCCAGACAATATGCTTCTTGTAGGATGGGGCCTCAGACGCAGTGTACCAGGATCTGAGCATTTGATGTGCCTGCCAGGCAGGTGGGCACCATCTTGTGTAGGGACACTCACACCCCACTTTGTCAACTGCCCTCCCCCCTCAGGCTAGCCCATTTTTCCTTTTAAGTCAGGAGCTCCAACCTATTGTATTTATGGTGCCTGTAGGAAGCACGACCTTAGACATCAGTTGATGGGATCTGGTGGCAGCCTGAAAAGCAGACGTTAAGAGCTATAAAGAGCCTGACTGTGCCAAGACAATTTTATTTAATGGGTCAAAGAAAGGGATCCACGCTAGTTTACAAAAAGCTTGAAGACTTTGTCTATGGTGAAACCTTCACATTTCCAATTCTTGCCCTGCATATAGATGCGTATACACACACTCACCCCTACACAGAATTCAAACTTCAAACAAGAAATAGTTTATTAGTAAGGAGACATATGGGAATGTGGCCTCTTTTCCTTCTAGTCCTGCACTCACCCAGAGTGGGTTGCTGCAAATATCCACCAGGACCTGGGTGTGGCATCCAGACTGCCCACTACGAGCATTCCTCCTGCTGGCTCATCTGTTCTGTTGGTGAACAAAGGGCACACAGGTCTGGCCCACTTAAGTGCTGCCTTTTCCTGGCTGAAATTATGTCCTGTAGATGGAGGTTAGGAGGTTACTTTCCCCTATAGGATGGTCAAGATGCCCTCGCTCTTTTTTTTTTTTTTTTTTGTCTTTTTCCTTTTTATCAGTACCGGGGATCAAACTCACAACTGCCTGCTTGCAAGGCAGGCGCTTATGCCGCTGAGCTAAATCCCCAGCCCCTGCCCTCCCTCATTTTAACACCTTAAATTCCACAAGTCCTTTTGCTGCACCTATCAGGTCATACCTGGTCTCTGAGGGGAAGCTGAAAGGAGTCATTTTCTTTTCTTGGTACTGAGGATCGAACCAAGAGAACACTGAGCTAAACCCCAGCCCTTTCTGAGACAGGGTTTCTCTTAAATTGTCCAGGGTGGCCTCAAATATATTCCTTCCTCAGCTTCCTGAGTAGCTGGGATTACAGCTATCAATTATCCCACCTTACCAAGGGGTTAGTTCCTAAGCAAAGAGACAATGGGAATACAGTATTTTAAGGGTCCTCAGACTAAGGCCAGTTTCTATTTTAACAAGTATTCACTGAGTGTTTACTGTGTACCAGACAGTGTTCTGGAAGTTGGAAGTTTCAGCCCATACCAGCGAGGTCCTAACACCTAGCCAGGATGGTTTCCTGAGTGTCGAGGTTATGGTCTCCAGTCTGTCTCTATCTATTTGCTTCTCTCTTGTCTCTTCCCCTCCTCCTCCCCCCACTACCTCCCACACCCTGTCTTCTCTGCTTCAGTAGCAGATCTCCCTTTGGTCTCCTGGGCCCCCCAAACCCTATCATTCCAGTCCGGCTGGTGGCTCCTCCTTGAGGGGCCTTGCCTGACCATCCCCTATCCCAAAGGGCCTCAGGACCAGGTGCCCACGCTGGTGCTTGATACGGGCAGAGCTATCACCAAAACCTTTGCCACACTCGGCACACTTGTATGGCTTCTCTCCAGTGTGTGTGCGCCTATGTTTGACCAGATCTGAGCTCCGGGGAAACTCCTTCCCACAAAAGCCACACACATGGGACTGGCTGGGTCCAGAGGGCTGGGTATGGGCTATAGGTCGAGAGGCCATGGGTGCTGGACCAGGAGGGTTATGTGGCCGCAGGAGAGTAGATGGTGGTGGTGGCCGAGCATGTTCACCACGGTGAGTGCGCAGGTGCTTGACTCGTGCTGAGCTGTCAGCAAAGCCCTTGCCACACTCAGGACAGAGGTAAGGTTTCTCCCCTGTGTGCACACGATGGTGTTTTACTAGGTCAGAGCTTCGGCGGAAAGCCTTGCCACACTCAGGACACTTGTGGGGCTTGTCACCCACTGTCAGTGGTGGGGGTGGCTCACCAGCCTGCGGGCCCCCAGGTTCTAGTTCCAAGCCAGGTAAGCCAAAAGGCCCATCACCTGAGTGTGAAGGACTTCGAGGAGTCAGTGGGGGACTGGTGGCAAGAGGAGGTGGAGGTGGGCTGGGGATTAGCGGGGCTACAGGGTGGCTGGGGAAGCTGAAGGCCTGGGGCTGCATGTGAGTGAGGCGGTGTCGGAGAAGAGTGGAGCTGAGGCTGAAGGTGCGGTCACACTCTGGACAGGCATGTGGCCGCTCGCCACTGTGGGTGCGGAGGTGCTTGACCCTGGCGGAGCTGTCAGCAAAGCCTTTGCCGCATTCAGGGCACAGGTAGGGCTTCTCCCCTGTGTGCACCCGCAGGTGTTTCACCAGGTCAGAGCCCCGGGCAAACTCCTTCCCACACACATCACAGCCAAAGGGTTTGGGCCCTAAGTGACTGCGCTGGTGGCTCAAGAGGCTACAACTGAGCACAAACCTTTTACCACAATCTGTGCAGATATATGGCTTGTCCTGGGCCTTGGGTCCCTGTGCAGTTGCAGTGGCTGCCCGAGATGGCTGTCTTCGGGGTACGACTGGCTGGGGGGGCTGTTCCCCTCGGTGTGTCCGCTGGTGCTTTATTCGGGCAGAACTGTCACTGAAGCCCTTGCCACAGATGCCACATTTGTAGGGCTTCTCACCGGTGTGGGTCCGCTGGTGCTTCACTAGGTCGGAACTCTGCCGAAAGCTCTTGCCACATTCACCGCAGATAGTGGGGCGTTCACCAGCAGGGATCCGGGGTCGAGAAATCTTTGGGGGACCCTGGGCTGGTGGCTGGGCTCTATAGGGCTTCTCACCACTGTGAGTTCGCTGATGTTTGATGCGGGCTGAGCTATCCCCAAAGCCCTTGCCACAAACCCCACACTTATAGGGTTTCTCCCCGGTGTGAGTCCGCTGGTGTTTCACCAGATCTGACATCTGCCTGAAGCTCTTGCCACACTCACCACACACTGCAGTTCGATCAGTACTGGCCTGGCCCCAGCGTGGTTCTCCCAGGACCTGGGGGCCTTGGTCCCGAGCCTGAGGCTTTCCTAGTCCCCCTCTTTGGACCCATAAGTCATCCCAGGTCTGGATGCCTTCAGGTTTGAGAGAATCATTTCTTACTTCATGACCTGGGGCCAGATCTTCCTCTTCCTTATACTCCAATTCATCCTCATCCTGTGGAGTACGTTCAAATTCATTTGACTGAGAAATCTCCATATTCTCACTTCCTAAACCTAGAGAAAAAAAAATGAGATTGTAGACCTCAACCTTTAGCTCAGCCTTTATCACTTTCTTTTGGTGTATATTTGTTTGTTGGGGTTTTGTTGTTGTTGTTGTTTTTTGACAGGATCTTGCTGTGCAGTTCAGGCTGGCCTTAAACTTGTGGTGATCTTTCTGTCTCAGCCTCCCGACTGCAGAAGTTATAGACATGCACCACCATGCCTGTCATCTTTTGGTATATATTTGGTGCTACAGATCAAATCCAGGGCTTAGCACACTCCAGCAAGTGCTCTACTACTGGGCTACAATCCCAGCCCCCTCCTTCAGCCTCTATGTTTAAAAATAACCTCCTCAGGAAGACTTCCTTGCAAACATATGGCCTCAAGAATCCCTCATTCTCTGAATTTCTGGAGCATTTACTGTGAATACCTCCCTATAATAACAACTTTGTTTCACCATGTGTTTAATATATCACAATCACTAAACTAGGCAATACTGGATCTTCACAATAATTGTAGAAGATAACACTGTAAGTATCTTCATTTTTTGGAATGGATTGAAGGTCATAAAAAAAAAAAGTATCTTCATTTTATAATCATGGAGATGCAAAGGTTAGGTCACTTCCTCAAACTTCTAATTGTTAGAAAATAGAAAAGTCAGATTTCTAACTCAGGTCTGTTTGATTCCCAAACCTGTTAACCACTTCATTATACTGTCTGTATCTGGAAAATCTAATATTTGCTCCTTCTATTGCATCTTGTCATACTAGCCTACTCTATATTTATTTCAGTCATCCTGTGTGTATCTGTGTTTATCACACCCACCCATCAAGATGTCTAGGAGAGATATAATAAAATATCAATAATTGCAATTGTGGATTCAGAAGAACTACTTTGTGTCACAGCAGAGCAAAGAGAAAAATCACTGAAAGGAATAAAAGATAAAGATGGAAAAGGATATTGAAACTAGTCTAAGCACCCAAGCTTTGGACTGAAAAGTATAACTATGATAGGTTTTTGTTTTGTTTTGTGTACTAAAGATTGAACCCAGGGCCTTCACACTAAATTACATTCCCAACTCTTTTTTAAAAAAATGTTTATTTGAGGGGCTGGGGATTTAGGTCAGTGGCGTAAGTGCCTGCCTTGCAAGTGTGTGGTCATGAGTTTGATCCCCAGTACTGAAAAAAAAGAAAAAGACAAAAAAAAAATTTTTTTTTTAAATTTGGAAACAAGGTCTTGCTACATCACTACATTGCCCAGGCTGGGTTCAAATTTGACATCCTCTTGCCTCAGCTTCCCAGGCTACTGGTATTACAGGTGTGCACTTGGTGCCCAGCTTGATTAAAGTAAGGCCTTTAATTAGTTACAAGGGAATGAGGATAGATTTTTGAGGAGACAAAATTCGATTGGGATTTGCATCCATCTGGCTGCAGAATCATTAATGAGGAGAAAAAAGCAGAACTGGGTGACACAATGAGGCCTGAGGTAGGGTAGAGGCAGTGAGAATGAAGACTATGGGGGAAGGAGAGTCCTTGAGATGTCTCTCATAGCCTGGTGCACAGTAGGTGCTAAGAAACAGTGCTCTCTCCCTGCAGGCACAGTTTACGTCCTATTTTATCTAGGTTTGCAGCAGGCAGAGCCCAACATGAGAGTCCCCGCCCAACCATTACCTGCCCTTGTTGCGCGCGATCCTCACCTGTACGGGCGCCTCTCAGCGGCTCCCTCTGCTCCTGACCGTGGAGATCCGCGCCCCACGGCTCTACCGCGCGCTCCATCGCCTGCACGCCGCCCTGAGCAAGGGGACAGACACATAACCTGCGGTCATACAGCCATGTGACCCCCGCCGGCCGCTGCTGCACCTGCTGCTGCTCCTCGCTGAGTGTAGCCGGCCCCGCTCACCTCCTTGGCTGCCTCCGGCACTACCACCCCGACGCTCTCCGGAGCTTCTCAGCGGGCTCGTGTGTCCGAGTCACCGGCGGCTCCGGGATGCGGGATCCGCGCCAAGTCGGGAGGGGGTCGGCCCCAGGTGTCCCGGGGGTACTTGGGGGCGGGGACGGGAAGCGGAAGCGCCGACGTGGGGGCCGCTCTAGGATTTGGGAGGACCTGCGTGCCTGCGGGGGCCGCCCGTGTTGTAGGGCGGGAGCTCAGTGACCGGCGGGCGGCTGCGCGTCGCCGGGAGGTCCGCTCTGAGCCGAGGACAGCGGCCCGAACTCGGTGGTATTAACCGTGTGCTTCCTGGGCTGTAGCTGTGTGATGAAGGCCCAGGATTCCTCCTAATTATTTCGGTGTCTCAAGCCGCGCATACAGACCTCCGGGGCTGGCTGGCCGCGGCCCGCGAGAGACAAAGAACGAACGATCTAGAGACGGACCCAGGGAAAGGGGTGGGGGAGAGACCCAGGCAGACAAAGGGCTTAGGGACCCCAGACAGGGCGGGGCGCTGAGATCGGGAAACAAAGCCCGGCTAGTCTGTGGGGCCGTGGGCCGGGGCAGAGGCCAGAATGGGGGCTGGGCCGTGGGAGACCCGAGCGGGAACGGAGGCTAGAGGGAGACAGCAGGTAAATACTTTGTGGAAAGGCAGGCAGATGGAGTCAGACTTGCAATAGCAGCAGAGATGCTGATCCAGAGACTCGAACAGTCTTAATGAAAGAACTCCTAGTCAGGACGCACGGACGAAAAGATGGAGGGACGGCTGCTGACCAAAAATACAGGAACGAATGATTTGCCACCAGAGACAAAGAAACGTAAAAGTAGATACGAGAGATAGATATAGAATCTTAAAGCAGAGTGGCAGGAAAATAAGAAAAAGAGGTGAAGAACCTGGGGAAAAACCAGCCCAGAGACCCTAGAACAAAAGACTGCAGTTAGCGAAACAGGCAGAGACAAAGGGACCAACACAGAGGATGCCATAAATTCTGGGTCAGATTCACAGCCCTACAGAGGACAACTCCAGGGAGAGCTGTTTGCATCCTGGTAGGGCCTGACAGGGACTATGATCTGAGGGAAACCCTTTTCCCCCAAGCTTGATACTAGGATCTATATTTAGGTAGGCTTTTGTCAGTGTGTGCTCAGTCCCTCTGGCAGTGATGGGATAGAGAGGAGTAAGAATGCTTTACATAGAGCATACTAGAACAATGGATTAGTATCTTAGTGCTAAACCGGAACTTGTGATAAGGGTTGATACTTGGAATCAGAGGCAGTGTGGATGTCTATAATCCCAGCTTCTTGGGAGGCTGAGGCAAGGGGATTCACTGGGAGTTTGAAGTCACCCTGGGCTTCACAGTGAGATAACCGCCAAAATTTTAAAAATAAAGGGAAAAAATCTTATATCAAAAAATTTCTAATATCAAAAATTCTGAAAGAGTAAAATTACAGATACCGAAATCTGGACAGAATTCCCAGAACTACAATTCCAATGGGAAAAGAAGTAAAAATCAAATACTGCAAAAGGAATTAGTGTTTTTTGGTTTTGGCACTGGAAATTGAAACCAAAGTCTTTGCAATGAACTATACATCCCCAACCCAATTTTTATATTTTATTTTGAGATATTGTTTCCTTAAATTGCTAGATTTCCCAGGCTGGGCTCGAACTGATGATTTTCCTTCTTCAGTATCCCCGAGTCTTGCCCCACCATGCTTAGATACTGTTTTTTCTTTTGTGACATGAGGGTCCAGAACTGGGCTCAAAGGATCCAATTCTCCTACCAAGTTGTTGGGCTACAGGTATATATCAACTCACCCTATTTGACAATAGTATGTTTTTGTTATGTTTTTATTTTTTTTTGACAATAGTATGTTTTTGATTGTATGTAGGATAATTGCATCTTGTTGGGTAGAAGGAATATGTCTGGCATAGTAATGGATGCCTATAATCCCAGCACTCTGGAAAACTGGGGCAGGAAGACTGTAAACTTGAATCCAGCTAGGACAGTTTAGCAATTTAGGGAGACCCTCTCTCAAAAAGGCTTGAGTATGTGGCTCAGTGCAAAGATCTTGGGGTCAATCCTCAATCCCCAGGAGAGAGGAAGAGCAGCAACAATAAAAAGGAACCTAGTAGCCTAAAACCTAATAAGACATTATTTTTTTTATTTAAAAGGAAAAAGAGAAAAAACAAAAACAAGACCTGAAGTAAAATAAGAAAAGGTCTGGGGATGTAGCATAGTGTGAAGGCCCTGGGACAGTTCTCAGTACTGAAAAACAAAACAGTCTTTATCATAATGTTGGTTTTGTGTGTAGGTACTAAGTGTACAAAAAAAAACTTGAAGCTTCCTTTGTAAATCAAAAGCTGTCCTTTTTTGTGTATATTTATGAAGCATAACATTTCTCAAAATCTCGGTCCTTATCCCCAGTACCGATAAAAAGGAAAAAAGACAAAAAAAAAAAAAAAAAATCTCGGTTCTTTGGGTAACTTAAATGCAGTGGTTATTCATTTATTTTATTTTACTTTATTTTGGTAGGAGCTGAGGATTTAGCTCAGCGGCATGAGCGCCTGCCTTGCAAGTGTGTGGTCATGAGTACCAGGTACCAATAAAAAAGAAAAAGAGGGGCTGGGGATTTAGCTCAGCGGTATAAGCACCTGCCTTGCTAGCAGGCAGTCGTGAGTTCGATCCTCGGTACCGATAAAAATGAAAAAAAGACAAAAAAAAAATTTAAAAAAAAAAAGAAAAAGACAGAAAAAAAAAAAAAAAAAAACCCTTTATTTTGGTGGTGCTGGGAATCCAATCCAGGACATCATATATGTTAAGGGGCCGGGGATTTAGCTCAGTGGCATAAGCGCCTGCCTGGCAAGTGCAAGGTTGTGAGTTTGATCTCCAGTGTCGATGTCCGCTCCCGGCCGGCAGGAAGGACACACGACACAGTCTGGTAGTGGACAACCTTTTCTTTTTATTCTTCTTCTCCGTACAGCCTGCCCTGGGTTCTCCCAGCTGAAGCCTCCTTTGGTCCGCTCTCCGCGGCTCCTCTTGTGCTTCAGTCTGCCCCGAAGCCTCTATCGGTCCGCTCTCCGCGGCTCCTTCTGGGCTTCTACTTCCGGGCTTCTACCTGGCTTCTACCTGGCTTCTACTTCCTCCCAGGGGTGGCACCGGTATATATACGGATACAGTGTCCAATCATGTTAAAGTAAGCAAGGCAAGCTGATTGGCTAACATCATCAGTTGCTAGGCAGACTATATTGTTGAGCGGGTTGTTTACGCGGTAAGCAGGAAACTAACATATTCGATGGGAGGGGTAATCTACCTCAGGCCTCACTCTTTACTACAGGCCGCACGTCCGCCAAGTGAGGCGACCGGGCTCGGGGCTGCGGCTCCCAACATCTCCCCCTATTTTATTTTTTATGAATGTGCGCATCGTAGCCCTTCCTGGACTGGGTGCAGAGGCTTATGCCCTATGCGTAGGCCCACCGTAGGTCCTTGGCTTAGACCCTGGTCGGCCGTCCCATGGTCTGCCAAGGCCCTGAGGCCCTCGTCCTTTTTCTAGGGCCAGGCACAAACTGGACGGAACCTGGATGCACACAAGCTTGCACTCATTTCCTCTCCGTAAAGAAATCCCCTCGGAGAGAAATTTAGACCTGGGCAGCATCTAACAGTCCAGCGGCTTACGTGCAGGATGGGGTAGGGCCTGGCTTAGGTCGAGTCATGCTGGGGAGGCACGCTCTTACCCGTCATTGACTCATCTACCCTGCTATATCATAATTTTTTAGAGGAGGAGTGTGGGAAGCTCACCGTCCCTAGACTCGGTCGTAGGCCAATCGAGCAAGCCATGCATATGCCTGAGGATCTTTTTGTCCATTTCGGGCTACCGCTATTTCTATTCATCTTGTTGGTTGGTCTGTGATGGATCTCCAGTAGGGCAGGTCTGATCTTTAGTCGAGGGCTTTGTTGTCCGTGTCAGTCTCTCCGGTATCCACAGTGGTTCTCGTCCCGGTTCCTGTGGGAAAACACAAATCGCGCCTCGGTTCCAGCTGACCACTGGATCCGGGCCCATCCACTGTCCTGTCAGGACATCTTTCCACTTCACCCACCCTTTATGGTTGGGGGAAGGGTTGCAGTGCTCCACAGCTGGGGAGCGATTATCATTATTTAAATTTAAAAAATTGTGTGTGAATAGTGCCATGGATAATCGTGCCTTTGGGGCCAGGCCTTGGCCTACTCCCCCTTTTTGTTTTTGTAAAATTTCTTTGAGGCTTCTATGAGCCCTCTCAATGATTCCTTGACCTTGGGGATTGTATGGGATACCATGTTTTAATTGAACCTCCATCATTTTGCAGAACTCATTGAAAGCTTTGCCTATATAGGCTGGTCCATTATCAGTTTTTAATATTTTTGGTTTGCCCCATGCGGCCCAAGCCGCCAGGCAATGATTGATCACATTAGACACTTTTTCACCTGTTTCTGCTGTTGCAAATATGACGTGAGAACAGGTGTCTGTGGAAACATGAACATATTTAAGAGTCCCAAACTCCTGTATATGTGTGATGTCCATCTGCCAAACATCACCAGGGATCAAACCTCGAGGGTTTACTCCCCCTTTTTGTTTTTTATTTTTTATTTTTATCTTTTTCGTTTTTTTTTTTTTTTTTTTTTTTTTTTTTTTTTTATTGGTACCAGGGATCGAACTAACAACTGCACACTTGCAAGGCAGGCGCTTAAGCCGCTGAGCTAAATCCCCAGCCCCTTTTTCCTCGACCGGCGTTTTTCTCAGCCTGCTCGGCAGAGAACTCTGTGTACCAGGCTCGCCAATCCAGGTAACTGCCCGAGGGCAGACAGGCCTTTGCCAGCTGAATCCAGTCCGCGGGGGTGAGGGGCCCAGAAGACAGATTCTCCAGCATGGCAATGGTGTAAGGCGCAGTCGGCCCAAAGGTTGTAACTGCATTTTTAAGTTCTCTAATCTGCTTTATCTCAAAAGGCTCCCGTACATTGCGTCCCTGGCCTATAGCCACTTGTACAGGAAATATCCCATAGGGGTCACTATCCATCCCAGGTGGTGGATGTACCTCATGAAACAAGCGTCTCCCCTGCCAAAGCCACCTGTGAAAATACCGATCCGCCGGCGGCGGAGCATAAAACGGCGGCCGTGATTGGGCGGAGAATGGGGGCCCGTGCATCACTTCCTGTTCTGGCGAAGAGGAAGGGAGCTCCCGGGCGGCCGCCCCGCGGCGAGGGATCGCCTCCGGAAACGGCCCCCGAGGTGGGGCGGAAGGCTTTGCCTCCCTCTCGCGCCGGAGCGCACTCAGGAGCTCTCTACTCTTCCGCAGACCCGACTCCTTATGGAGCGACTTAGGCTCCTGACAGCTAGTCTCTTTGGCCTCCCTGCCATTCAACTTTCCCTCGTCCTCGGAGTCAGACGACTCCGAGGCTAGAGCCCCGTCCTCCTCCTTAGCATCCTTGTTCCCCTTGACGGACCCCTCTCGGGAGCTCCCTGACTGGGCCTGCTCAGATACCCTGCGTACTTTTGTAAGCTCTTGAGAGCTTTCTCCACAACCACCCTCGCTCTTAGTGCCGCTACCTAGCATGTTTCCCATTTTTTAATATGTTACTCACCGCGTGAGGCCCAAGGAATCCGCCACTTACGCGTGAGCCTGAGGGGAGTCTAAAAGCCCTGTAGGTGCGCGCCACCCAGAGCCCAGGCTTATCCCCAACTCACCTGTCTCGCAGCTCTGTACTGGAGCGTTGTCCACTTCCACGTCGCGGGGGTGATCAGTCCCCGGGCGGGCCTCCAAATGTCGATGTCCGCTCCCGGCCGGCAGGAAGGACACACGACACAGTCTGGTAGTGGACAACCTTTTCTTTTTATTCTTCTTCTCCGTACAGCCTGCCCTGGGTTCTCCCAGCTGAAGCCTCCTTTGGTCCGCTCTCCGCGGCTCCTCTTGTGCTTCAGTCTGCCCCGAAGCCTCTATCGGTCCGCTCTCCGCGGCTCCTTCTGGGCTTCTACTTCCGGGCTTCTACCTGGCTTCTACCTGGCTTCTACTTCCTCCCAGGGGTGGCACCGGTATATATACGGATACAGTGTCCAATCATGTTAAAGTAAGCAAGGCAAGCTGATTGGCTAACATCATCAGTTGCTAGGCAGACTATATTGTTGAGCGGGTTGTTTACGCGGTAAGCAGGAAACTAACATATTCGATGGGAGGGGTAATCTACCTCAGGCCTCACTCTTTACTACAGGCCGCACGTCCGCCAAGTGAGGCGACCGGGCTCGGGGCTGCGGCTCCCAACACTCCAGTACCGCAAAAAAAAAAAAAGAAGCAAAAAAAAGGAAAAGGAGCTGAGTGGTGGTGCACACTTGTAATCCCAGAACTCTGAAAGGCTGAGGCAGAAGGATCCTAAGCTTGAGCCCAGCCTTAGCACTTTAGCAACAAGACCCTGTCTCAAAATAAAAAATGTTTAACAGGGCTGGAGTTGTAGTCAGTGGGAAGGCCCTGGGTTCAATCTCTGACTGTAAAAGAAATTAAAAAGCAAATAGATAAATTTTAAAGGCCTAGGTGTGCAGCTCATTGGTAGAGTGGACTGAGTTCAATTCCCAGGACTGGGGGCGGCGGCGCCGGGGGGGGGGGGGGGACAGAGAACAAATTCAACTGATCTGCAAATGGCAGGAGAGCTGTCTCCCATCACACACTGCCTCACATGCTGCTGTAGGTGGGACCATCCCTTGCTAAGCAAACAGACAAACAAACTCCAAACTTATCATTTTTATTTTGTACTGGGATTGACCCCAGGACCCTAGAGCTATATCCCCAGCACTTTTTTATTTGTATGCATTTATTTTGATATTTATTTACATACTGGTTTTTTTGATACAGGGTCTTACTGATATAGGGGAATGAAACTCCCAAACTACTAGATATCCTGTTCGAGTTCAAGTTCTGTAAAATAGAAGAATGAATTTTAGGGACAACAGAGGTTAAGAACAAAATATATGTACTGAAAGAATGAAAGCTTCTGTCTGAGAGAGAAAAGGGGTCCAGAGTGAATGGCCAAAGACTCTTATCTTTTCTTGGGACTTTATCGGGTAAAACCACGAAGTGAGGCAGAGCTAAGGTGGGGAAAACATGGGAACTTGTAAAGTGGGCATGAGTTGGGGCAAAACTGTGGTCAACCAATAAGATTAATAGCATAGGCAAAACTGATTAAATCGGGGACAAATGGGGAAGTGAGTCGTGTAATAAGTAGACATGCATAAAGCGCGGTGACTTCCTCTGGGGGGTGGGATGGTGACTCCTGACTTCCGCAGCGTGATAGAGACCTATTTAGAATATCAGTCCCTGATACTATCCTTAGGAAGTATGTGGGTACATACTTGATTTATCTTTTGTCTTGAGGTCTGGCCCACAGAAATATTTGTCTCCCCACAGTTACAACGTATGTAGCCTTCTGCACCAGCTCCTTTGAAGGCCTAGCCCTGTCTGACTACCTATAATATTTGTCTTACTCAGTTGCCTGTAATATTACTATGTAGTTCAGGTTAACCTTGAACTCATAGATCCTCCTGCCTGAGCTTCTCAAGTGCTGGAATTATAGCCATGTGCCACCATGCCTGGCATGTTTTTAGTTTTTGTTTTTTGAAACAGGGTCTTGATATGTAATTCACTTTGGCTTTGAACTTACTATGCAGCCTTGGCTGCCCTTGAACTCCCAGTGATCCTCCTGCCTCAGCCACTCAAATTCTGGGATTGCAGACTTGCAACATCATGCAGTACTGTTTTTTTTACTTTTCTTTTTGAGTCGGGGGGTCTTGCTATGTGGTTCAGGCTGGCTTTGGGCTCACTTTGTAGCCCTGGTTAGTCTCAAATTCACAATGATCCTTCTGCTTCCTGAGTGCTGGGATTACAGAAGTGCGACACCAAGCCCCGCTCCGTGCTGCTTTTTGTTTTTGAGACAGGATTTCACAAAATTGCCCAATATAGGCTCAAATTTGTAATCCTCCTGGTTTATTTAGCCTCCTGAGTGTTTGGATTACAGGTGTGTGCCATTATGCTCAGCCTTCAAATCCACATTGTTTATACTGGGGCTGAGGATTTAGCTCAGCGGCATAAGCGTCTGCCTTGCAAGCAACAAGTCGTGAGTTTGATTCCTGGTACCTATAAAAAGGAAAAAGACAAAAAAAAAAGTGGAATACATTGTTTATACGAAGTAAGGAAAGCAATCTAAAATTTAAATAATGTACATTATTTAAATTTAAATAATGTAAAATTTAAATAATTATTTATTTATTTGGTACCAGGGATCCAACTTATGACCTTGCACTTGCCAGGCAGGTGCTTGTGCCACTGAGCTAAATCCCTGGGCCCAGCTGTGTATTTCTTACCATTGAAAGATGTAGAGAAAGCTGGTGGTGTTGGAGTACACACAGCTGTAGTTCAAACCCAGCCTGGGTTACATAGTAAGTTCGAGGTCAGCCTACTTAGTGAGACTTTGTCTCAGAAAGAAAGAAAGGAGGAAAGAAAGAAAGAAAAAGAGAAAGAAAGAAAATGAGAAAGAAGGAAAGAGAAAAAGAAATATATAGAGAATGTTGGGCATAGTGGCACAGGTTGGTAGTTCCAGCAATCAGGAGACTAAATCAAGGTTGCTGTGAGTTCAAGGCCAGCCTTAACTACATAGGGTGACCCTGTTGCAAAAATAAGTAAATAAAAATAAATAAGAAAGACAGACAGAGACAGAGATATGGAACATAAAAAGTGACAAAACAGTTTTCCTATAACTTTGAAGTTATAGGAATAAACCTAGAAGATTGAACATGAAAAATGGATTAGGTCAGGTTTAAATTTTTCTTTTTTTTTTTTTGTCTTTTTCGTTTTTATCGGTACCAGGGATCAAACTCACGACTGCCTGCTTGCAAGGCAGGCGCTTATGCCCCTGAGCTAAATCCCCAGCCCCCAGCTTTAAATTTTTCTAATCATTTGCTTTTTCTAGTATTTTTCTATGAGATCATGTGTTGGTTGTACAATAAATAAGTGTACTTTTTTTTTTTGGTGGTGTTGCAGGCAGCTGTGTTACTATAGGCAGTAAGACAGGGCTAGGTCCTCAAAGGAGCCAATGCAGAAGCCCAGATACCTTGCAACTATGGAGGCGACAGACACCTCCTGCTGTGGCCTCAAGACAAAATATCAAACATATATCCTAAGGACTGATATTCTAAGTAGTTCCCTATCACCCTGAGGAAGTCAGGAATCACCATCCTAATTCCCTAAGTCATTACTCTTTAAGAATGCCTTTTTTTGGGGCCCCAGATTTAGCTCAGTGGCATAAGTGCCTGCCTGGTGAGTATGAGGTCATGAGTTTTATTCCTAGTACAAAAAAAAAAAAAAAAAAAAAAAAAAAAAGCCCTCTTTCCACATGACTCACTTCCATGTTTGTCACTAATATAATCAATTTTACCTGAACTACTAATCTTATTGGCTAACCATAGTTCTATCCCACCTTATGCCTGCTGTACACTATCAATAAAAGCTTCCTCATGTTTCTGTTATGCCAAAGTACCTGTAACGCCTCCTACTGTTCTGGATGCATTTTCCCCCCCCTCTCTGGGTGACCTAGTTGATATGTTAATCAATGCTCCCCTCTGTAAAGAATTGTAAATCCCTGGGTGTCGATGTCGCTCCCGGCCGGCAGGAAGGACACACGACAAAGTCTGGCAGTGGACAACCTTTTCTTTTATTTTCTCTCCGTACAGCCTGCCCTGGGATCGCTCCCAGCCGAAGCCTCCTCTGGTCCGCTCCCCGCGGCTCCTTCCGTGCTTCGCTCCGAAGCCTCTACCGGTCCGCTCTCCGCGGCTCCTTCCGGGCTTCGCTCCGAAGCCTCTACCGGTCCGCTCTCCGCGGCTCCTTCCGGGCTTCTACTTCCCCCCAGGGGTGGCACCAGTATATATACGGATACAGTGTCCAATCATATTAAAGTAAGCAAGGCAAGCTGATTGGCTAACATATTATTGAGCGGGTTGTTTATGCGGTAAGCAGGAAACTAACGTGCTCGATGGGAGGGGTAATCTAACTCAGGCTTTACTCTTTACCACAGGCCGCATGATCGCTATATGCGGCGGCTCGGCAATGTGGTGGCTCCCAACATCTCCCCCTTTTTTATTTTAAATAAGTCTACGCATCGCAGCCCGTCCTGAATTGAGTGTAGAGGCCTATGCCCTGATAGGAGGCCCACCAAGGGCTCTCGGCGTCGGCCCGGGTCGGCCGTCCCCGAGTCTGCCGAGGCCCCGAGGCCCTCGTCCTTTTTCCAGGGCCAGGAAGGAACCGGACGGAACCTGGATGCACACAGGCATACACTCATGTCGTTCCGCATGATCCCCCCGGGGCGACATTTGGTTCGGGCGGAACCTAGTAATTCAGCGGCTTTCGTGCGGTATGGGGTAGGGCCTGTCTTAGGTTGAGTCATGCTGGGGAGGCATGCTCTTACCCGTCATTGACTCATCTACCCTGCTATATCATAATTTTTTAGAGGAGGAGTGTGGGAAGCTCACCGTCCCTAGACTCGGTCGTAGGCTAGGCGAGCGAGCCATGCATATGCCTGAGGATCTTCTTGTCCATTTCGGGCTACCGCTATTTCTATTCATCTTGTTGGTTGGTCTGTGATGGATCTCCGGTAGGGCAGGTCTGGTCTTCAGTCGAGGGCTTTGTCGCCCGTGTCAGTCTCTCCGGTACCCACAGTGGTTCTCGTCCCGATTCCTGCAGAAAAACACAAACCGCGCCTCGGTTCCAGCTGATTACCGGATCCGGGCCCATCCATTGCCATGCCATAGATAACCGCGCCTTTGGAGGCAGGCCTTGGCTTACTCCCCCTTTTTGTTTTTTATTTTTTATTTTTTATTTTTATCTTTTTCGTTTTTTTTTTTTTTTTTTTTTTTTTTTATTGGTACCAGGGATCGAACTGGCGATTGCCTGCTTACAAGGCAGGCGCTTATGCCGCTAAGCTAAATCCCCAGCTCCCATTTCCTCGACCGGCGTTTTTCTCAGCCTGCTCGGCAGAGAACTCTGTGTACCAGGCTCGCCAATCCAGGTAACTACCCGAGGGCAGACACGCCTTTGCCAGCTGAATCCAGTCCGCGGGGGTGAGGGGCCCAGAAGACAGGTTCTCCAGCATGGCAATGGTGTAAGGCGCAGTCGGCCCAAAGGTTGTAACTGCATTTTAAAGTTCTCTAATCTGCTTTATCTCAAAAGGCTCCCATGCATTACGTCCCTGGCCCATAGCTACTTGTACAGGAAATATCCCGTAGGGGCCACTATCTATCCCAGGTGGTGGATGTACCTCATGAGACAAACGTCCCCCCTGCCAAAGCCGCCTGTAAAAATACCGACCCGCCGGCGGCGGAGCATAAGACGGCGGCCGTGATTGGGCAGAAAATGGGGGCCCGTGCATCACTTCCTGTTCTGGCGAAAGGGGAGGGAGCTCCCACGCGGCCGCCTCGTGGCGAGGGATCGCTTCCGGGAACAGCCCCCAAGGTGGGGCGGAAGGCTTCGCCTCCCTCTCGCGCCAGGGGGCGCTCAGGAGCTCTCTACTCCTCCGCAGACCAAGTTGAGCGGAGCGCAATTCGCGGCGCAACGCTGGGAAAGAACCCTGCGACTCCTTATCGAGCGGCCTATCCTCTTGGCATCTAGGCTCCTTGGTCTCATCGTTGTCTAAGCCTTCCTCGTTCTCGGAGTCAGACGACTCCGAGGCCTGAGCCCCGTCTTCCTCCTTTATATCTTTGTCTCCTTTGACGGACCCCTCCCGGGAGCTCCCTGACTGGGCCTGTTCGAATGCCCTACGCACTTTAATGAGCTCTTGAGAACCTTCCCTGCAACCACCCTCGCTCTTCAAGCATGCATATATCATTTCCCACAGTGGCCGAGCGAAGACCGAAGCCCCGCCCTCCCTTTCCGCTAGAGAAAGATCCCTGCCCAACTTCTCCCACGAGGGCAGGTTTAAGTGCCCTGTGGGCAAGAACCAGGGAGTGAAACTATCAATCTCCTCAAAAAAGCTCTCCAGCGTTTTGCGTCCCACCTTGAGGTCTCTGGACTTTAAGAGCTTCCGGAGGACCTGTACCAAGGGCTGGGTGTCGTTACTCGGTACGTTACCCATATTTAATATGTTACTCACCGCGTGAGGCCCAAAAATCCGCCACTTACGCGTGAGCCTGAGGGGAGTCTAAAAACCCTGTAGGTGCGCGCCACCCAGGGCCCAGGTTTATCCCCTACTCACCTGTCTCGCAGTGCTGTATCAAGGAACGTTGTCCACTACCACGTCTCGGGGGTGATCAGTTGTTCCCCGTGCGGGCCACCAAATGTCGATGTCGCTCCCGGCCGGCAGGAAGGACACACGACAAAGCCTGGCAGTGGACAACCTTTTCTTTTATTTTCTCTCCGTACAGCCTGCCCTGGGATCGCTCCCAGCCGAAGCCTCCTCTGGTCCGCTCCCCGCGGCTCCTTCCGTGCTTCGCTCCGAAGCCTCTACCGGTCCGCTCTCCGCGGCTCCTTCCGGGCTTCTACTTCCCCCCAGGGGTGGCACCAGTATATATACGGATACAGTGTCCAATCATATTAAAGTAAGCAAGGCAAGCTGATTGGCTAACATATTATTGAGCGGGTTGTTTACGCGGTAAGCAGGAAACTAACGTGCTCGATGGGAGGGGTAATCTAACTCAGGCTTTACTCTTTACCACAGGCCGCATGATCGCTATATGCGGCGGCTCGGCAATGTGGTGGCTCCCAACACCTGGGAACCTAATCTAATTGATATGTTAACCACTGTTGCCCTCTACAAATAACAGATGTGGTGCTAAAATAAACTGACAAAGGATTGTTAATGACTGCTAGACTTCTCTGTCCTCTGCTAAGGGAAACATTTCCTTAGCAGATTTCCTGATCCATGCCCATAACCCCTAACTTTGTAAACTGTGATATCTACAAAAAGACTGCAAGTTTTAAGAGAGACACACAGCTTTAGCAAACTCCAACTGCACTGTGTCTCTGGGCCCAGGATAAAATAAATCAGCGCTGCTTTTTAAAATAATATTTTGCCCCATTTTTGGACTTGAGGTTGGGGACTCTGGGGGGCTCATTTGTGGATTACAAGAATGCCCATCTGCCTTGTGAGTTCCCAGTTTTCTCCACCTTGAACCCGTCTCACCCCATGATTTTACTCTTTAAAAGTCCCTAGAAAAGACAGAATCCTTGCAAACCACTCAGGACCCCTTCTCTCCCTCTCTCTCTCTCTCTCTCTCTCTCTCTCTCTCTCTCTCTCTCTCTCTGAGAGAAGCTTTCTTTCTCTCAATAAATATATTCTGTCCTTAATCTCTGTTGTTCCTAAAATTCATTCTTTGATTTTAGAGAACACAAACATTTAACTTTTTAAATTTTTGAGTCAAGGTCTCACTAAATTCCTAAACTTCACAAACTGAGCTCAATTGCAGTTTTCCTGACTTAGCCTCTCAGAGTGCATGCGTTGCTACAGACTTGTTTATTGCGATCTCTGGATCTCTGGAGTTCACAACAGAGCTAATCAGAGTCAGAGCCAGGGCAGGGTGGTATGGTTGGAGAGTGGTTTGGAGAAAAGAACCGGTTTTTCTGAGGTTTAGGCAAGACTTGAACTGCAGTTAAGCACACTTGTGGAGAGTGAGCATGGGGGAGTTCAGCCTAGATTTTTTGTTTTGTTTTTTAGTCTTGGAATTGAAGCCAGGACATTGTGCATACTACTTGGCAGGCTCTACACTGAGCTACATTCCCTGCCCCCTAAAGTCTTAGCAAGGCCATCAAACTACTCAGCCTGACAGCAAATGCAGGAGGAAGGGCTGCTAGGATATAATTACCCTTTTGCTTTGCTTGTGTGTGACTATTACTCCCCAGCCCATTGGTAGCCCATGAATGTTGCCAGTTGCACTTGCTTGTGGCTGTCTCTGTCTCTCCAGAAAGCTGCAAAGGTGACTTAATTCACCAGGTCTATAGCCTCAGCAGCACCTGGATCCTCAGCAGCATCCCCACACTACACAGCTCCTGTAATAATACTAACTAGCCTTTCTACGAGTTCATCACATGTGCGAGGCATTGTTTTAGGAGCTTTCTGTGTATTAATCCACTTGCTGTGATCCTCAGAGCCTTATCAGGGAGATTTTCTTTTTCTTTTTCTTTTGGTACCGGGGGTCAAACTCAGGACTACACGCTTGCCAGGCAGGCGCTTGCGACACTGAACTAAATCCCTGGCCCATTTCTTTTTCTTTTGTCTTCTTTCTCTCCCTGATATAGGGAAATGAAACTCCCAACCTACTAGATGGCCCAATATGAGTTCGTGTTCTTTGGAATTGAAGAATGAATTTTAGGGATAAAGGAGGTTAAGGGCAGAATATATTCACTGAGAGAAAGAACGCTTCTATCTGAGAGAGACAGAAGGGATCCTGAGTGGGTTGCCAAAGACTCTGTCTTTTCTAGGGACTTTTATCGAGTGAAACCACGAAGTAACACAAGTCTAAGATGGGGAAAAAGAGAACTTGCAAAGTGGGCATGAGTTGGGATAGAACTGTGGTTAACCAAATAAGACTAATTGCTCAGGTAAAACTGATTAAATCAGGAACAGATGGGGAAGCGAGTCACATAGCAAGCAGGCATGCTTAGAGAACAGTGATTCTTCCTGTAGGGGGTTGCGATGGTGACTCCTGGCTTTCTCAGGGTGATAGAGACCTATTTAGACTATCAATCCTTAAGGTGAGTGTGTGTTTGCTTTGCCTTTTGTCTTGAGATCTGGCCCACAGCGGGAGGTGTTTGTCTCCTCCAACATAGCAAGGTATCTGGTCTTCTGCATTGGCTCTTTTGAGAGCCCAGCCCTGTCTGACTGTCTATAATATTTCTGTCTTACTCAGTTGCCTGCAACATCCCTTCCTCCTCCTCTTCTTCTCCCCTCCCCCACTCTTCTTCTCCCCTCCCCCTCCCCTCCCCTCCTTCCTCCCCCTCCCCCTCCCCCTCTCCTTCTCCTTCTTCCTTTTGCACCCTAGACTGAACTCCAGGAGCCCTGTTAGGAAAAAGGAAAAGAAGAGCCAGGAGTACGAGCTCAACGGGACAGGTTTATTGCAGGACAAACCTGAGAGTACCGCTGTGGCGCTAGAGAGCTGGCCCGCTGCTGTCTTAGGCTATGGAGTCTTTTGTAGGGCCGTGGGAAGGTGGGTTCTTGGCTCCCTGCAGAGAACAAGGCTTGAGGGAGCACAGGTGTAATGTTGCTGAAGGAGAAGGCCTGGGAAAGCGAAGTGGCTGCCGCCCACAGCAGGGTTGCTGTGTCCCCGGTCGCGATGCAGCAGCGGTGGAGTGTACTGTTTATAGAGGTGTCTCTGCTCAGGATGGCTGCATTGGATTTCTTCTTTCGTAGCTCTTTTTATTATTTTTTTTTTAATTTTTGAAACATAATCTTAGTAAATTGACTAGTCTATCGAATTTGCAATCATTCTGCCTCACTTACAGGGTGAGGATGATAGGCAAGGTTGGGTGCACTGACTCTTACAGACGTTGCAGAGAACTGATGTCACACTACTGAGTTCTTCATATTCAAGAACTCACCATTTATGCAATAAAATTTGAAGATTACTGGAGATCTATAGATTGGGATATGTTTGTTTGTTTTTGAGTTGCTGGGTATTGAACCCAGAGGTGCTATATACTGACTATATCTTTGGCTCCTTTTTTTAGTTTTTATTTTGAGATAGGATTTTGATAAATTGCTTGGATCAAACTTGTATATTGGAGTCACTGAAGTTGAATACACGTGCAGGGCTGTGGCATGGCCGGGGCATGGCTGAACTGAGAACAAGAGACACCTCAGGGGGCAAGAGAGGCCACAGCTGAGGACACCTGGCTCCAACCCCAATTAATAGGATGGAGATTGTGGCATTTTGCTCCTGTAATGGGATTCACAGGGATTCACCAGGAGGCTTTCTCCTAGGATAATTCTCCTTAATTAGCATAGTTTGTTGCTTGGAGGGGTCCTGCTCAGGTTTCCTGTGTTTGTCATTCTAACCCCTTCCTTGTTTGAATACTAAATAAATATAGGCCGCTCAGAGACATTACCTGTCTTAGTTTCCAGAGTCTCGAACTCTGCAGAGGGTGTTGATCCTCTTAGAGCCCTGAAATTAATACCACTTGTTTCATTTATTTAAGCCCTTGCTGTACTCTTGTTTGGAAGATTGGAGATCTTGGTCAGTCCCCAATATTTGTAGTCTTCCTGCCTCTGTCTTCTGAATAGCATCCCATGCATGGATATAAGAAAGAATTATTATTATCATTATTTTAGACATGATCTCACTAGGTAGTTCAGGCTGGCCTCCAAATTCGCTATCTAGCCTAGGCTGGCTTCAAGTTTGGCAGTCCTTTTGCCTCAGCCTCCTGACTGCTGGAATAACAGGCATGTACCACCCCTGGTGAGAAATAATTATTAACAGTATTTTTAAACAGATGAAAAAACAAAGTCACTAAACTAAGTACAGTGGCATACACCTATAATCCCAGCTACTTGGGAAATTGAGGTAGGACTATCCCAACTGTGAGAATAGCCTAAGTAATTTAGAGAAACCATCTCAAAATAAAAAATGAAAAGGAGTAGAGATGTAACTCAGTGCTGGAGTTATATGGTAGAGTGCCCCGTGTTTGGTCCCTAGTTCCGAAAAGGAAGGAAGGGAAAGAGAGAGTGAAGGAGTGAAAGAGGGATGGGGCCAGGGATATAGTAGCTCAGCAGCACAGCACCTGCCTGGTAAGCGCAATGTTGTGAGTTTGATCCTTGGTACAAAGAAAAAAACAAAACAAAACCACACATAACAACTGCCTCAGGGCAGATTGGCTCCAGGGCTGTCATAGTATAGTATGACAGAATGGGTGGCTCAAACAGCAGACATTTGTGTCCTTATAGTTCTGAGAAGGTAAGATCAAAGTCCTAGTAGGGAGACACACACACACACACACACACACACACAGACGTTGCCCCTTTCTTTTCCTTTTTTTGGGCAGCACTAAGGGTTGAACCCAAGGCCTTCTCACTGAACTTTTTTTTTTTTTTTTTTTTTTGGAGACAAGATTTAGCTAAGTAATTAAATTGCTCTGTCTGGACTTGAACTTGTAATCCTTTTGCCTTAGCATCTGAGAATGTTGGGATTATAGTTGTTTACCACCAGGCCACATTTCTTCCTCTTCTTATGACATTAGTCCTATTGGATTAGGGCAGCAAATTTATTGAACCTTAATTACCTCCTTAAAGGCCCTGTGTCCTACAGTCACATTGGGGGTTAGAACGTCACCACACAAATGGGGGAAGGGGTTTATGATTCAGTCCATAGTAGAAGCTAAAGGAAAACTAATAAAGAAAACCAAAACAAATAGAGAAAGAAAATGGGTTTGGGTGTCGTGGGGCATGGCTCTAATCCTAGCATTTGGAAGGCTGTAAATTGGGCCAAACAGTTCGAGGCCAGCCTGAATTACATATCAAGACTGTCTGGGAAAAAAAAAAAAACTAAACAAACAAACAAAAAATCAACCACACAAAAAAACCAAAGCAAAATATGTGCATTTTGCTTTACCTTACAGAAATAAGTTCAAAAATGGCAAATGACTAGCCCACTTTCAAGTGCCAAGCAAGCAGTAAAGAACAGGAGGGGGAGGAGGAGGGGAGAAAAAGGAAAGAAAGAATCCTTTGGGGAGTGGAATGTAGCTCAGTGAATGCTTAATGCCCAAGGCCTGGGGTTGCATCCCCAGCACAGAAAGAAAACAAGACAAAACAAACAAAAACAACAACAATATGCATCCCCCCCCCCAAACCATCACATGCCTGGAAAATTAGTGGAGTTTTTTTGGTTTTTTGAATCAGGGATTGAATTCATGACCTCATACTTGCCAGGCAGGCGCTTATGCTACTGAGCTAATTCCAGGCAAATTAGTGGTCTTTTCTACAATCTTATTATGTTTTTTTTTTTTTTTCTTTTGTCTTTTTCCTTTTTATCGGTACCGGGGATCAAACTCACGACTGCCTGCTTGCAGGGCAGGCGCTTATGCCACTGAGCTAAATCCTCAGCCCCTCTTATTATGGTTTTTAGCATACTCCAGGAACTTCTTTGCCATAATGGTAAAGCTTTTGTTGCACCTGCAAAGTAGAGCTGTCAGCAAGCTTCCTTTCTGCCCTTCCCCACCTCTCACCACAGTGACAGGGCCACACGGGGACCTGAAATAAAGGCATGTGGAAAGTGGAGGAGTTGAAGCTACCAATGGGGTGATGGTTGTGGCTTTCACAGTTCAAGCATCTCAGCCTCCTTCACTCTCTGCCCCTTGTTTGCTGTATTCAACTTCCTGCCCTAAGACAGGAAGTGGGCAGTGATCTCAGGTGCAGCGGCAGCTACCAGAGCCATGGTAAGTCCTAATACCCAAGAACCTGGACATCTCAGCCCTACCCCCCTCCCCTCAAAGTCCCTGGACCCACAATACGTGGTCTCAGCCTTCAGATTCAGGTGATAGAGGGCCTTGCCTGCCACTCCCAGGAGCCTCATGTCATCTCCTCACCCCACCAGCAGGACAAGGAATATGTGGGTTTCTCGGCTCTCCCCAGTCAGCTGCACCGAAAGTCTGTCAAAAAAGGGTTTGACTTCACACTCATGGTGGCAGGTCTGAGGGCTCCGGACAGGGGTGGTGTGGGGGTGTCCTCAGGAGGCCCTGGCTGTGCCCTCATCTGGCCTGTCTATTCACAGGGGAATCAGGCCTGGGAAAATCCACCCTCATCAACAGCCTGTTCCTCACCAACCTCTATGAGGGCCGACAGGTGCCAGAGGCCAGTGGTGAGTCTCTCCTGTCCTCTCCAGGGACTGCCCTCGGCTGTTTCCTGGCCCTAGCTTGCACTCATTTCCTTTCTCTGTGGGAACCCAGGGACCACTGGTTTCTTCTGAGGATGTTTCCTCCCTGGAAGAATGGGTGGGGGTGTCTGCGATATTGGGGAAGGAAATTGCCTAGCCTCAGCCTTGTGTGGCTTCCCAACCTCTATCCTACCCCATAGCTCGCTTGACACAAACGTTGACCATTGAGCGCCGGTGTGTGGAGATAGAGGAAGGGGGTATCAAAGTGAAGTTGACCGTGGTGGACACACCTGGCTTTGGGGATGCTGTGGACTGCTCAGACTGGTAAGAAAGATGGGAAGGGACAGGAGTAAGGTTCTCAAAGTGAATACCATACGTGTGTGTGGGGGGGTGTCAGTTATAGGGCAGGTTTGTCCTGTCTCCCTGATCCAAAAGGAAGAATCTCTTTTCTTTTTTTGAGATAAAGTCTCGCTATATAGCCCAGGCTGGCCTCAAACTCCCAGTAATCCTCCTGCCTCAGCCTCCCAAGCATTAGGATTATAGGCATGTGCCACACCTGGCAAGAGGCATGTTTCTGAAAGCTATCTGGCACAAGGTGTGCTTTTTGACACCTATGTTCCCATCACTTTCTCTCAATGTATTTGCTTGGAGCCAAATGACGACTCCAGCTCTCATAGTCCTGGCCAGCCTTGTCCCCTTCCTGGACCTGCAGTTTCCAATTTCTGATCACCTCCTCTCTCTACCTCCTAGCTGGCTGCCAGTGGTTCGATTCATAGAGGAACAATTTGAGCAGTATCTCCGGGATGAAAGTGGCTTGAATCGGAAGAACATTCAGGATTCTCGTGTTCATTGCTGCCTCTATTTCATCTCACCCTTTGGCCGAGGGTAGGGGGTTGAACCCCCAGGGAAGGATTGGGGGCCTCTGCACTCTGAGGCTGGGCCCTGATCAACCCCTGGGTACAGGCTCCGGCCCCTGGATGTGGCCTTCCTCCGGGCAATGCATGAGAAAGTCAACATCATCCCAGTCATTGGCAAAGCAGACGCCCTGATGCCTAAGGAAACCCAGGCTCTCAAGCAGAAGGTTTGGGCAGTGACCTTTAACCTTTGACCCTAAGTGAAGCCTTGAACCTTCAATCCTTCTGCCTCAGTCTCTGAAATGCTGGGATTACAGCATGTGCCACCAAGTCCAGCTTTTGGAGTGGCCTTTTTGGAATGTGAAGTGTCAGAATAGACCCTGAAGAAAGTTTCTGTGGAAGGAAGGCAGGAAGCTGCCAGAAGCAGCTGTATCTCTAAAGGCTCAGAACAGGATGGATATGGCAGTTGTGGTGGCACATGTCTGTAATTTCAGCATTTAGGAGGCTAGGGCAGAACTGCTGCAAGTTCCAGGCCAGCCTGGACTATGCTGTGAAACCCCGGCTCAAAAAAGCAAGCAAGCAAATAAAAACAAAACACCACAAACAAGAAAACAATGGGACAGATATGCAGGGCCTAAAAGACCTGACATCCGGGCTGGGGATTTAGCTCAGCAGGCATAAGCGCCTGCCTTGTAAGCAGGCAGTGGTGAGTTTGATCCTCAGTACCGATAAAAAGGAAAAAGACAAAAAAAAAAAAAAAAAAAAAAAGACCTGACATCCCTCGACCCATGATGCTACAGATCCCCAACCCTAGTATCTTTGAAACTCTCTCCTATTGTTTTACTTATGTCTCTCCTGGTCTCTTTGTAGAATCTTTCCAAGTTTCTCACTATCTGTCTTTTGGTCATTCTGTATGTCCATCTCTTACTATCTCTGCCTCTCCACCATGTGTTTGATTGTCTTTGGCCATTTAATGTCTTTGGTTTGTGGCCTTTTTTGGTGATACTGGGGATTGAATCTAAGGCTTTGGCACTGAGCTACATCCCCAGACTTTTATTTTGAGACGGGGTCTTGCTAAGTTCAATACAGGGATTTGAATTTGTGATCTTCCTCCTTCCAAGGGCTGAGATCCCAGGTATGCGCTTCTTTTTTTTTTTTTTTTTCCCTGCATTTATTCCCTCTGAGATTCGGGACCAGTTGAAGGAGGAGGGGATCAATATCTACCAGTTCCCAGAATGTGACTCAGATGAGGATGAAGAGTTCAAGAGACAGGATGCGGAAATGAAGGTGTGAGAGGCCCAGGCAGACCCAGGAAGCTAACAAAGATGCTTCTGCTCCCAAGAGGCTAATGTGACCCTTGCTTTCTGCCTTCAAGGGAAGGATCCCTTTCGCAGTCGTGGGCTCCTGCGAGGTGGTGAGGCATGGGGGTACTACAAGACCAGTGAGGGGACGCTGCTATACCTGGGGCACCGTGGAGGGTAAGGCCAGGCGCGCAGGGAGCCCAGAATGCGCTCAACAGGGGTGGGCTCTGGTCCTGGGGATTCCCTGAAGCCAAAAGAGCGGACCTTGGGTTGCAAACTTTGAGACCTCCGGCAACACACCCAGAACTCTTGTTCTGGGTGTCAGAACACAGAGGGTGGGTTAGAAGCCGAGCGCCCTAACGCGCGCTGGCCCGCCTCCTAGTGGAGAACCCGCACCACTGCGATTTTATGAACCTGAGACGGATGCTGGTGCAGACCCACTTGCACGACCTGAAAGAGGTGACCCACGATCTGCTCTACGAGGGCTACCGGGCCCGTTGCCTGCAGAGCCTAGCCCGGCCAGGGGCTAAGGATCGAGCCAGCCGCAGGTGAGAGCCTGGGCCGACTGTTTGGTGTTTCCAGGGGCCCCTCTTCAGACGGCGGTTTCCCGGGTCAGCCCACCGCAACCATGACTTTGCCTTTCCCACCCTGGGCTCACCTCCAGACTTTGTGGTCCTGGGGACCAAACCCCATAGCCCGTTTTACTTTGAGACAGGGTCTCACTGATTTGCCGCATGAGACTCAAACTCGCGATCCTCCTGCCTCAGCGCCCCCTACCCCATTCAGGGATGACCCACTCTTTTCCCCGGCTCACTTAATCTCCGGACATCACCTGTGGACACGGCTGGGTCTCTAGACGCCAAATTCGCCCCAGGTCCTAACCCTGATTCCTGCTTTCTTCACTCTCCCCTCTAGCAAGCTTTCCCGCCAGAGCGCCACCGAGATCCCGCTACCCGTGCTGCCTCTGGCAGAGACGGAGAAGCTGATCCGTGAGAAGGATGAAGAGGTGAGCAAGCACCTCGCTTCCCCTCTAACCGACGCCTCAGAGCCTCTTCGAGGTCTCAGCTTAGCCCGGCCCGGACCTACCGCCTGCACTCTCGCTCCGCACAGCTGCGCCGTATGCAGGAGATGCTGGAGAAGATGCAGGCGCAGATGCAGCAGAGCCAGGCTCCAGGCGAGCAGTCCGACTCGTTCTGAGGGAGGCGGTGCCGCGCGCACCACTGCCTGGTCCTTACCACTTCATCTCGGGGCTCGCAGCAGCGCACTCCGCGCACCCTCCTCCTGCATCTCAGTAGGAGGATGTCAGCCCTGGCCCGGCCACTCTTCTCACCCGACCCTCTTCGCTCCTCTTCCTCATAAAGTCTGTTTGCAATAAAAAAAATCTTCCCCAAGGCCTTGTGAATCTTCTTCCTAAAGGTTGAGCCAGCTGTCTCAGGCTCTCAGGTCATCACTCCGTTGGCTGCTCCCTGCTTGTTGGGCCTTCCACCTGAGCCTCCTTACCTCTGAGAGCCGGCATGTTGGTGCACGCCAGTCAGAGGCTGAGGCAGGTGGATCGCCTTGGGTTCCAGGCCAACCTGAGTAATATAGTGAGTTCAAGGGTGGCCTAAACTACATAACAAGAGCTTGTCTCAAAAAAACAAAAATAAAACAAACAAGAAAAGTAAAGTGGGGAATGAGATCTAGGGATGAAGGTGGGAGATCACATCCTCTGGATCGGCACCTGAGGGGTCAGAGGACACAGAGTCCCGAGGGTCCCAGCAGGTCTGGGAAGGAGCAGCTGGGGGACTGGATGAAGAACACATCACTGACCCTTAAGCTTCTCCCAGGATTCGATTCCCAGTATCACCAAAAACAAAACAAAAAAACTAAAGGCGTTGCATAAGAAACAAAAGACCAGTTGAATTTTATTGGAAATCCGGCGTGGAAACTGTAGGCCTTGGCCACCAGAGGCCTAAAAGGGTCCTCTCTATTCCTGGTCCTTGGCGTCACCGTGTGTGATGACGTAGCAGATATTCTTGTAGTCCACGTTGCCACCCACATCCGGGGGGAAGGCTGCCCACATGTTCTTGATCTGGGGACACGCAGGGGTGTCCGTGATCTGTGCTTGTGCTCACCCTCCAGATCCCTCCACCTCTCCCAGACCCTCCCCACTCACCTCCTCGGGGGTGAAACGGTCACACTGCGTTGTAAGCAGTTCTTCCAGGCTGGAGAGGGATCAGACAGGAACTTGAAATTGGGCTGGAGACTCCTGTCCACACACCCTCATTTCATCCCTGTCGCCATGCCCAGCCTGCCCTGAAAACTGGGGTCACCCTTAGATCTCATTCTGATCTTCCTGCTTGCCATGAAGGTGTGACTCTATCACCTGTTCTCATCTCTTATCTCTCCCTTACTTGGGCAGTGCTGGTGAGAATTGAAAGCTTTCTGCGGAGGCAACAGCTGAAGCAGCTACTTACAACTGCTTCTTGATGGTGCCCTTCCCCTCCGGGTCCAGGACCTTGAAGGCGCCAGTGATCACATCCTCTGGATCGGCACCTGAGGGGTCAGAGGACACAGAGTCCCGAGGGTCCCAGCGGGTCTGGGAAGGAGCAGCTGGGGGACTGGATGAAGAACACATCACTGACCCTTGAGCTTCTCCCCAAACATGGTCAGGAAGACGGTGAAGTTGATGGGACCACTGGCTTCCTTCATCATGGCGTCCAGTTCCTCATTCTTCACATTTAGGCGGCCTGGGTGGGGTGGGGTAGAGTGTAAGGAGCAGGGGTGGAGCTGAGTCTTGATTATCTGACCCATTTTTCAGACAGATACTGCAGCTCAATCTAGAGCTGACAGGGATGGAACCCAAGGCCTCCCAATCCCCAGTCTTACCCCCCATCTGCACGCACTTACCCATGGCTGCGAAGGTGTCCCGAAGGTCCTCTTTGTCAATAATGCCATCTCGGTTCTGATCGATTACAGTGAAGGCCTGTGGGGGGCAGGGGCCAGGAGAGCATGAGGTCCCCACAGTCAGGGCTGGGGAGGGATGGGGTGACTTCTCTTCTGAATCCCCACCCCAGGCAGATCAAATTCTGGCCCCAGGCCAACTGTCCTCTACCATCCTAAGCAGAAAGGGGAGGAAGGAATTCTAAACCTTCTCCCTCCCCCAACAGGTGCACATTCCAGGGAGGGGGTGGGGGAGGGGTGCCTTTGCTCAGCCTTCAGTCTCCCTCACTAACCTCCTTGAACTCCTGGATCTGAGTCTGGTCGAACATGGAGAAGACGTTGGAGCTTCCGCCTTCTGCCGCTGCCCTCCTCTTGGCCTTTTTGGGTGCCTGGGGAGTGACAGTTGGGCAGACAGGTCCTTGGGCTGGCCTCGTACCTCTCAGGGGGAAATGGATTAAACCCAGGGTTCTTTGTGTTTTTGTTTGGCTTTTTGAGACAGGGTCTTGCTATGTTTCCCAAGCATATCTTGAACTTTTAGACTCAAGTGATCCTCTCACCTTGGCCTACCAAGGTGTTATGGTGGCATGAGCCACCACAATAAGCCAGACTCCTTTTCTCTAAAATGGCTGTCCTTGGGACTTCTTGAGTGCATCCCATGAAGAGATTGTTTGGGTAACATCCTCCAAATGCCCCATCTCCTACCTCTCCCTTCGCCTTTCCTTTCTGTATCCTTAGCCTGCCTCCTCAGAGCACTAGATTTCCTGTGTGGCCCTCATCTACTCATCTCACCTGTCTAAAGCTCTCCTTTCTCATTTACAAAACAGGAGTGGGAGTCCTCTGACTGGGTTTTGAAGACTTTAGGGAAGGGATAAATGCAAGCTGTGAGGAGGACCAGGCCTTGTGAGTGGTGTCTGGGCAAATTATCCTCTTATCCTTTAAGCTATCACTATCTGTTTCTCTTTAGTGATATCAAGAAAGCAAGGAGTCATCTTTTTGTCAGTTGTTGGACTGGGAAGCAGCTACTTTCTTTCATAGGGTGAAGCTCCCCCAAGTCTAAGGGGTCTGGCGGTGGGCTGGGGATTCTCACTCACCATGGCTTAGGTCTCCTGGAGCAGGGCAGTGGTTCTAGCTGGAACACAGCAGAGTCAGCCCGATGCTGTCCTTCTGGGGTTATATAGCCCTACCACAGGGAGCCCTTAACATACCAGGGTAACCTTAGCCCTGTGGGTGCCCACCCCAGATACCAAAATAGCCCAGCTCAGGGCCTCTCCTTTCTTGGAGGGCCCGCAGCAGCTGGAGTCCAGGGAGGGAGGAGGGAGTGGGTCTTGAGATGCATGTCTCATTAGGAGTTAGGGAGGAAGAGATGATCTTTCTTACAGAAAGGGGCTGGAATGTGCCAGGGTTCAGAGGGGACCTGAGCCGAGAGAAGGAGAGAGAGAGGGAGAGGAAGAGAGAGGAAGCAGACGTCCATACCTATTAGTGGGCTGCACTTAAATCTGAACCCAGTCAGCTTTAATTGAGCACCTGTAATGTGTGAGGCAGTGTGCACAACTTTGTGGGTGTACTCTGACAAACACAATTCTTGCACACCCACATAATGGCATTCATAGTTGTGTGTGCATGTGTGTTAGTAATGATAGAGCTTAAAAATGGGAGGAAACCATCTGTGGAAGTGAAAGGATTAGGAAGTTCCTGTATCCCCTTTAAGGAGAGGGGGGATTTTGTGAGGAAAACGAGCCCTGTAGCCTCAGACTTTGTACTTTAAACTCCCTGGGCCTTTACTTAACTGTATAAAGTGGAAACAATTCATATTGCACAGAACTTGCATTAGTATTAATAATCAGGTCCTCCCTTGGTAGAATTTAAGGTCTAGGGGTAGAAACAGGAATAAATGCTGAAATGATGTATCAGCTGGTCAGGAGCCCAGAAATACGGGGCTCAGCAGCACCATCTAGGGATATAGGAATGGTTCAGAGAAGGCCAGTGGGAGCAAGTCAGGTGAAGGTGGAGAGACTAGGACCCTGCCCCTAGACCGACAGCATATATACCTGGGCAAAGACTTAGACAGAGAAAGATGAGATGTTCAGGTTGCCAGAACTGTGGTGGAGCTGAAGCACAGAATGCAAGGGTGGGTGAGCAGACACTGAGGGTAGAAGGCAGAGACCTAGGGAGCTTGAAAAGGTTTAAAGCAGGAGAAAGACATGCCCTAATATGAGTCTTGATTTTTTCGTAGGTACCGATGTGAAGGCTGGGCCTCAGAGGAGGAGAAGCAAAGACACCAAGATGGAAGCTAACTGATACCTGTTCCTTCATGGCTGCAATGGCTAGCAGCCTCTCTCTCCATTCTGGGCAAGGACCAGTTTAACTGACTGTAATTTTGAGATGCCCCCTCCTAAGCTTCTGGGCTTCAGTGCCCCGGTCCCCTCCATTCAGTGGAAATCTGCAGAAGTAGTGGCAGAGGAGGCCCCAAGTTAGCAGGGCCACCCATGTCGCCCTCCTTGCGCTCCTTCTAGGACCTGATGTCCTGAGAAAGGTGCCTCCTCCCTCCTCCCTCCTCCTTCCTCCAGCTCCATGCCAATGCCTCTAAGATACTTTCTTTTCTGGGCTTCTAGGCCCAGCCACCTGTTGTCTCTATGAAGAGTGAAGGAGCCACCCTAAACTTAGCAGCTGCCCTTGGCCTCCTGCATGGAGCCATGTCTGTCTCAGATGGCAGCTGCTTTGCCTTATATGGTTTACCATATAACCTTATATGGTTACCATGGGGTCTAGGCCATGGAGGAGTCCACTCATTTACTGGATTCTGGGAGGGGAAAAGGACTCCAAAAGAAGGGGTGGGAGAGAGTTCAGGAAACCAGTCAAAAGGAAGGTGGGGTGTTGAGATCAGGAACTGAATGGACATTCACAGGATGTGGGTTTGAGTTGGGGCTGAAGACTCAGATAACTCAAAAACCAAGGAGGAGCTGGGAAGCTGGAAACTAGGTTGGACTGAAATTTCAGGATGGGGGGCTGGGGATTTAGCTCAGCGGCATAAGCGCCTGCCTTGCAAGCAGGCAGTCATGAGTTTGATCCTCAGTACCGATAAAAAGGAAAAAGACAAAAAAAAAAAAAAAAAAAAAAAAAAGGAAAAGAAAAGAAAAGAAATTTCAGGATGGCAGACATTCTATGGAAGTCAGAACCCTGGGGCTCCGGAGACAGGGAGACAGGAAGTCGGGGGAGAAGCTTTAGAATTTGGAAGGTTGGGGATCATAGGGTCAGGTCTTTATGTTTGTGGAATGAAGGCAACGTAGGGAGAGTGGGGCTAGGTTCTTAGCAGAAAAGCTGAAGTACAGAGGAATGTGACAGTAAGGAGAGGGATTGACAATGTTGGAGTTTTTGATCCCTCAAAGAATAAAAATACAGATGGGAGAGTTTGTGATATTGGAGATTAATGAATTTGGGTTCTGGAATCCTCCACTAGAATAGGGGAGCATTTGAAGGTATGAGGCCTGCAGAACTGGAATTTTGTCTTTGGGGAGGGGCTCAAATAGATGAGGGGCAAAGAGAGGGATTTAGGGCTTGAAATTCCTGCAGGAAATGGGAGATCAAGAGAGATGGGTTGTTTAGAGGATTTGGGGGCTCTGAGTATGTCGAATTAGAGATAATGAATTCGAGAGTACAGGACCAGGGCACAGCTCAGTGTCTCGAAGATCGTCAGAGGGGAAACTCAGGAGCTAAAGGACTCAAGAGAGGCAGCACGGCACTCTGTTGTTAAGAGCTGTACTAAATGCCTCCAGCCCCTTCTCTGCACCGTCACCAACTGTCATCCCCTTTCCGCGCTTGTCTCCGGTTGTCACCGACTATCCCTGGGTTGGCAACGCCTGCTGGCAGCATCCCTACTCGTGCTACCATTGGTGGAGACAGCTAGCTATCTTCCTATCCGTTGCTAAAGTGGAAAAAAGCAATCATTGGCTAACGAGATAAATTAATCGCAAATTTGGCCCGCCTTTCCCCAGCTGTCACTCTTTCCTAACCATTCCTTCTTCGGAGACCCGAGAATTCCTCCGCCTTCCTATTGACTATAGCTGTTGTCTGTCACTGCACGCCTATTTGCCTTTCTCATTGGTTCACTTTCTGCAGTTTCTATTAGCTAGGAGGCTGCAAGGCCCCACCTTCTATTACAGTACCTGCCTTCTTCCCCGCCCTTCCGCTGCCATGTACTCTTCAGCTGTGCTTATTGGACAAGAGGTTCAGGTTCCCGCTTGGTTATTAGTTACCTCCCTTATCCCGCCTCCTGCCCTCACTCACCCTCTAGTTGGTCTCATAACCTTCTCCGTTTCCTCTTTCCAGGTTACCCAACCCCTTCCCACCTCCAGCCCCACCCACCCTCCCTTCGATTGGCAGGAACCCAGGTTCCTCTCTCCTATTATTCGTCCAAATGCTCAGACGAGGCGGGAGGGAAAAAAAGGGGCGCGATGAGCCAGGCCTCGCGCAGGCGTGGAACACCAAGAAGCGGCCGCTCTACCGCGTCTGCGCAGGCGCGACGTCCGCCGCTTGCTCCAAACGTGAGGGTGGGAGGGCGAGAGTGAGAGGGCGCCAGTGAGACCCCGGCGCTAGGCGCCTGCGACCCTAGGCTCGCGGCAGGCGGCGCGCCGCCCCGCCCTGCCCGTGCCGCCCCGCCTCCGGCGCGCGCCGAGCCGCGCCCTGCTCGTTCTCTCCTTCCGTGCGCCGCTCGGAGAGCCTGAGGGGCGGCGCCTTCTGCGGCCTGCCGGGCTGGGGGATGTGAGGAGCCGCCCGCGGCCATGGAGACGGGCCCGGCGCCCCTGGTGGCCCCGCCGCGCCGTCATGGCGCCGCCGCGGCCCCCTCGCCACCGCCCCGGAGCTCCCGGGCCGGGCCCATGGTGGTGATGGCTCCAGGACCGCCGGTGACCACGGCCACCTCGGCCCCGGTCACCCTGGCAGCCCTCGGGGAGGCGCGGGCCGCCCGGGGTTCGGGACCGGTCGACGCGTGCAGCACTGAAGAGAAGACTCCGGAGGCCTCGTCCGAAGCCCCGACGACACAGGTCGCCCCTATCCCGGAGCCTGTCTCGCCGGCGGCGGTGGCCTTGGGGGCAGACTCTGCGAAGCCCGAGGAGGCAAGAATGTCCCCTGTCCCGGGACCCGGGACGCCCGCCGGAACCCCTACTAGGACGCCTTCCAGAATGGCACCTGGGGCCCTGGCCGCCAAACCTCCGCTCGCCCCCAAGCCTGGAACCGCAGCGGCCTCAGGAGTGACTGTACGGGCTGCAGCAGGACAGGTGACTAGTGGACCTGGAACTGTAACAGCCACATCAGTATCAGCAGGACAGGCTGCCGAGGACCCCTCAGGGCCCAGCACGGGAGCTTCGGGGACATGTGAGGCTCCGGTAGCTGTCGTGACGGTGACCCCAGCCCCGGAGCCTACTGAAAACTCTCAAGACCTGGGCTCCATGTCCAGCCTGGGACCTGGTATCTCTGGGCCTCGAGGGCAGGCCCCAGACACTCTGAGCTACTTGGACTCAGTGAGCCTCATGTCTGGGACCTTGGAGTCCTTGGCGGATGATGTGAGCTCCATGGGCTCAGACTCAGAGATAAACGGGCTGGCCCTGCGCAAGACGGACAAGTATGGCTTCCTTGGGGGCAGCCAGTATTCGGGCAGCCTGTGAGTACCCTGAGGGCACCTGGTGGCCTACTTCGGGCAAAGTGAGGTTGGGGGAGGGGGTTGTGATACACTTCGGCCAGCCGGCTGCCTGGCCACCTCTGGGGATCCATGGGATGATTAGAGAGGGAGCTGTGGCCTAGAGCATCCTGGGATTTCTGTGGCAGTGACGTGTTAGAGTTTTGGACCAGGGATCAAGACGTCTGGGTTTAAGCCTAGGATCTTCCTTTTGGTGCATTGTGTGTCCTTGAGCTAGTGGCATCCCCAATTTCGTGCCTTATTTTCGTCCTCTGTGAAGGGTTGAATGAAATGATGCCCAACTCCTGATATTAAACTCCAGCTACAGACCAAAAATTCTGAGAGATTGATTGGGTAGGGGTTCTGATACAGACTTTTGATCCCTTAGGGGCAGAGGGGCAGAGAGAGGTTGGTATCTTCCCTCACACAGTGGTAGGTCTGTTGGAGTGGTACAGTGGGCAAGTCTGGTGATGGAGGAGGGGACCCAAAGGCCAGGCCCCTGGTGAAAGAGGGCAATGTTGTGTTTTCACTGAAGGAAAGGGGTGGGGGAGGCTGCTTCCCCATTTCCTCATCTCCTCAGCCCAGCTTACTCTTTCCTAGTTCCCTCCAGGGGCCTGAGTCACTCCTGGGGTGGGGGTGTGATCACCTCTGACTTCTTCCTTCCCTCTCTCTCTGGATCCTGCCCATTGTTCTATACCCCCTTGACCTGCTGGTCAGTACAGCCTTGCCTGAGCACCCAGGTGCCAGGCCCTGGGCTGCCTAATAAGGATAAAGTAATCCTTTTGAGCAGTTCATCTAGGGGAAGAGATGGATGCTTAACCGTTGGTTTTAATAGTGTCAGGTTTAGCATGGAGATCATCCTAAGGTTTTGTGACCACTTGGAGAAGGGACCCTTTGGCTCATGTGGGAATTCAGCTGAAGTTAATCTAAAGGAATAAGTGAGATTTAGTCATGAGTGTGTTTTGGAGGTCAGGCCTGTGGGAGGATTACATACATGCAGGATTTATAAGCAAACAAGAATCAGAAAACTTATTTTTGTGGTACTGGGAATTGAACCCAGGGCCTTCACATTGAGCCCTTCTACACAGCCCTTCACATCTACAGCCTTTTTTATGTTTCGAGACAGTGTGTTGCTCAGGCTAGGCTGGGACTTGTGATCCTCCCGTCTCAGTCTCCAAGACTGCCTGCTTGCAAGTGTGTGCCACCACATCTGACTCAGAGAACTTTTAAGCACAGGCATTTGTGATCTGATGTGGGGAAGGAACCCCAGTTTGACCCATGTGTTTTCCTATGTTATATTACATTCAGTTTATAGGTGAAGACATAGTTGAGTGAATTGCCTCCCTCAGATAGTCTGGATCTGTGTGGCCAATGGCTTTCTTCTCAGTACCAAGTTTTGCCCTAAAAACTTGGGTTGAACTTTATTGTGGAGAGTCTTTCTTATGTGCCCAGGCACTGTTGGGTGCTATTTCTCTGCTTTGTATTTTTGTCACTAAAATCTTTGATCCCAGAGGAATCTACTTCTGAGGCAAGGCTGTGACTTTTCGCAGCTCCCTGCTGTCTACAGGGTAAAGTCCAGGCGCTTTAGCCTGCATACAAGCTCCTTATTGTCCAGCTATGCCAGCCTCTCTGGTCTGATTTCCAGCCGCTTGTTGCCAGACACTGTACTGTTTTAGTGCTGACTTGTAGTTGCTCTCCTTTCATATAAAGTCCTATTCCACCTGCCAGGAATGCACTTCTCCCCCTTCTTTGCCTGCTAATTTCTTCTCAGTCCTTATGTTTTACCTTTTCCAGGAAGCCTTCTCTGACCCCCAGTGCATCTTTTTTTCTTTTCTTTTTTTTTTTTTTTTTTTTTTTGGCTTTTTCGTTTTTATCGGTACCGGGGATCGAACTCACGACTGCCTGCTTCCAAGGCAGGTGCTTATGCCACTGAGCTAAACCTCCAGCCCCTTTTTTTTCTTTTCCTTAAAGACAGGGAACTCCTATGCTGGTGAACCTATGGCAAACGTGTGGCTGTTTGTTAGCACTGAAAACTCTATAAAAAGTTTGCTGTCATTGCCCTACAAAGTTCAGGCTGAACTTGAACTCACTATGTAGCCAAGGCTGGATTTAAATTTGTAATAATCTTTCTGCCTCAGCTTCCCAAGTGCTGGAATTACTGGCATGTGTTACCATGCCTGGACTTTTGTGCATCTTCATCATTGGATTTCTTGTATGAGATTGTTGTTACCTACTCTCACAGGCTATGAAGGGTAGAAGAGGTATCTTAGCCTTCTCAGTCCTTAAGAGTTTGGAACTAACGTATGGTAGAGATTAATGAGAGGTGGTGTCTCTGTTTAAAGAGCTTTTTTTTTTTTTTTTTTTTTTTTTTTTGGTCATGGGTACCAGTGATCGAATTCATGACCACACACTTGGAAGGCAGGCACTTATGCCACTGAGCTAAATCCCCAGCCCCTAAAGAGCTTTTATGACAAAAGAAACTAGACATTTAATGAATCCCTTCTATTTAACAGTCCTTTATACACATTTTCTCAAAAGTCCTCATAATTGTGTAGTTAGTGTTATTCTGTCCTACAGGTGAGGGAGAGACTCAGGTTATCACTTGCAAATATGCAGTAGGTTTTAAGGGACATAACAGGGATTTGTGCTTAGATCTTTTTGATTTCTAAAACCCAACTCTTGCATTTTACTTGCCTCCTGGGGCTGATTCCTTCAAATAACTGTTTCAAGACAGATGGGGCATCCTTGAGTGTGAAACTGACATAACAGTGGACAAACAGGGCAAGGAGAATTTCTTTTCCTGGGAATTTGGGGAGATTTCAGGGAGGAGGTGGTAGAATAAATCCCAGATGGCCCATGAGATCTTAATTGCTCTTAAGAAGACATTTGTTCTGTATTTTATTTGATGGATAATTGCTATTATTTACTGAACCCCTGCTGTGTGTTATTTTGTATAACTCTTTGAGATGCATGTTCAAGTGGACATTGTCATTTTTTACACCTTACAAGTGAGGAAATTGAGGCTTAGAAAAATTGAGTTGATCACGGTCACACAGGTTAAGCTAGGACTTGGATCCAGGTCCAGTACAAAATGTGGTGTTTGTTTGTTTGTTTTTTGAGACAAAATCTCAGCATGTAGTCTAGGCTGACTTTGAATTCACAATGCAGCCCCAAGTGGTTTGGAATTTGTAGCAGTCCTCCTGCTTGAGTCTCCCAAGAGCTGGGATTACAGGTGTGTCTCACTATGGCTGGCAAAAATGTGGCTTTTTTTTTTTTTTTTTTTTTTTGCTTTTTGAGACAGGGTCTCTCAATGCAGTTCAGGCTGGCCTTGAGCTCACTTTGTAGCCGAGGCTAGTCTTGAACTCACAACCATCCTCCTGCCTCAGCCTCCTGAGTGCTGGAATTACAGGCGTGCGCCACCATGCCTGGCAAAAATGTGACTTTTAAATATATTGTACTTGCTTCCCAAATTTGGAAATGTCAGCAAGGTGTAGTGGCGCACACCTATTATCCTAGCACTTGGGAAGTTGAGAAAAAAGGATCACTGTGAGTTTGAGACCAGCCTGGGCTATATAGTGAATTCAAGGCCAGCCTAAACCAAATAGTAAGACCCTGTCTTAAAACTAAAACCAGGGCCTGGGGATTTAGCTCAACGGCATAAGTGCCTGCCTTGCAAGCACATGGTCGTGAGTTCGATCACCACTACCGATTTAAAAAAAAAAAACAAAAACAAAAACCCCACTAAAACCAAAGACCTGAGTGGTGCATGCCTGTAATCCTAGCATTTGGGAGGCTGAGGCAGGAGAATCATTGCAAATTCAAGACCAGCCTGGACTACAAAGTGAGCTCCTGAACTGCATAGTGAGACCCTGTCTCAAAAAGACAAACAACCCCCCCCCCAAAACTAAAACCAAAACCAAAACAAATCCAAACCCAAATTTGTATATGTCAAAAGTGGTATTTGAACATGACCTCTGTTTGGAGAGCCAACAGGGAAGCCTTTTCAGGGTGGTGAATAGAGCTGAAAAAAGCTTTGGCCAAGTGGCCACACATTGTGATATTTGAATGCTTAGAAAATGTCCATTTTGTCCCTTGAGCCTGGGAAGATGGTTTGCTGAGTTCCCCTGGCAACCCAGGTTTTAAGCTGCTGCTACTGACCTTTCTGTGCTCCCCCATCCTGCAGAGAGAGCTCCATTCCTGTGGATGTGGCTCGGCAGCGAGAGCTCAAGTGGCTAGAGATGTTCAATAACTGGGATAAGTGGCTGTCACGACGTTTCCAGAAGGTTTGAAAGGGGTGTACAATGGGCTGGGCAACATATAGGGGTGGCGGGAGCATGTGTGCTCCAGGATAGTCCAGGAGACAGATGTAATCTGTCTGGGCCATGTTGGGGATAGATGGTCCTTGGGTCCCAGTCCAAAGGAGTCCAATGTGGCATGGGGAACCCAGGGACTTCTGGGGAAACCCTGGAGGCTGTGCCAGCCCTGAAGCTGCCTGCTTGGCTGTGACTGTGCCTTAGGTAAAGCTACGCTGCCGGAAAGGGATCCCCTCATCCCTCAGAGCCAAGGCCTGGCAGTACCTGTCTAATAGCAAGGAACTTCTGGAGCAAAATCCTGGCAAGTTTGAGGTATGTGACCCTCTAAGCTGTGGGGACATGTGACTTTGTCTATGTAAGTGATGTCAGTTCTCTCAGATTCTGAGATACTTCTGCTGTCCCACTATAGGAGCTGGAACGGGCTCCTGGGGATCCCAAGTGGCTAGATGTGATTGAGAAGGACCTGCACCGCCAATTCCCTTTCCATGAGATGTTTGCTGCTCGAGGAGGGCATGGGTAAGGTGACCTGACTGTGGGTCAGTCAGCAAACAATTCTTTAGTTACATTTTCTTTTTTTTGTCTTTTTCCTTTTTACCGGTACCAGGGATCGAACTCATGACTGCCTGCTTCCAAGGCAGATGCTTATGCCGCTGAGCTAAATCCCCAGCCCAGCAAACAATTCTTGAAGGTTCCAGCTAGCTACAAGGCTTGTTTGAAAGCAGTTCTTGCCCTCCAGGACCTATAGAAGAGTGATTCTTTTTTCTTTTGTTTTTTGAGACAGGGTCTTGCTGTGTAGTCCACACTGGCCTTGAACTTGCTATGTAGCTCAAGCTGGCCTTGAAATCACAGCGATCCTCCTGTCTCGGCCTTCCAAGTGCTGACATGACAGGCATGTGCTACTGTGCCTGAGAGATCTTTTTTTTAAAGAGTGATCTTTAATGGATTGAGCATCCTAGGAGGGAAATCTGAGTCTGGTTTTGCACATTTGTGTATATGGACACATCAAAGGTTCATAGAAGATACTGCATTTCAGCTGGGGTGTGTGTGTGTGTGTGTGTGTGTGTGTGTGTGTGTGTGTGTGTGTGTTGGGGATTGAACTCACGACCTGGTGCTTACTAGGCAGACATTGGGCTGCTGAGCTATATCCCCTGCCCTTCAACTGGTTTTTGAAGAATAGATAGGAGCTGGACAGGGTTTTCCTGCCTGTGAGGATATAAGGAGCATCTGGGCAGTGAGATTGGGTAGAACTGAAGCCAAAAAGGAAATTTTAGAGCCAGAATACCAAGAGCTGAGCTCTTAAATGCTGTGCCAAGGCACTTGGGTATTTGTTCTGTGGGTAAGTTTCCTCATGTGCACTGTGTACCATTCCCTAGTAGCATGCAAGATGCTCTTAGGTGGTTGTCGGGTGGAGTTTTTTTCTTTTCAGTGCTAGAGATCGAATCCAGGCCTTACATGTGCTAGACCAGTGCTCTACCACCACTGAGGTATATGCCCAGCTCTTTATATTTATTTTGAATTAAGGTCCTGCTAAGTTGCCCAACTGGGCCACAGACTTGCGATCCTCCTTTCGAGTGTTAAGTTCATTATTTTTGTCTTTTTCCTTTTTATCGGTACCAGGGATCGAACTCACGACTGCCTGCTTGCCAGGCAGGCGCTTATGCTGCTGAACTAAAGCCCCAGGCCCTAAGTTCATCTTTTAATGAATATTTATTGAGTACCTGCTATCTCAGGCATTGTTCTAGTCCTAGACATCAGTGGTGAACAAAGACAGAAATTCCTGTCCTCATGGGGTTTACTGTAGTTCAGTGAAGATAGATAATACAGCAGATAAAGTTGTATATGAAATAATGGTAAGTACCAAAGTAGCAAAGTTTAAAGCAAAAAAGGAGACTAGGAAATGTGAATGGGGATGGGGTGGGTTATAAGGGACCAGAACTGATGTGTGTGTATGTGTATGTGTATTCCCTCAGTGGTACTGGGGATTAAACTCAGGGCCTTCACACTGAGCTTGGCTCAAGTTCGTGATTTTCTTGTTGAGCCTCTCAGAGTGCTAGGATTGTAGGCAAGCATCACCACACCTGGCTTGACTTCATGTCTCAAGAGGGTTATTCTGGCTGGTGTGTTAAAACAGACCACAAGAGGGCTAGGAATATACAGCTCTGGAGCACAAGTGCCTGTTGGCAAGTTTGAAGTCATGAGTTCGATCCCTGGTAACAAACAAAAAAACAAAAACCCTCAAACAAAAAAACAGGGTACAGGGAGACAAGGGTGAAAGAATTAAAGATAAATCATGGTCTTTGGTCTAAGACACTAGAAGAGTGGAGCTGCTGTTTCCTGCTGTGGATGGGACAGACTGGGGGAGAGGTAGGCTTGTGGTGCATATGATGGGCTCAGTCTTAAGTTTAATGCCAGGTGTGGTGCTACATGCCTGCAATTCCAGGACTTGGAGGCGGAAGCAGTAGGATCACTGCAAGTCTGAGGCCAGCCAGAGGTACATAGTGAGTTCTAAACCAGCCTGAACTACATGGTGAGAGCGTCTCAAACAATAGCAAAAAGTTTAAATTGCTTTTTGGACACCCAGACAAGATGGGTATACCATATATACAAATCTAAATTTCAGGGCAGAAGTTTAAATTGGAGATAAATTGGAAATTGAAAGAGTGTCATTTATGGAGGGACTTGATCCATACTGCATGAGCTCCCCAAGACAGCAAGTATAGACACAAAAGGAAGATGTCTAGGGATTGAGCCCTGGACCTCTGGTGCTTTGAGAATGGGAAACAGGAAGAACCGGTGGAGGAGACTGAAATGAGACTAGAAAGGTAGCAGAAAGATGCATAGAGTGTGATCCTAGAATCAAAGTAAAGAGTTTCAAAGATCAGTGGTGGAAGTGGCCTTACCTGGCTGAGGGCTCAGGTAAGACAAGCCTAAAAACTGACCTCTGGATTCACTGCAGAGGTCATTAGTGACTTAAAAAGAGCAGCTTTTCCAGATATGCCGGGTAAAAGCCTGCTAGAGAATAGGGGTAAAGATATTTAAGTCAGTGAGTGCCTACTCTGGAGTTGTTTTGTTGACTAGGTAAGGGAAAAGGGTGCTATTTGGAGAGGAGAGTGGGGCCAAGGGAGATAGTTTTAAACAAGAAGTAACAGCATGTTGTTGGTGTGTTGATGGGAATGATCTGGTAGAAAGACCAAAACTGGTGAAGCAGGAAAGGTGGCAGGATTGCTAGATTGCTAACCTATGCTGGTAAGTGGGCAAGGGATTCAGAATTCAACTTTGGGGCCAGGCCAGGGATATAGCTTAGTAGCATAAACACCTGCCTGGCAATGCAAGGTCTTGAGTTCGATTCCTCGTACTAAAAAAAGAAAAGGGGGAGAAAAAAAAAGAAGAAGAAGAAGCATTCTACTTTGCCAGTATCACAGACGGTTCACCCATAGCAACGGGAGAGAGGGCAGGGATACAGACGTAGGCAGGTGGGTGGATGTAGCGTGGGAGCTTATGGAAGTTACATGTTTATTTTAATATGTACTAGGTAAAATAACCAGCATATCAAACCTGTCATTTTTAGGATGCTTTTGTAAAATGGAGAAAAAATATTACATAAATAATAGTAGGGGTGGTATCCAGACAAAGCCCAGATGATCACAGTTGATTGGATTTGGGGCAAAACTATTACAGGCAGTGTTAGGAATATATGTGTGAGATTGGAGGCAGGCAGAGGATCTGGGCAGTTGTTTTTCTGGGCAAGAGATGGAGGTCAGAGCTGAAAGTAACTGTGGAGGTAGAGTGAGAAAACAGACATGAATGGAATTCAGGATATAGCGCAATTAGCCTGAGGGAATGAGGAAGACTCTATTTCTAATGTGGAGCTGAGTGGATGGAAGTCCCAGCAGTATCAGGGAAGAAGAGCAGGTCTAGGGCAGGGACTAGATGCAGAGACCAGAGAAAGATCTGAAGTATAGCTGGCTTCCAAGCCAGCACCATGATCTTGGACCCCCTGACATGGCAGGCACAGCTGATGAAATCTAATGAGACAGATAAGGCAGGCCCTGCCCTGGAGAGCTGCCACTCTGGGGTGATAAAAACAGTCAGACAATGTTAAAAGAGGGTTGCTTCTTTTTCTGAGAATGGTGAAAGCTCCCTGGAGAATATATGACCTTGAATGTTTATGGATTAGTGGCAGATGCAGGCTGGAAGGAGTGTGGCCTGTGCTAGGGAATGAGTGCAAGGCTAGAGCCTACACTGTGCCTTTGGTTTAAGCTTGAGAGGCAGGATTGTGGAGACAGATGGAAGAATGTGGTGGTAAAACTCCGGTTAATTTGGTATTGGGTACAGGCAAAGTCTGACTAGGCTTTGTGAGGGCACATTTGGTTTGAGGCAGAGTGCTCCCAACTCCTATGTTTTCCATCTTCCATAATTCCACAGGCAGCAGGACCTGTACCGCATCCTGAAGGCCTACACCATCTACCGGCCTGATGAGGGCTACTGCCAGGCCCAGGCCCCAGTGGCCGCAGTGCTGCTCATGCACATGCCTGCTGAGGTCAGCACACATGGTCCTGGGTGGGTGAGGAGGTGGAAGGATCTTGGCCTACAGTGGTGATGGGGGAGCTGCCTACTCCCTACTTCTCAGGCCCCACCCCCTCCTTGTTCTTGCCCTTCTCAGCAAGCCTTTTGGTGCCTGGTACAGATCTGTGACAAGTACCTCCCAGGTTACTACAGTGCAGGGCTGGTGAGTGTCTGGTTTGGGTATACTGGGACTATGACATTTCCAAGGCTGCAAGGGAATATTTGCCCCACCCCACCCTGGCCTTTCTGTCCCTCCCTTCTGGGGCTTTCCCCACAGAGATGAGGATCCCAGTGACAGCTGATTCTACTGCAAGGGCTCCATAGCAGGCCCAAGTCTTCCTCTCATGGCTCTTCCCACTTCCAGGAGGCCATTCAGCTGGATGGAGAAATCTTCTTTTCACTCTTGCGCCGCGCTTCCCCGCTCGCACATCGGCACCTGCGGCGGCAGCGCATCGACCCTGTGCTCTACATGACGGAATGGTTCATGTGCATCTTTGCCCGCACCCTGCCCTGGGCCTCGGTGCTGCGTGTCTGGGATATGTTTTTCTGTGAAGGTATTTCTGCACCCTGGGCCACAAAGGCAAGGTGTTCATGGACAAGAAATGTTTCTTGGGTCGGAGCTTCACTGTTAAGCAGCCCATAGTTTAGAAAAACAGGCCTGGTCTTAGTTCAGCCATCAACCTAGAGGCTGCTCTCCTTCCTAGCAACCTGGAACCCATAGTAACTCATTTCTCTTCCTGAAGTCTATTTCCTCATCTGTAAGGTTGGCAATTGTAGGGACAGGGGCTATGGACTCCATCTACTTGGGAAGGGCTTAGGATCTCAGGATTGATTCCCTCATGCTTTTCATTCCAACCCTGCAGGTGTTAAGATTATCTTCAGGGTGGCTCTGGTCTTGCTGCGACACACACTGGGGTCAGTGGAGAAGCTGCGTTCCTGCCAAGGCATGTATGAAACCATGGAGCAGCTGCGAAACCTGCCCCAACAGTGCATGCAGGAGGACTTCCTGGTACATGAGGTAGGCCTTGGGCCACCCCCTACCTGCTTCGGCCCATATTTGTACTCTTCTTCATTGTGGTATCTATTTCTTCTCTGTCTAGGTAACCAACCTTCCAGTGACAGAGGCCCTGATTGAGCGGGAAAATGCAGCCCAGCTAAAGAAGTGGCGGGAAACCCGAGGAGAACTACAGTATCGGCCCTCACGGCGACTGCATGGTTCTCGGGCTATTCATGAAGAGCGAAGGCGGCAGCAGCCACCCCTAGGCCCCTCCTCCAGCCTTCTCAGCCTCTCTGGGCTTAAAAGCCGAAGCTCTCGAGGGATCCCTTCCCCACCCCCTCCTACCCGCAGAGCCAGTGCTGGTCCTGCTCCAGGGCCCATGGTCACTGCTGAGGGACTGCACCCATCCCTTCCCTCACCAACTGGCAACAGCACCCCTCTGGGTTCCAGCAAGGAGACCCGGCGGCAGGAGAAGGAGCGGCAGAAACAGGAGAAAGAGCGGGTAAAGGAACGGCAGAAACAGGAGAAAGAGTGGGAGAGGCAAGAGAAAGAACGGCAGAAGTGGGAAAAAGAACAAGAGAAAGAACAGCAGAAGCAGGAGAAGGAGCGGCAGAAGCAAGAGAAGGAGCGGCAGAAGCAGGAGAAGAAGGGGCAAGGCCGGAAGCTCTCCTTGCGTCGAAAGGCAGATGGGCCTCCAGCGCCCCACGATGGTGGGGACAGGTCCTCAGCAGCTGAGGCCCGGCAGGACGCTTACTTCTGACCTCAGCCTGGGGCTGGACTACATGGTCTCCTCTTTGCCCTCAGCCAAGAGCAGGCCTGGCCCAGGGTGCTCCCTGGCAGCTGCCGTCCCTCTCTCTGAGAAAAGCAGCCCAATTCCCCATCTCCTTGCCAGCTGCTGCTCCCTACACAGTCAGGACAGCCACAGGGGCATGGGCAGCTGTGACTGACTCTGGAGCCTCTTGCCTCCAATTAGGCTGAGGTCTCGTATTCCTGCCAGTTCTCACTGGCGTCCCCTCCTAGATGCTGTCCTGATTGGCCTCATCACCAGGTGACTCTTGGCAATGGGCAATTTGCAGATTCTTACACTCCAGTGGTTCCCCTATCCACAAGTGGAGCTAGGTTCCTTTTCCCTTCTTCAGTCCTTCCTGCCCCTGTCCCTCTGAGGGCTAAGGCTTTCCTTGACCTACTTCTGGACATCTCTGTGTTGTAATTATGTACAGAGGACCAGGCTGGCCCTTGGTGGGAGTGCTTGCTCTGTTGTCTGTCTTGGTTCTCCTTTCAGTGTTCCTGCACTCCAGTTTATTTAAGGGGACATGCACTGAAATAGGAAATGTGCCCCACTTCCTTTCCCATCCTCTGGTCTCCTTGCTCATCCATCTTGCTCTGTATTCTCAGGCTGCCTCTGCTTTGTCTCACCAAGACCCTTACCTTTCATCTTGTTCCCTTCCAACCCTCAGGCCCCTCTCTGAGTAAGGAGTCTTCTCTTGAGCTTCAGGGGGTGGCACTCAATGTTTACATTCTCTTCTGTCTCAGCCCCCATCCCTTGTGGCGCTTTGAGGAACCGGAAAAAGAACCTGCTGTTGTATCTGGGCCTGTCTCCTACTTTGTTGTTTGATGAGGGAGCTTTGGGGGTAGGAACTGGGGAGGGAGAGAGCCAAGACCTGGGTCTCTATTGAAGCAGTCTGATGACTGGCAGGTAGATGATCGCAGTCCTTGATCCAGCTCTCATGTTTTTTTTGTTGGGGGGTGGGGGCGCGGGAATGAGACAGCATCTTGCTGTGTAGCTCAGGCTGTCCTCAAAACTGTTGTTCCTCCTGCTAAGAAAACATGTATGCCACCACGCCCAGCTGTCTATCTCTCACTCATCAACAATCACTAGTTGAACTTCATCTTTCTCTGGGATCTGCTGCCTCCCCTGTCACTGGCTCCTTGGAGCCCTCTATTCACTGCCAGCAGTACCTGGATCTCCTTCCCAAACTGCTCATGCAACTCTTGGAAACTCGGAACTGAGAGTAGCAAGAAAGTCACCATCCCCTGGGGGTGAGCTGAGCTCTTGGCCAGCCATTTGGCACAGCTGCCAGTACTGGGCTTCCAAGGGGCGCAGCAACACAGCCTCCGACAGCTTACCCCAGCCAGTGCCCACAGCCAAGCCCGCAGCTCTTCCTGGTTTTCTGCAGCCCGCTTATAGGCCTGTCCACCTGTGCTCTCCACACCAGGGGTCAGGATGGTGAATGCATAGGGTTCTGTGGCCTTACAGAGGGGCTCCACTTTACAGTTCTACAGAATGAGCCCCAGGGGGATGTGATCAACCTAGTGTTCTAGATAAAAGAGGTTTCCTTTAAGTATGAAACGAGGGCACTGGTAGCGGGTTTGTTCAGCAAGATGCCCTCCTGGTCTGGCACCTGTGTTTTGTATGCACGAAAAAAGCACTGATTTTTGCTGCAGTTTCATGGTGGTCCAATATGGGAAGAAAGCCTGGGGGTGGGGGAAGAGAAGAGGTTCATTTGGTTGAGGTCGGGAACACCCTGCTGCCCCCTTAGCAGGCTCCAATTGGGCAGTCTTGGCCCAGGAGAATTCAGACTCCAGGTGTCCTCAAGAGGTACAGGTAGAATTCCAAGCCGGAATCCCGATCCTTCCCACCTCTGCCTAGGCCAAACCGCATCACAGGCAGGGGATATTGGGTCTGGTTTGCTAAGCAGTGGGCGTCATCCTGCAGCTGTAGTTCGAGAGGCACCGTTGCCCTCTTAAAGGCCTACCTGAATGCGAGATGCATGGGGTTTCTGGTCTGGATGCTGGGCGCCGGTGCCAATGCTACTTCTCCAGTGATGGCTCTGCAGCCCCAGAGAACGGGAACCAGCCAAGGAGTATGCGCGGCAAAAACGACCTCCCCTGGGTCCCAAAGGGAGCTAGTTTCGGAAAGCGCCCTAGGTAGGGTCAGTTCCCCCGTCCCGTCCCCCCCCCTCCCCCCGCCCGGTGGGCCATCAGGCAGGCAGGGCTTCACTTGGACTAGAAGAGGGCTGGCAACCTGACTGGAGCAAGATTTCTAATGATATGGTGAGAGGCTCAAATCCTAGGGGTAGAGCAACCCGATCTCTACCTGTAAAGCCGGCAGAAAAACCACTGGCCATGCAAGAATCTGCCCTTCTGTCCGACCCTAGGCGTCTTCCTCCCCACACACACACCCTTTTTTTTCCTGTCTTTGAGACAGGGTCTCGCTATGTGGTTCAGGCTGGAGTTGGGCTATGTAGCCCAGGCTGGTCTCAAACTTGCAACGATCTGCCTGCTTTAGTTTCCCAAGTGCTGGGATTACAGAAGTGTACCATCACGCTGTTTTTCTATTTTTTTTTTTTTTAATATGGTTTCGCTTTGTAGTTCAGGCTCTCCCTGAAATTTATGCAGTCCAGGCTGGCCTCAAACTCGCAGTGATTCTCCAGTCTCAACCACCTAAGTACTTGAATTAGAGGCGTGCGCCTCCACGCCCTGTTAAAATACTAAGTTCCTCCAATGCTTTTAATGTATATAGTTCAAGGAAATATAACTACTTCCGGCCGTCTCGCGTCCGGTTGGAGTCTACGCCTTCATACGCCACTCCTCTGGTCTCTGTAGCGCAACGCTTACGTCACTTCTGGCCAGAGAGAAGGGCGTCACTCTTTCTCGTGTACTTCCGCCCATTCCCGCAGTTAGTCTTCTGGCAGGAATGAAGCCACTTCGGGCTTCCCCGGCGCCTTCTGTAAACTTCCGGCCTCCCTCGCGCCTTCGTAGTGCTCTTCCGGGTGATGATCGTCGGGTGCCCCGGAAGTAGCCCTGGCGAAAGCATCTTTCCCTTTCTTCCCCGCCTCTCCCCAGGTGAGCGCGCGCGAATGGGGGTACCTAGATCTCCTTGGCCTTGGTGGCCCCTAATTTGTACACTAAGCCCGGGACAGTTCGGGGGGTCACCACATTGAATTATGAATTTGCGCTGGGAGGAGCAGTGCGCTAGGGCGTCAGGTCCTAGAACCATCCGGCCCTGCGACCTCTGAGGGCGCTGGGGTTTGGGGAGCGGGTGTCAGCCAGCGGGGCCCTGTCGCTTCACGCGCTTATGGAGATGATCACGTGGGAAAGCGATTCGTCCAGGTTGGGAGTCCATGGGGGAATTCTTCGCGCATCCACCCCACTGTCCCTACTTCATTAACTCTGTTGCCAGGTTCAGTGCAGAGGGCGTACAGGCATCCTCTAGCTGCCCTTTTCAACCCCTGATTGTATGCTCTCTCCTCTACCAAACCAAACTAGCTCCCTTTAGGGCCCGGCGGCCCACTCCTTCTGGCTGCCCTCCCTTTGCTGTGCTTCTCATGAGTCTCCCCGTTACCAGTTTCTTTTTTTCTTTTTCTTTTTTTGATACTGGGAATCGAACTCACAACCTCGCGCTTACCAGGCAAGCTCTTGAACTGCTAAACTAAATCCCCACCCCCTTCACCCAGGTTGTTTACTCTGCATCCTCTTCCTGTTCTCAGTTTGGGGAAGACCTCTCTGTCCAATCATGCCAAAAAGGAAAGTGACCTTCCAAGGCGTGGGAGATGAGGATGATGAGGATGAAGTCAGTGCTCCCAAGAAGGTGAGGATAGACGCCTTAATTTTGTGATGAGTGAGAAGAAAAAACCTGGAAACTTGAAGAGAGGCGGGGCAAAGAAAGGGTTAGTTTTTTCTTTCTGAGGAGTATATTTGAAAGATTTTTAGTTTGGTCTATATGCTGTATGAAGTATTTTGGAGCCAGGCCAGAGGTGACACACTCGTGTAATCCCAGCACCCAGGAGGCTGAGGCAGGAAGATCACTATGAGTTCAAGGCCAGCCTGAACTATCTCAAAAAAAAAAAAGGAAATATTTGGGAAGTAGCTATGGTTTGAATTTCTCATTTGCTGGTTTCTGTGCATAGCTGGTAGACCCTGTGGCTGGGGGTCCTGGGAGCCGCTTCAAAGGCAAACACTCTTTGGACAGTGATGAGGAGGATGATGAGGAGGAGGGATCCAGTAAATATGACATCCTGGCCTCAGAGGATGTAGAAGGTGAGCTGCACTTACACATTGCTCTGTGGGAGGGATAAGTAGGGTTTCTTGGTGTGTGGAGCAGGGGAGGCTTCTGTCTCTTTTTGCATGCCTCGCATGGATGGGAAAACTGTGTTTGCAGGTCAGGAAGCAGCCACACTTCCCAGTGAAGGGGGTGTGCGAATTACACCCTTCAATCTTCAGGAAGAGATGGAGGAAGGCCACTTTGATGCTGATGGCAACTACTTCCTGAACCGGGATGCTCAGATCCGAGACAGCTGGTTGGACAACATCGACTGGGTATGGTCTGGACCTCGCATGGCTGAGGCCTGGGGGTGGCAAATGCTGGGCCTGTGTCCCTGTTCCAGTTTGAATAAAATAATTCTCATATCCTTCCATTACAGGTGAAGATCAGGGAGCGGCCACCTGATCAGCGCCATGCTTCAGAGGAGGAGGAGGATAGCTTGGGCCAGACCCCAATGAGTGCCCAAGCCCTCTTAGAGGGACTTGTAGAGCTGCTATTGCCGAGGGAGACAGTAGCTGGAGCACTGAGGCGTCTAGGGGCCCGAGGAGGAGGCAAAGAGGGTAGCAAGGGACCTCGACGGCCCAGTTCCCCCCAGCGCTTAGACAGGCTCTCTGGGTTGGCTGACCAGATGGTGGCTCGAGGCAACCTTGGTGTATACCAGGAAACAAGGGAACGGTTGGCTATGCGGCTGAAGGGTTTGGGCTGCCGAACCCCAGGACCCCATGATTCCACGCCTCCACCCTCCCTGGATATGTTTGCTGAGGAAGTAGCAGAGGGGGACCTGGAGACCCCGACCCCTGCTCAGAGAGGAGGTGAGCGTAGAGGCCAGAGGAGGAATATTGTCGGAAGGAGGCAGGGCACTTGAGGCCCAAATGGCTTTGTCTGTTACTTTTCTTTTTTTTTTTTTATAACCATCTTAAGTATATATCTTAACAGATATATATATATATATATATATATATATCTGTTATTTTAGAAGCAGAGTCACCAGCTGATGGTTTGGTGGATGTGATGTGGGAATATAAGTGGGAGAACACAGGGGATGCCGAGCTGTATGGGCCCTTCACCAGTGCCCAGATGCAGGTAAGCCCCTTTCTGCTTCTGCTTCATCTCTTCCTTCCCAGTCTCCCATCATGCTTTTCCATTTCTGTCCTCTCTTCCTGCAGGCCTGGGTGAGTGAAGGCTACTTTCCAGATGGTGTTTATTGCCGGAAGCTGGACCCTCCTGGTGGTCAGTTCTACAACTCCAAACGCATTGACTTTGACCTCTACACCTGAGCATGCTGTGTGTGCTCAATTTCGCAGCCACTACTTTCCTGGACTTTTGGTGGAGGAGGCCCTAGCTGCCTTGGGCCACTTTTGGTTGGAGACTGCTTTTCAATCAGTTTCCCCTTTCCCAATAAAAACTTGGGTATGCACTGGGGTTTGGCTGTGCTGATGGCCAGAAATGAGGGGCCTGCTCCATGGCTTGCCTCAGTCTTTGACTGTTCATGTCCATGAAGTTTCTTGAGAGTTTCTCTTGGGTGTCTTGGACTGCTTCACCATGGTTTTCCGCCTTTAGAGGCATAGGCAGGCCTCTTAGGTGTCCTGGAGCCTCTACCTGGATGTTGGAGGCGGTATAAAAATCCATTTACTCATGTTCTCTTTTTCAGTCTTCTCTGGGTGTTCTTGTGCTGCCATTCTTAGGATTTAGACTTAGGATCTCGAATTCTCTGTCCTTGCAGTCTCTGGAGTATAGAGCCTCAGAAGTGGAGATTCTATATCTGGAAGAGGCAAGAGGTCTATAATACTTCAGGATCCTGTTGAGGGAGGCCATGTAGACCAGCTGTACTCTGTACCAAGCCCAGAGAGGGGGAGTGACTAGAGGTCACCCAGTGAATCAGAAAGCTGGCCCAGGCCCAGTGGGCTCCTTTCTCAGACCATTCTTGGCATAAAGCCTTTTCTGTTCGGTCTTTGAGGCTCTGCAGCTTGCTTTTTTTAGGCTCCCGTATGTGTTGGGCACACGAGTAGTGCCTTGAGAAAACAGATAATTGGGCTGGTCCACTTCAGGAATTCTGAGTTTGAAGGCAGAGGAAATGTGAGGCAAAAGGATGTAAATCTACGGCCTAGACTTAACTCCTTCACCCATCGTCATCGCTGCCTCGTGCCTCACTTTACTCATAAGCAACTCAGATTCTTCCTCTCTTCCACCCTGCCTACCCATGGGACTCTCCTGGGGAGCTGTGAAATCCTTTAAGATTCTGATTGAGGGGCTGGGGATTTAGCTCAGCAGCATAAGCGCCTGCCTTGCAAGCAGGCAGTCGTGGGTTCGATCCCTGGTACCGATAAAAACGAAAAAGACTCCCCCCAAAAAAAGATTCTGATTGAGTGCCCTGTAGCCAGGGCAGTGGATCTTTTAGAAGCTCCTTAGGTGTTTCTTATATGCAGCTGGTGCCAGGTGTGGTTGTGTAGAACTGTAATCCCAGCACTCAGGAGGCAGAGGAAGGACGATTGCCATGAGTTCAAGGCCAGCCTGAACTACCTAGTGAGACACTAACAAAACAACAAAAAACCCAAAATAAATAGTACGCAGCTGGTTGAGAATCCCTGAGTCTGACTCATAACAGGTACATCTGGAGAGAGGTTTCTGGGTCACACCAGGAAAGCAGAGCTGACTGTGTATGTGGCTCTGGTGAATCCATTAATTGCAGTTGATCTAAGCACACAAGCCCAGGGTAGCAGGAGCCAAGCTAGGAACTAGAAAAGATGAGGGCCAGACTGGCCAGAGTTTCCTGACGCTCTCCAGCTGGAGGTTAAGTCTCCAGTTTCTGGGGTAAGTAGGCTACACTAGAACTTTGATGATTCCAAAAAGCTATCATTGATAAGATGCCTGACTGTTACTAACAGAAGAACCTTACCAGTTAAGAGTTGTTAAGATACCATAAATTAAAAGAGGCAGTTGATTTCTGAAGTGAAAAGCATCTGGATGAGTGAAATACAGTGCTCACCTTCAATGTCCTTGTCACTGTGTTTTGGGAGGCGCTTACTATCTAGAAACTGTGGGCCATTCTTCCTACAAGCACCTCAGAATTGACTTCAGTGTCCCAAAGCTCACCTCACCTTCCTCTCACAGCTTCCTCCTTAATGTACCATGTAGATACAAAGTAACGGCCCCAGAGATACCCCATCCTGAATCCCAGAACTTGGAACCTGTGAAAGTTATGTCATGTGGCAAAGGGACCCTTACAGGCATGATGGGGTTCAGAGATCTGAAAGGGGGAGGTAGCCTTGGGTTTCTTTCTTAAGATCCATTTTATTTTGAAGAGGAAAAAATGTAAAATTTCACATCAGTTGGGGCAACAGGCCCTGGGTTTCTGAGATGGGCCTAGCAGTGAGAGAATGGGAAGCAGAGAAAGGCAGGAATGGATTCTTTCCCAGAGGCCCCACCAAGAAGTACAGCCAGTGAGACCATTTTGGACTTTGACCTCAAGAACTGTAAGATAATAAATTTTTGTTCTTTTAAGCCTCTTAAGTTTGTGATCATTTTGTACAGTTCCAGAAGACAGTAAACATAGACCTACCCAGCTGAATGCCACTACCTCAGACCCACCATAGGCCAGGGTGGCCTCGAACTTGCAGTGATCCTCTTACCTCAAGAGAATGCTAGGATCACGAATGTGGCAACCCACCTGGTTGTTTTGTTTTGTTTTACTTTAAGTTTTGATACAGGATCTTGCTAAATTGACCAGGCTGGCCTTGGACTTACTGTCCTACTTCAGCCTCCCAAGTACCTGGGATGACAGGCATGTGCCATTGTGCCCAGCAGAATGTATTTTTTTGTTGTTGTTTTCATTTTTATCAGTACCAGGGATCGAAGTCACGACCGCACACATGCAAGGAAGGCGCTTATGCCACTGAGCTAAATCCCCTGCCCCTAGAATGTATTTTTAATAATTCAGAGTCTTTGCTAACTGCCGCGTCTGTGACAAATCTATGATTAACACACCAAAGTTTGGACTGGAGTCTGATGCCCCCCAGTGGTGGTAGTTGTCATTGCTTTTTGTTTATAAAATTTGTATCCATAGTGTGTAGCCACTGATGTCTTTTTTTTTTTTGGTCTGGCTGTATAGTTCAGGCCGGCTTTAAACTTACTGTGTAACCCAGAATGGCCTCAAATTAGTGGAGATCCTCTTGCCTAAGCCTCCTGGGTGCTGGGATTACAGGAGTGTGCCACCATACTACTCATGCCCATTTTATTTATTTTTTTCCAACCCATTTTATTTCCAGGATAAAAATTTTTTAAAAGTAGAAGGAACAAAAACCACAATAAAAATTCAAAACGAGGGGCTGGAGATTTAGCTCAGTGGCATAAGCGCCTGCCTTGCAAGCAGGCAGTTGTGAATTTGATCCCCAGTACCGATAAAAAGGAAAAAGACAAAAAAAAAAAAAAAATTCAAAATGTGTCAATCGGGAGGCAACAATGGTACATACATTATGCATTGTCAGCCTCCAATCATTCACTCCAGAGCACAAAACATCTGCTTTCAACTGTGAACTAAGAAATCACTAGTGTAACTATCTTAACACATACACATACATGTGTTATTTCAGCTTTTTTTTTTTTTGTCTTTCTTTGAGACGGTCTCACTATACAGTTGAGGTTGGTCTTGAGTTCACTTTGTAGCCCAGGCTGGTCTTGAACTTGCAACAGCCCTACCTCAGCCTCCCGGGTGCTGGCATGCGCCACGACATGGCTTTTTAAAAATTTCTTTAAAAAATATTACTTAAATGTGGTAATGCATGTCTGTAATCCCAGCACTCAGGAGGCTGAGGACAGAGGATTCCAAATTTGAGTCTAGCCCGGACAATTTAGCAAGTCAGGCAGTGACCTGGGCAGTACCAGTTTCTCCTCACTTAACTTCTCTTGTCCCAGGGCTCCGTACCCTACACTGCCTGCTGGCCAGCGTCTGAAAAGCACTTGTCTCACATAGATAGCCCCTCTACTCAATCATGGTTGGAAGCCACAGTGAGCTGTTTGCTTACATCGTGCTCCCCATGCAGTGTTAGTGTCTGGGGGCAACAGAGATGGTGTGAGGGGCCTGAGGTTTCCACAGGGGTCCCTGAAGTTCCACAGTGATCAACAGGGGGAACCATTCCCTATGTCCTGGAAGCCTCTTGCAGTGTGCGCCAGATACAACAGTGAAGTTTGACACTGACCTGGAGATCACTGAACTTCATTTCCTGCGGAATGGGCTCTGAGCTGACCGTTCCTGAATCGCCTTGGTCCTATATGTGCTACTCACTGAGCATTAGTAATGTGTACTTAGGCACCAGGCTGAACTTTTTTTTTTTTTTTTTTTTCTTTTTCTCTTTGTATCGGTACCAGGGATTGAACTCACGACCGCCTGCTTGCAAGGCAGGTGCTCATGCCACTGAGCTAAATCCCCAGCCCCTGAACTTTTTGTTTTGTTGTGGGTTGTTGTTTTGTTTGTCTTTATTATTATTATTTTGTTTTGTTTGTCTTTTTGACACAAGGTATCACTATGAGGTTCAGGCAGGCCTTGGGCTCAGTTTGTAGCCCAGGTTGGTCTCAAACCTGCAGTAATCCTGAGTGCTGGGATTACAGGAGTACGCTGCCACGCCCGGCCCTTGTTGTGTTTTTTGAGACAAAGTCTTGCTGTGTAGCTCAGGGTAGTGTTGATCCCTGTGATTTTCCTGCCTCAGCCTCCCAAGTGCTGGAGTTACAGCCATGTGCCACCTCCCCCAGCTAATCAGGCTGAATTTTATATACATGGGTCCTTGTGATAATCCTGGGGGATGGTGCTACTGCCCCACAGGTGGGCTGTGGGGCCTTCTGGGGTTTCCTGAAGGCGTGGCCAATATGACTGGGAGGGGGGGCCACTGAGAGGTTGCTTGGGTTAGCAGCGTTTGCCAAGAGCAGCAATTAACAGAGCTATTTCAGTAACTTCACCCTGGGCCGCTCTGTACTTGTGTGTGCAGCTGGACGCCCTCTATGGGGTGTCCCCAAAACATGGGCTTTGCAAACCTGCTGGGCAGCTTTGCAGCCTCTTTTCCTAAATCAGGCCCTCAGGCTAGCTCCCTCTTGGCCTCGCAGAGCTGCGACTCCTCACTGGCTCTTGGCAGTGCTTTCCTCCTCCTCCAGTCCTATTCTCTCTTGCTGCTCTCCATCATTCAGGGCTCAGCACAGGTGTCTTTCTCCAGGAAGACTATTTATTTTTTTTAGGGTACTGAAGATTGAATCCAGAATGTTTACACTGATATACATACCTGGCCCTTTTTATTTTATTTTTTATTTTGAGAGAGGATCTTGTTAAATTGCCCACACTGGCCTTACATTTGGAATCTTTCTGCCTCACCCTACCATAGTGCTGAAACAGGAAACCTTTTTAGTTAGTTAGTTCGTTCATTTGTTTTGAGTTAGGATCTTGCTATGTAATTTAGTCTGGCCTTGAACTCACTATGTTGACCAGGCTGCCTCAAACTTGCAGCAATCCTCCTGCCTCAGCTTTCCAAGTGCTGGGATCACAGGTATGCACCACCATGCCTGGCAGGAAATGTGTTTTTGTAAGCACATTTGGGTAAGGACTCCTGCTAGGGGGCCCATCAGTCCTTGTGTGTCCCCTTTCATCACATCATCCTGGGCTGCAGTGTGTTTCCTGGAGACTAGCGACCAGGAGAAGGACATAAATCCCCAGCACCAAGGACCATGCCCGACACACTAGATGCTGTCTGTTGGAAAGGGCCTAGAAAGTGAGACTGGGGCCAGGCCAGCTTGGAGCCCCACTGTCTCAGGGGAGAGATAACTGACAATGGGAGCCCGAGGGCCCAGAACAAATTGAGAACTGAATTATATGGGGTCTCAGCAAGCCTCTTCCTGCCCCAGATGCTGTGAGTGTGGAACTCAGCCTGCTCCCCATCTTTTCCTCCATATCCAAACTCTAGCCCCAATGCGGCTGGTGCCTATCTCCCTCTTCAGTTCCACTTCTTTCTTTGCCAAGAACTGGCCCACTGGCACCCTCATCCTCCACCTCAGGAAGATGTAAGGAGCACTGCTTTTGTGCTTTTGTGCATCAGTGAAAACAAGAAGACTTGGGGCTGGAGGTTTAGTTCAGCGGCATAAGTGCCTGCCTTGCAAGCAGGCAGTTGTGAGTTCAATCCCCGGTACCGATAAAAAGGAAAAAGACAAAAAAAAAAAAAAAAAAAAAAAAAACCAAAAAAAAAAACAAGGTGACTGTAGACTCATATTAGGGTGTTTAGATGAAAATCATTGTCTGAGACTTGGGACCTTGAGGCAGGAGGATCACTGCAAGTTTGAAGTCAGCTTGGGCTATATATCAAGCCCTGTCTCAAAAAACAAAAGTCCAGAGTACACAGGTCTCCCAAATCAGGCAAATAATAAGAATTAATAACAAGAATTTCCTTTTCAGGGCTGGGGATTTAGCTCAGCGGCATAAGTGCCTTCCTTGCAAGTGTGCAGTCTTGAGTTTGATCCCTGATACCAATAAAAACGAAAAAGACAAAAGTAGCTCATGCCTGTAATCCCAGCACTCGGGAGGCTGAGGCAGGAGAATCTTTGTGAGTTCGAGACCAGCCTGGGCTACAAAGTGAGCTCAAGGCTAGCCTGAGCTGCCTAGTGAGACCCTGTCTCAAGAAGACAAAAAAAAATTTTTTTTCCTTTTCCTCCTCCTCTTTCTCTTTTCTTTTCTTCTGCTTCTCCTCCTCTTTCTCCTTCTCCTTCTCCTCTTACTCATTCTTCTTGAGACAAGATTTCAGTCTATATTTCAGGGTGGCATTGAACTCACTGTGTAGCCCAGGGCGAACTCGAACTCAGTGGCAATCCTCCTGTGTCAGCCTCCTCAGTGCTGGGATTACCATATAACACATCTCCTTTGTGACTGGCTTCTCTGGCTTAGCAAAAGCTTAAGGCTTCATCCATTCCTGCAACATGTCTCTGTCCTTCCAACTGCTGACTGACGTCCATTCATCAGCCGGTGGGCATATGGGTTGATCTACCATGTAGCAGTAATACTGAATGTAGCTGTGGGCACTTGAACACACATGTGTGCGTATGTACAAGTTTTTTATTCATTTGGGTGTTTCCCTGGGAGTGGGATTGCTGTAAAGCAAATTGGAGTTTAGCATTCAGTGCAACTGCCCAGCTGTTTTCCCAGGTGACGTAACACTTCAATTTGCTTTTATAGATACTTAAACTTAAGCTGATGGCACTGAAACAGCCTGTGGTTATGGTCCTGCACAGTGAAGCTCTAGAGGTTTCAGAGAGGGACTGCGTAAGGCTGAGTGAGGCCAAGAAAACCACAAGGAGGGCTGCAGGGGGCTGCTCCTTCCCAGGCCTGCAGCAGGAAGCAGAGGAGGTAGCGTCCCTGTGAGAGACAGACGGAGATGTCCGGGAGGGAGCATGTGACAGATACTTCAGGCGTGGGGGAGGGTGACATCATGGTCCCAGCGCAGGGGTCCTCTGGGGCTGAATCCAAATGGAAGCCAAAGGG